TTGAATCATAGGAACCCAATAATCAGTGCAGCTATTTCTGAGCTCCAGAGAGGAGCCCCTGGGGGCTTTTATTTTTAAACAACTGAACAACTAAATCATATTTTAGTTTAACTTCCAGAAAGTTCCAGTGTGTAACATTGAGAAGGATCTATTGTTAGAAATGTAATATAATATTCACAGCTATGTTTTCATTAGTGTATAATCACCTGAATAGAAGAATGTTTTCATTACGTTAGAATTAGACGTTTTTATCTCCTGAGGTCCTGCCATCTTTCTACGGTAGCCCAGAACAGACAAACCAACACTGACTGTAGACAGCGACTTTTACGACCATTGAGAGGCATCACCAATAAGTCCATTAAAACGCTCCAATTAATTCAGAACGCTGCAGCACGAGTACTGACAGGAACTAGAAAAAGAGATCACATCTCTCCTGTACTAGCTACTCTGCACTGGCTCCCTGTAAAATGTAGAATTGAATTTAAAATCCTCCTCCTCACCTATAAAGCTCTTCATGGTCAGGCCCCTTCATATCTTAAAGAGCTCATAGAACCCTATTACCCCTCTAGAACACTACATTCTCTGAATGCTGGGCTACTTGTGGTTCCTATAGTCTCTAAAAGTAGAACAGGAGCCAGAGCCTTCAGTTACCAAGCTCCTCTCCTGTGGAACCAGCTTCCAGTTGTGGTTCGGGAGGCAGACACCCTCACCACATTCAAGAGTAGGCTTAAGACATTCCTCTTTGATAAAGCTTATAGTTAGGGCTGGATCAGGTGAGTCCTGAACCATCCCTTAGTTATGCTGCTATAGGCCTAGACTATCGGGGGATTTCCCATGGTGCACTGAGCTACTCTCTTCCTCTCTCTTTCTGCACTCATTCATGTCCCATTAATGCATGTTACTAACTCCACTTCTTCCCCGGAGTTCTTGTGCTTTCTCGTCTCGCAGGTTCTCATGGATCCTGGTGGAGCCTCCTGCCATGGTCCTGCTTGACTGCCATTGCCAATACTGTTGTTGCTGTGCACCTGTCTGTCTGTCTGTCTGTCTCTCGCTCTCGCTCTCTCTCTCTCTCTCTCTCTCTCTCTCTCTCACCCCAACTGGTCGAGACCTGTCCTAGGTTTCTGCCTTTTAACAGGCAGTTTTTCCTTGCCCTTGTCTCCAAGGTCTTGCTCATGGTGGTACTGTTGGGTCTCTGTAATTAATGTTATAAAGAGTTCGGTCTAGACCTGCTCTATTTGAAAAGTGTCCTGAGATAACTTCTGTTATGAATTGGCGCTATACAAATAAAATTGAATTGAATTGAATTAAATTGAATCAGCGAACAGCAAAAACCACAAAACACTGGCAGTGAGTGACAGCGGATGCTTACAACAAAACATTTACTGACTTATTACTGTTGCTGTCCGATTCTGACAAATTATGTTATTCAATGTCCTTTATATTTTTTCATATTAACGTTCTAATGTGAGGCCATTAGGAAGCCAGCTTTGCTGTATCTTCTTCTAGACATCAGTTTATTGTGAGCTGAAGGTGACTTGATGCTGTGAAATATTTTTAAATGTGAGGGAAAAGAAACCACTGACACAAGTAACTTTATTTTTTTTTCTTTTTCTTTCATATATATCTTTATTGGGTTATCAAGACACAATACATGTTCAATCAGTAAGGAAACATTTTACCCATTTTTCCCCCTTTTAGAACACCAACAAACCCCCCCAAATGAAAAAACAGGAGGGGTGAACAGTAGTCAAACCAACAAAAAACAAAAAGTAAAAAGGGACGCGATGCTTGGAAAGAAAATAAAAAATGAACTATAACAATTTGTATATGTTGTGCCTGGAGTTCGACCTCCATATCATTGCACCAAAGACAATTAGTGGCCAAAAAAAAAAAAAAAGTTACATCAGTTTAATCATCTAGGGAGGGAATGGAATTAAGGAAAGAATGGGATTCCAAGTTTTATAAAATTTGCCGGAGCACCAACAGCAAGTAACTTGTTGAAACTGATGACATCAAAGATTTTGAGTGCCAATTTTACAATACAAATAAAACTATGGGGAAAATTACTAAAGCTACTTGATCAAAAATGTTATTTTCACTTAAAAAATAAAGTTCATAATCAGTTTAAAAATTCTTTTTTAGTTAAATTAAAAATAATTTTTTTTTTACAGTGTCAGCAATACGTCCACCGCTAGTAACAGTCCACCCAGTTTCTTTGTCAACATCACTTCTGCCGTGCTGTGACTTTTGCTGTCACTTCTTGAGGCCACCGTACGAAAGCTCAGCTGTATTCAGTTGGTTGCAGTCTGCAACTTCAGCACTATATGAGGCTAAATCCTAAACGCTGGACACCAAACTCCTAAGATCCACCAGCAACAAATAATTTGCAGTCCTTTCAAAGGTTTATTAGAACCTTTGAGCTTCAGCGTGAGCTAACAGCAAAAAGACGCTGCCCACCCCTACCGAACCTGAGACTGAGGCTGGAACCAATCAGCTCTCTGGAACAACCTGCACACTCACAGACTAACATTCAATCAGCCAAACTGACCTGCAGCCCGTCATGCACAGGTAGTCCAGCAGAGTGCGAGAGGCACCCACAGCACAGGCACAGGGGAGAGTACTTACATTAACACATACATGTTCACACGAGCTCAGGGTGCTAACAGGACCTTCTGCAGCTTCACAATAAAAGCATTTCACTAGTGAAACAGACTTTTATTGTAAAGTAGTCACAGGAAATGCAATGTGTTTTCAGCTGTCAGTCTAGAACCAATTCTCATTTACAACAACTACCTGGACAAGATGCAGCGACAGGAGCAAAGACGTTACTACAATACATTTTGTACAAGTGATAAAGTTGTGCTTTTGTACGTGTGCTCCATGTTTCAGTGTCCTTACCACAAAGCCCTGGTTCAATTCCAACCGCCTTTTTAGGCGAAGAAGCTGTGTTAGACGTGTTTACAGTCCAAGGAATAAATAATGAAAGACTGAATTTATGTTATGGCGTTTGTTAAGTGCTGTTAAAGCCCCTGAGATGAGAAACAACCTGCTTTTATTTATTCTCCCACTCGTTGGTCTGGTGGGGAGAGCTTAAAGTCACAGTTTGTTTGGATATTTGAAGATAATCCAGAGCTAAAGTCTGAGAAACAGGAAGCCCGTTGAAGTGGTGCGTTCACTGTGTGGCAGAGATTGTGTGTTTGTTGTTCAGGGTGAGAAGGGCCAGCAGGGACCCAAAGGATACCCAGGACGTAAAGGGAACCCGGGTTGAGGTAACATATTGTATTATAATCTTTTTAGTCATCTCAGGCCTCAATAACTTCCTCGATTGAAAATGTTCTTCCTTTGCTATCATCTAACATTTATTTTAAAAAGAATTATATAATCTGTTGCTTCAATAACGTCCTGAAAACATCCTCAGAGTGTTTGCAGGAAACATGTTCTTACTTCAGTAACACGTTATATGTCAACTCCCTGCGGGGTCTTTTCTCTATTTTGTGTCTTCTCGTCTCCTTTCTCCTCCGACCGGACTGTGACCTGGAGATCAATCTCAGTGCACCATTTTGAAAGACTTCTCCATTCTTTAATTGCACCTAGAGGAGACAGGAGGCTTCTGGAGGAGGTGAGAGCGGGGAAACTCCAGTGCATCCACAACGTGAGTGATATCTGTGTGTCTGGCATGAATGAAAACCTAATTGATAATATTAAAAACAAAAATGTGCTTAATTCACACAGTTCACACAGCTTTTACTCTGAAGTGTTGCAGGTATCTACACATAATACAACAGAATACATGATGAGATATAATGCGCCGTCACGTTGTGTGATAAATAGCAATTTACTGGATCATTTAATCTCACAGTGTTGCGGCATCACAAAGTCTGCAGTCAGCTCTGTGCTGTATTATTGTGCAGATAATAATAATGCAAGTATATAAGCTCCATAATACACACATTTATAATATTAAGATGAATACTGTAAGGTTTTGTTCTTCAGTAAGGGTTCTGTGGACATTCAGGTGATGAAGCTGCGGTACCAGAGGTCGCTTACTGACTGTGGAACCCATTTCGCCTCCTCCGTCCTCACGTCTCTTCCTAAGACACAAGGAAAGGAAATGAGTGACGGAAACCTGTAAAAAATGGTCAATGACTGACAGCTACGACTGCCAAACAAAAACCGTAAAATTAAAGTAAAATACTGTGGTGACCCATAAGTAAGACTGAAAGAGACATTCACCAGGGGACTGTACCTTTAAGAGAGAGGTGTGAGGGGATGCCGGTTCCGGGTTAACGTAGTGTAGCCGTTCTCTGACCTCACTCGCTGTACAGTGTGTTATTATATTAAAGTGGAGAGTAAAGCTGACTCGACGCATCTCCGTCCCTTGTCTCCTCACTTATTGCACTCCACAATACCTTATTTCAAACAATGTGTAAAAACATTAAATTTACAGAAAATTTAATTCAATTTTTAAAAGAAAAATAACATTATTTTGCAATTATTTTTCCCAAATAATTTTGATCAATCACCTTCAATAAAGGTCCTAAAATCCTAAAAGTTCTGCAGGGAAATACCGTTATTTTACAGATTTTTGCTAAATTATTACGATCAGACACCAAAATATGATCTTCAAAATTACTGTGAAATATCCTCAACTGAAAACATACTTAAGCAATACAAACAGGGACAGCTGGTATATATGAGCTAACAGGGCTAAGCCCCCCCTATCTTTTACAGTAAAGATGAAAAACTATTATTAAAAACCTTAGAACATATTGTTTGGAATTTTGGTGGAACCTAGAGCAGCAACAGCACCAAAAAGTGACAGAAAAAACCCAGGATATATGTTATATCTTGGGTTTTTCCTGTGAATGGGCTTAATTCATTCAGCCCAAGCACAGTAGCGTAAGCGTCCATTTACTTTTGATTGACAGGTGTCCTGACACGCCCCCTTCATATGCTGCCCATTTGGGCTAAATTCGATCAGCCCAAAGGCTGACCTTCGACCAATCACAGTGCAGTAGCTACAGTACAGTGACCTTCGACCAATCACAGCGCAGTAGCTACAGTACAGTGACCTTCGACCAATCACAGCGCAGTAGCCACAGTACAGTGACCTTCGACCAATCACAGCGCAGTAGCCACAGTACAGTGACCTTCGACCAATCACAGCGCGGTAGCTACAGTACAGTGACCTTCGACCAATCACAGCGCGGTAGCTACAGTACAGTGACCTTCGACCAATCACAGCGCAGTAGCCACAGTACAGTGACCTTCGACCAATCACAGCGCAGTAGCTACAGTACAGTGACCTTCGACCAATCACAGCGCAGTAGCCACAGTACAGTGACCTTCGACCAATCACAGCGCGGTAGCCACAGTACAGTGACCTTCGACCAATCACAGCGCGGTAGCCACAGTACAGTGACCTTCGACCAATCACAGCGCGGTAGCTACAGTACAGTGACCTTCGACCAATCACAGCGCGGTAGCTACAGTACAGTGACCTTCGACCAATCACAGCGCAGTAGCTACAGTACAGTGACCTTCGACCAATCACAGCGCAGTAGCCACAGTACAGTGACCTTCGACCAATCACAGCGCAGTAGCCACAGTACAGTGACCTTCAACCAATCACAGCGCAGTAGCCACAGTACAGTGACCTTCGACCAATCACAGCGCAGCGGCTACAGTACAGTGACCTTCGACCAATCACAGCGCAGCAGCTACAGTACAGTATCGTGAGCGTTAGCGTGAACATTAATGAGGTGGATTATTTACTTTCTAATAAATTTTCAAGTCTTTGGAGGAAAAAATGGAAGTACAGAGATTGGGAACACTTCATCCAAACGATGTACAAATAACACAAAAGGACAAACGACAAAATCGTAGTTTTGTGTTAACGTTACGTGGTTTCAGCTAACGGACTGGCTAAAAGCAAGTGTAGCTAGGAATTCACTTTTCTGTTTCCCATGTTTGCTGTTTGGAGGAGACTCGGTTTGGACCCAACAAGGAATTGTGGATTTAAAACATTTATCCGACAAAATTCAAATACACATGAATGCAGCACGAGCCACATTGGAAATAGTGTAAAGCTGTCATTGCTGGGTAAAGTGAACATCTGTCAGCTTAATGAGTCACCGCATCCTGTACAGAGACACAACGAGCTGGTAAAGAAAGACAGGCATTCACTATCACGGACTGTGGACTGTATTACAGTTTGTGGGGACATCAGCTCGCCCTGCAGGGGTCCGATTAATCTCCCACCTCACTCCAGCGGGGACTAGTTCTCTTTTTAGACAGTCAATCAGCAGATCACCTGTCAAACACACAAGCTGCAAAGTACACGTCTAAGACCACAGATTGTCTCAAAACAAGACAGGACCTGGAAAATGTTTCCTGCTTCATATCTGAACTGCTGACCACAGATGATCAGCCACAGCCACTGCAGCCGCTGCAACGCCGGGCAGGATGCGGCGCTCTGATAATGTGTCAGTGGCCGCACAGTGCTGTAACTTAATGGTTGAGAAGTCAAAGGCTTGCTTTGAGAAAGCCAGGCACTTGTTGTCTTTGCATGTGCACATTAGCCAATGATCTGCAGGAAGAAACTGAAAGGTGAGCTGATGGTGAGGTACAGCAGGGTGGAGTTTGACATGGTGATTAACCTGTTTGTGTCGATGTGAGCGGCGTTTTAAATAAGGTATGCCCAAGCTCTGAAACAACTCTCTCTTCTACAAATACTGTTATTTTTGCTTTGGTTTTGTACATTTATTTTTGATACATGGTGTTGCAAATTTTTGCTGGTACTTTTCTATAATGTAGTTGTAGCGCAATCGGCATGTGCTGTTGTACAGAGGGAGAGAGAGAGAGAGAGAGAGAGAGAGAGAGAGAGATGGCATCGGGTCTTTCTTTTGGGTTTGTCTCCACAGTGTTGCCGTAGTTTATTATAGTGTTGTTATAACAAAGTATACAATGTTGTTGCTGTGATGCTTCTGTTGCTGCTGTGTGACGTATTGATGAGTGTAATGCATTTGTTAGCCCACCCACCCAAAATCACCACCAGCCATCACTGAATACAAAACAGATACATCTAAAGATTTTCAATCAAAATGTCGTGGGAAATTAACTACAAATAAATTGATTGATTCTAAAATCCTTTTATTTAATGTATTCAGATGTAAATTTACAATATCAACCAATTATTCCCAAACAGTTCTTTAGAGCCGCCCAGGAGGAACTGAAAAACTAAAAATGGTTTCTCAATGAATCTGTAACATGTGTTTTTTTTTATAAAAGAAGGTTAAAATAAGGGGTGAGTTAGCATCATTCTCCTAACCCTTGGGGGCTCTTTATAAGGTAATTTTAAAAAAATTTTGGGGAAAAAAAAAAAACTTTTTAAATAAAAACCTAAAAATAAAAATTATTTTTTAAAAAAAAAAAAAAAAAAAAAAAAAAATAAAAAAAATTTTAAAAAAAAGAAACACAGCAGAAAAAGCATGAAAATCAGAATCCTCCTCCAAATTGCCAGTAATCGTCTGGATCTTTGGTGCTCCTGGAGGGGACACACACAGAGAGAAACTATTACTGAAAGGTCTTTACTGTAAAAAGTAGGATTTAATTTATAGTTCATTTCAGATAGATAGATAACTTTATTAATCCCACAATGGGGAAATTCACTTGTCACAGCAACATTTGAGTGAAATAAATAGGCTACAGATATTTAAAAAAAAAAACAGGAACATTTGCATACAGCAGGTCCAAGGTCTTATTGTCTCTGGTGGTGCATGTGACAAATTGGTTGAAGGTTCAGTTCAATTCAATTCAATTTTATTTGTATAGTGCCAATTCATAACAGAAGTTATCTCAGGACACTTTTCAAATAGAGCAGATCTAGACCGAACTCTTTATAACATTAATTACAGAGACCCAACAGTACCACCATGAGCAAGACCTTGGAGACAAAGGCAAGGGAAACACTGCCTGTTAAAAGGCAGAAACCTAGGACAGATCCTCCGGCTCTAGGTGGGCGGTCGTCTGTCTCGACCAGTTGGGGTGAGAGAGAGAGAAAGAGAGACACAGAGACAGACAGACAGACAGACAGACAGGTGCACAGCAACAACAGTATTGAGCTTGGTAACTGAAGGCTCTGGCTCCTGTTCTACTTTTAGAGACTATAGGAACCACAAGTAGCCCAGCATTCAGAGAACGTAGTGTTCTAGAGGGGTAATAGGGTACTATGAGCTCTTTAAGATATGAAGGGGCCTGACCATGAAGAGCTTTATAGGTGAGGAGGAGGAGTTTAAATTCTATTCTACATTTTACAGGGAGCCAATGCAGAGAAGCTAGTACAGGAGAGATGTGATCTCTTTTTCTAGTTCCTGTCAGTACTCGTGCTGCAGCGTTCTGAATTAATTGGAGCGTTTTAATGGACTTATTGGGGCAACCTGATAATAAAGAGTTGCAGTAATCCAGCCTTGAAGTAATAAATGCATGGATCAGTTTTTCTGCATCTGTCTGTGATAGGATGTGTCTAATTTTTGTAATATTACGTAAATGAAAGAAGGCAGTACTGGAGGTCTGCTTTATGTGGGAGTTAAATGACAAATCCTGATCAAAGATAACTCCAAGATGAGTCTCTGAGGTTTTTGGGGCCAAGAACAAGAATTTAGTTTTTTTCTGAGTTTAACATCAGAAAATTGCAGCTCATCCAGGATTTTATGTCCTTAAGACATGTTTGTAATTTAGATAATTTATTAATTTCATAACTGCGTATCATCTGCATAACAGTTAAAGTTAATGGAGTGATTCCTAATAATGTTGCCTAAAGGGAGCATATATAAAGTAAATAGTATTGGTCCAAGTACAGAACCTTGTGGAACTCCATGACTAACTGTAGTATTTATTGAAGATTCATCGTTAACATGTACAAACTGCGAACGATCTGATAAATATGACTTAAACCAGCTTAGTGCGGTTCCTTTAATGCCAATTTGATGCTCAAGTCTCTGTAAAAGAATATTATGGTCAATGGTGTCAAATGCAGCACTAAGATCTAATAATACAAGTACAGAGACAAGTCCATTGTCAGAAGCAATCAAAAGGTCATTAGATTAGCGCCTGGGTAACAGTCTACCTGAATTTGGTCATCTGGAATGCGTGGTAGCCTGGAGGTGTTTGAATCCCCGATGATGAGTATTGTACGGGAGGGATTGAGCATCCAGTTGCGGTAATTGTTACCATTGTGTTCATGGGATTGGTATAGGTGTTTTTCGATTCTTGGTTGTTTGTGGTGCTTTCATTTAGGTTTATTGGGGTTATTACCATTGCGTTTGTATTAGGGTTCCTATTTGGGTCTCCTTGTGGTGGAGCTAGTAGAGGTATTTCCGGGCTAAAAGAGAGGTTGAAATCTACTTCAAAGCTGTTTTCTCTGCTTCTTTCAAAATCTGAAATGGCGCCAGGCCATTCTGGTGATGGCTGACGGTTTTGGTTTGGATTTTCCGGTGTTTGTGCTTCCTGAATGACTTGGTGGCAAGGAATTTAGTCTAAATACGGAATTTCTTCTGCCATGGTTATTCTGTGGTCTTTTTTTTGGTGTGCTTTCTCGTGGTGTTCCTTCTTGTTCACTCCTGTGGCGTTTAGAGGGAGGTTCCCCTTCTTGGGAGGTTTCAGGTAGGTTTTGAGTATTGTGTGATTGGGGAATGGTTGGTTCTTTTGGGGTTGAGGGAATCTGTGTTGGTTCTACCTGTAGAGACGTTCAGCTGTGTTCATTATTTCTCGTAGTTTTTGTAGAGCTTCTTGTAGTACTAGAGGTTTGAGCTTTGGTAGATCTTTTTTCACCCATCTAGTGGCTACTGTAAGTGCTTCTTCCCAGTTGTCCTTTGAAAGGGCATGTAATTTGGTTGTGGTAGTGTTCTTCTAGCATTTGAAGTGTTGTATGTTTTTGGCGTTGTAGATTTTAAGGAGCTCTGTATTTGGGTTCAGGTACGCTGGTCTCACTATGTTTGTGATTTCGTTTTGGATTGTTTCCAGACGTGCCTGTGTTTGAGAATTTGGTGAGCAATTGGTATGGTGAAGCCTTGATATATTGGCTAAATGCTCTGGTAAGTTGTTGGAAGTTGCTGAGAGCCATGGTTGAACCTATGAGAGTAAAAAAAAGGGAAATAATTGGATTGGGTAATATCAGCTGGAGTATAAAAGAGCTTGTTCTTCCGAAGCACGGGCAAGGTTAGGTTTGTGAAAGTTATCTCGATGACTCCCCCCACCTCGTCCGACGACTGAGCAGTTGAACTGGGGAGCCAAAGGCAAGGCACTGGCCGCTGCACCCTATCAGAAGCTCTCTTATCCTATATTACCCTCTACAGTAGTTTATATGTCTTACATTGTAGTCCCAATTTGGGTGAATTCTGACTTAACTTTCTTGAAAGAGATAAATAGTTGTCGTGATTGTTAGGGTTAGGGAATAGGTTGGGTGTAATTGGCTACCAAATTGGGAGAAAGGGGGATAAAATCTGATACAAATTTATGAAAAAGGAAATGTGGGAACATATGGTCTAATTTTGAAAAAGCAGCATCATTTAACAGTAAGTCCACATTAAATCACATATAGAAAAACATTTCTGCTGCACTGCTTTCTTGATGTTGGATTTTGCCACATCTGTTTTTTTTGTTTTTTTTTCATTTACAAATTACAGTGGGTAAAATCTTATTTCATTGTAAAACTGTGCACAGAGCTTTGATGTCTCTCTCTGTCTCTCCATCTGTCTGTCTGTCTGTCCCTCTGTCTCTCTCTCTCTGTCTGTCTGTCCCTCTTTCTCTGTTGAATGTAAAACCACATACAACTAATGAGATTAACCTTAAAATTGCAGAAAAAAAATCTTAAATTGTCAGTATGGAGATAAACCTTTATATAACAGGCAAAACATTTAATAATATATCGCAAAAATCGTAATTATTATAGTAATTTTCTGTAAAAAAAAAGGAAAATAACTGTAGTTTGTCATTATTGGCATAACATAAAATAACAGGCGGATTGTTAATTTACAGATAATGTCTGTAATTTTACTGTTTTTTATACTATTTAAAACAGAAAAACTACTGTTAAAATTCAGAGTAATTTACTTTAAAATTATGATTTTTTTTTAGAGTGTAGTGAAAGGCAACCGTAGATGTACAGAGGATGCACAAACTGGTAAATGAGAAAGGCCTTCTGTCTCTCTGTGTTTGAGTGTGGCTCTCTTCCTGATTACTTGCGGTCTGACTGCTCACACCTGCATCCATCGACTCATCCGCCCTGCAGTACATCGACCCCGGGTTCTGCACCCGCTCTCCCCCAGAATAGGAGGAATCGTTGATTCAGCTCCTATCAACACTCTCGGCCATGTTGAGGAGGCTTATGGTCATACTTGCTTATGCTTATACACACCAGGGCACAAAGTTTATTTTTCCAGAATAAAAACAACAGCAAGAATGGCCAACACACACCCCTTTTCCCAGGAAATCCCCACAAGGGATACCTTGGGAAAAAGGATTTCTCTTTCTACCCCTAACTCCTAACCCCTAACCCTAACCCTGCCAACACACTCTGCCTTCTTCTCAGCCACTGCCTGCCGGTCGTTGTGCCTCCTGTTTTGTGATAAATGTTCGTTGCACTCCCTGAGTTTGTGTTTTGGGTTCCTGTTGTTGAACTTAACACCTCACACTGTTTGCAGTAAAACTGTTCTACCTTTGTTAACGTGTGGAATTACAGGAACGTTTGGGCATCTCAAGCCTCCGTTAACGTCCTCAAACCATTTTCCAAATGTTGCATTAAAAAAGTTCTACCATGTCACAGTATTTCCCTTCTTATCCTCTCTCCATCCACCCACCCTGGCACTGAACCTGCAGAGGCGGGAACAGATTTGTAATCCTGGGCAGAAAGTCAATGTTTGTGTGTGTGTGTTTTGGCCACAGAAGACATATCGGGGTCATTCTGGGGGATTTCTAGAGAAAAGCTGCAGTCGAGGGAGGACAGCTGACAGGTTCTGAGGAAATTCTCAAGAAAAGTTGTGTGTTCAATTTATTCTGTCTGAACAGAATAAATAGATCTTATAGGTCACATTATTTTATTTATTAGTTATATAAGGCAGCTGTTCCCAACCCTTTTCCTTAATGGAGGCTCTTCTATCATTCTGTAAACTATATTTTATGTATATTACATATTTTATTCAATAACAATAGCAGAGAACAACTGAATCTGTATTTTACTGAAGGGATGTATAAACATTTTAAATCATAAACATTAATTTTCTTCTTGTCTTCATTCCAGGGTCTCATACAAAAAGTTAATATGAGAGTATAACTGAGGCAGTTACCAACACCAGTTACTTCTTAAATCAAATATGTTTTCATGCTTAGATTGTTTGAGTTCATACATTTGAACAACTCATCAGGTCTTGCAGTGGCGGGTACTGATGCACAGTCTCAGTGCCTGAATCACATCCAGTCTCTTAATAAGAGACTTGGCTGCTGATCCATAAACGCTTCCATCCGACAAAGATCTCAGCGAGGACATTCTTTTTAACGATGAGCTCCCCATTCCCTTCCCATCAAACATTCATCACCTTTGTCGTCCATTCTCCTGATATGGTCTTAATCTTGCATCAAAAAGAACTCTTCTTTCTAATTCTTTCCCATACATCTTTCAGTTCTTTTCCTGCTGCACCCCCACTCACACCCCCACTACCTCATCAGTTGCTTTTTGTGCTCTCCTGAGTTCAAGAAGCAATATCAGCATCCATTGCACTGTTGTCTACGGTCTATATATATATATATATATGTATATATTAGTGCTTCTTTTAATCGCGATTTATTGCATGATCTTCTGCGATTTATAAAAAATATAAAAATAATGAATTCAAAAGTAGTGTATTGCGCACTTTTATTTTAAAAGTACTGCTATATGAACAATGGAGTGGAATAACATTTGGTTTGCACTTATACACAACTTTACACTTTAAACCAATAAGTTGCTTTTTAGCAGCAGTATTCCCTTTACACAGTAGCAGTTCTTGCACTGTCTGAGCTCAGTGTGCTGACTTTATTTGAAACGTTCCACTGCTGTGAAACAAACGGTCTCTCTGTTTTCATTACAGTCAGAGCATGTGAATGCAGCTCCCCCTGTCCATCAATATAATGTACTGTCACTCCGAGGTTGTTACAGGTGGTTACCCAGCGAGGTCCAGTAGTCTCCAGTGAGAGCAACAGTTGGTGCACGTTGTAACGCCGTCGCTTTCGTAGTCCTCTCCTTTTCATACAACTCGTGCATTGTTCTTGTGATGGTGGTCTTGAGGGAGGCTCATAGTTCCGTCATTGGTTGCGATCCTATCTTCCACAATACTAATCGGCCTGCAGTTTGAAGCTATTATATCATATTATATTGTATTATATTATATCTTCTACAATACTAATCGGCCTGCAGTTTGAAGCTATTATATCATATTATATTATATTATATTATATCTTCTACAATACTAACCGGCCTGACGTTTGAAGCTATCCACTTCGCTATAGCATTTGTTAGCTTGTCTTACTTTTGGTTATCTATAACGTACTTCTCCCACACGCTGCATCCAACGTAGTCTGCCGAAGCACCAAACACTGGAGAGAGAAACTCCCTCTGGATTGATTTTAATAACTATTATCATATTAGTATTGGATCTAATTGCTTACTTTTAATGGTGCAAAAATACATGTGGACGCCACTTTATTTAGTCTGTGATTGATCAGGGTGACATATTGTATCTTCGCGCTGCCCTGATTCAGTGTAAGTCTATCTCTACGCTGCATTCTTACTGCATTGGTGGGTTGGACATTAGCTTATAAAGCGTCATGGACAGATCTCTGTAAGAGGCTCTGTGTCGTCTCTGGTAGTTAGTGGTTGCTTTTCATTGTACAGATCTGGGGAAGACTTACGCACCAAGGGCCCTCGAATAATCAGCAAAAAGATCTCAAATTAATTTATATCCACTGATGAATTTAGGCATACAGACAGTGGTGACGGAGGCATGTGGTTGTGTTTGAATAGTTTCTGTTTTATTGTGGATTTTTCTGTTCATGTTGTATTTTGCTGTGGTTTTGTACAGCTGCTACCTCGGCCAGGTCTCTCTTGTAAAGCAGATTTAAAGATCTCAGTGGAAAATATTTGAGCAGCTTAATTAACGACGCGTCCTTCCACATCGTGTCTTTGTCTTTGTCAGAAAACAATTACTGACTCTTTATTCTTATTTGAGTTTCCAGCCTTATCACTGAGTCCATGGTATTCCTCCCTTTTCTGAAACCACTCTGATAAGATTCCTTTCTCAAGCTCATATGACAGCCTTTCAGTTACCATCCATTATCTTGCATATTAAATGTTAATGCTGTTGGCCTGTAACTAGTAAGTTTAGCTGGATCCTCGCCAGGTTTGCTAACTGGATTTATGACTGTTTCTGTCTGTGCACTTGGTTATCTTCCATCCTCCCACTCTGTCTTTGAGGGCGCTCCTTCTTCATGCTTTAACATGACTTTATTACTCTCTCAGCATCTCTGTCAAAGATAATGGTTTATTATTATTATTACAAGTGGTTGCCAACCTGGGGGTCGCCAAAGTGATTTTTTTATTAAATATTAATAAAACTACAAAAAGAGCCTGTGGATTTACTTAAATGATGTGAAAGACGTGTAACTGTAAATACGGAAGCCGAGAACGGCCATGGATTTATTTATTTTTTTGCTGCACTGTTATATCGTGATAACGACTTATTATCTCATTATCTCGATATAACAAAGATCGTTTTCTCGTGATAACTTATTAATTAATAACGTGTTCGTCTTGATTTCGACCTACAAGAGCTGCCACGAACGGCTCCCATTCCAGTGAACAAACTAACGTAAAGTGTAACTTACCGGTAGGCTACAGCTACAGCCAGTGGCTACTGAAGTCGTTTGTGGCAGCTCTTGTAGGTTGAAATCAAGATGAAAAAAGAAAAAGAAAAATCCATGGCCGTTCTCGACTTCTGTCTGTAAATGATAATAAATTACTATTTATTTATAGATGATTTAAATATCTTCATATAAAAAGATAAAAATAAATTTTGCAAATCTATAATTTTATTATCGCAGATATTTACTGTTTATTTAATAGATTCAACTTTTAAATTCAAGTTTAATACTGTAAATACATTTCTAAAATTATGTAAATTAGTGACAATTAACAGTAAAAAGTATTTGTTGTGTAATTTTACATAGATTTGTTTGTTAATTGACAGATATTTTATATATATGTATAATTATGGACGTTTTCACAACAGAAACGTTGAATAAATGTTGTTTATAAGCATTGGTAAACTGTCCAAATACAGTTTTTATCAGTGTAAACAGCAATAATTACTGTAATCTCACAGACAATGACTTTTATTAAAGGTCTATAACTTTTAACATTCACATTAAAACAGTAAATTGAACTGATTATATGTATTATAGCAGAGTTCACCTGTATTTATAGCTCATTGCATTGGTTTTACAGTGTAAATATCTTTAATTAAATTAAAGATGTATTTTATTTATAGAAAATGACTGCATTTTTTGGGAACCACTGGGTTGTTGGGTATTATTGTCCTGTTAAAGGGATACCGGGGTTTTCAGGTGTGTGTTATTTAATTGAATGTATTTATTGATTATTGATTATTGACACTCCGGAGCAGCAGGTGGCGCTAATGCACCAATAAGCTGGATGTCAACCGCAATAAAACCCGACGAAGAAGAGAGTGTTGGTGAAGTTAACATGTGGAGAGACTTCATCTCCTTCTGGTGAGATTATTAACGTACAATTAAACCAATTTAACCCATATTATAACCCACAAATCCCAGCTTTTTATCGCGACCCTGCTGGAGGTGTTTCAGCCGGTAAATTCCCGCGTTTGTGAGCTATTAGCCTGTAGCTTAGCCTCTCTTGCTAACACAGCTAGCAGCGCAGTCGGTTGAGTTCTCTGTTATTTTATTGGTGAACATTATCTGAGCTGGTTCTTAGATTAGTTCAGTGACTGAGAGGAAAGTTTCATCTTCTTTTATCAGACTGTCGAGCCTCAAACCCCGCAGTAACGGACAGAAACGGCCCCGCGCCGATCTCCGTTAAAGAACCGTCAGATTTAACGGTTTCCGTGTCTCCGGTGGACACACACTCACGGTACAACATGTCTGAACGAGTTGTGGAGTCATTGCGACCTCTTTCATTAATTCGGCACACATCCAGTCCAACAAGCACTGATGGTTGTAGTTTAATTGGGACTTTTCTGTCTAATATCCGAAGGGTTGAAGGGGCTCTGTAGTCTTTATGTGTTCTTGTTTTCTGTAGAAGTCTTTATGTAATCTGGTATTTTTAACGCAGATCTCTCAGGACCTGTTCACTGTGTGGAAGATATTTTAGTGCTTACCTTATTGTTTGTTTGGGCTGTTGGTTATTCAGTTATAAATTAAGATTCTTCTCATTTTGGACTTAGTTAACGTACGTAATGACAAACAGCATTATAATGAAGTGTTTGTGTCATCAGTGGTTTTATCTTTAAACCTTTCTGGTTGTGTTTTAGATCCTGAATCAGCAGACGTTATCAGGGAATGTGTTTGAAAGTTTCAAATGGATTTTACAGAACTTTAAAATCACTTGTTTAAACGAAATGAAGTAAATGATTATTTTATTTTATTATTAATGATAATTAATGATAATAACTGATCATTATTGATAATAACTGATCATTAATGATAATAACTGATCATTATTGATAATAAATGATCATTAATGATAATAACTGATCATTATTGATAATAACTGATTATTAATGATAATAAATGATCATTAATGATAATAACTGATCATTATTGATGATAACTGATCATTATTGATGATAACTGATCATTAATGATAATAACTGATCATTATTGATGATAACTGATCATTATTGATAATAACTGAAGCTACACTGTGTGTGCAGATGGAGAACTACAGTAAGGCTCGGACGGTGGAGCAGCCGTCTGTCTGTCCGTTCCCCGGCCTCCCCCCCGACACGCCGGAGGTCCACGTCAAAGACGGCAGCAAGATCCGCAACCTGCTGCGCTACGCCCTGAGCCGTGTGGAGGCCAACCCCCGAGCGCCTGAGGACGAGGGACGCCCCGCGCCGGAGGAAGGAGGCGTGGCTGTGGAGGGACAACAGGAAGCGAAGGGCCGTCCGCTCTGCAAACAGATTGTCTTCACGGCGACCGGGAAGGGCGTGTCCAAAGCCATAACGTGTGCCGAGATCGTGAAGCGGCGCGTGAAGGGGCTCCACCAGCTCACCAGGCTGCTGTACAGCACCGCGGTGGAGGTGTGGGAGCCGCTGGAGCCCGCCGCCGGCCTCGACAGCCTGACGGTCAGCAGGAACGTGCCCGCCATCTGGGTCCTCCTCTCCAGAGAGCCGCTGGACTGCAGCCAGCCCGGATACCAGGCGCCGGGACGCTACGACGCCCTGTGGGCTCAGTCCGCCAGCAGGGAGGAGGGCGGAGGGTCCGCCGGGCAGAGACCGGGACACAAGAGGAAGAAAGGAGGAGGAGGTGGAGGAGGAGCAGGAGGTGGCAGAGGGAGAGGACCCGGACGTCAGGCTGGACGGTCCAGAGAACCGGCTAAAGGCCCGAGCTGACGGAGCTGTAAACTGTAAAGACTAAAACGATGTGAGACATTTCGTGGACACTTTGGTCCGATCAGCGTCCGTGTTTCCAGGCAGACGTTAGTTTGTGTTAGCCGTTGTTTCTTTAACCTGAAGAGACTTCAACCTTTTCCCTTAAAGGACTTTATCACTGAGTGAACTGACTTTATTCAACACACACAGAACAGCTGGAAGTTTTTAGATTATTTCTTATGAAAACTTCTTTTTCTGATATTTTTAGAATTTGTTTTTGCTTCTTTCTTCTTCTCCCTGATGTTTGGCCGTTGTACTAATGCAGTTTGTGTTCAGATATTAAATAATTCACTGTGAGTTATTTTAAGTTAAACATTCTTAAGTAGTTGTAACTTTTTTTTTTCACAATACAAATAAAAAATTCTAAATAAAGACAATGTCACTTAAAATTGACAAATATAATTTTAATGTTAAATGAACTTGAATAAATATATTGTTGATGAGTAAAATATATATATTTTCCAAGAAGAACTTGCGACCCCTCCATGAAGCTTTGGTGACCCCTAGTGGCGTCCCGACCCCCAGGTTGGGAACCACTGACATAAGCAGCATAATAGAATTAATTAATTGAATATTAATCGCGATTACAATCTCTGCTTCCCATGATTAAATGAATGTGATAATAATAACCGAACATTTCCTGCTGCTGCACCTTCACATTAAAAGCATTTAGCTGCCGGATAATGAGTTGACTTTTATTTTGAAGCAAGCAACTCAAGTAGTTTTGTGTGTTTTCTGCCTACTTTTACTTTTACGTTCTACATAAACCTTCTCAAAATATTATATATAATTCCGTACTTTCTCCTCCTAAACACAGGTCGTTACTTTAGTTTTAATGCATTTGAGGGGAATTATTATTTTGCATTATTGCACGCCTTCCTAACATCAAGACCGGAGCGTGATGGACGTAACGTGAGGAAACTGACAGAGGCGGTCGGTGGAAATGTCCTTCAGAGAAACCAAGAGAATACTTTTTACTTTGAGTATATTCGGGGTTCCCACTGGTCCTGGAAAACCTGGAAACAACCTGGATTCAAATGACCAAATATCCTAAAACTAATCCAAAGCAAAGTGGAACAGATCTTTTCGACTTTTTCCAGAGCTGCAAGTAAAGTTCTAAACTCTCCATTCATACAGACTATTAATGATGAAATATCTTGTTGCTGTGGTTGATAAATACATGAACACTCGATTGATGCCGTCAGTTTACCGGAAGCTTTTGAGCGTTTGTGAGCGTCTTCACAAACAAAGTAAAGACAGTGAATCAGTACTTTTCCTTGAGTAAAGTTTATATTTTGTATTTATATTTATGTAAATAGTATTTTGTTACGATGATTATTGTGAAGTAGAAAGTAGGGAATGGACGCAGTTAACAGGCAGTCCCTCCAGGACTTCTCAGGGTCCTGATACCACAGCGTCCACTCTCTCTCATCAATCTATCATCCAGTAATACTCACAAACTATTCAACCTAATGCAGCTTTTTTTACTGTAGAAAAACAAGATCCTTTTATTTTCAGTTGATAAATGACAACAAGTTATTGCACTCAACAAGAAAGGTACATAACACAAATACTAGACCCAGACAACAACAACAACACAAACAATCAGACTAGACAACATACAAAAACAGATAATTAAAGAAACAACAAAGAACAAAACAAACTAAAGTTATCATCCTCCATATTATAACAATATAATAATTTAATGCACACAGACAATGTAGATATAATAATATATAATAAAGTTGCAAAACCTTTAGAAATGATTTTGGCCCGTTTTCTCCAATAAACGCTCCCAACAGAGAAGAACCCTTTATGTCTCCTTGGAGAACATGTACGAGCCTTTCCAACGGGAGAACGTTAAGAAACCAACTTGAAACTGATGGTTTGTCATCGTCTACCCAGTGCTGTAGGACTGATAACCGTGCACAGTACCATGGATGAGCAGCACTGCAGAGGGTTGAGCTCAATAGGACGCCGTATTACAGGTCACTCTCTGTGACCAGTTTCAACCCAAATTTGATGAACTTCGGACGGAGCGGCTTTGCAGCTTCTAATCTCCCGTGTGTAGAGACGGTGAGCAGTCTGCTGAGGATCCTGGTGACATCTTGTGTCCACGTTGATCCTTTTATCTCCTCAGTCGGCCTCCCGGGCTCTCAGCTGCTTACAGCACAAGAGGATTAGAGTTTCCCTGCAGGATCAGAGCAGAGCATCAGGCAGTGGAACCAGAGAATGGAGCGTGGTGGACCGGTGGAGGCGTTCAGGCTGCTGCTGGTCTGCTGGCTGGTTGTCGGGCCGGTGCTGGCCCAGGCCCGCCACCCTCTGCCTGTGCTGTGGGTAATGCCCGTCAGCTCCGGGTTGGGGAAGGAGAACCTGACCGCCGCTGTGGCACCGGCTGTCAAACTGGCTCTGCAGGATCTACAGAGACAACCACCGCCGCTGGGAAACTACGAGATCCAGCTCCAGCTGCTGGACTCACAGGTGGGTCTCAGACTCTGTCCTCTTCCTCTGTCTGGAACCAGTATCACACTTATGTTTTCATCCCATGTTTCAGTGTGATCCTGCTAAATCACTCAAAGCTCTGTTTGATGCCATGTGGGCGGGACCAAAGTACCTGCTGGTGTTCGGAGGGGTGTGTCCATCTGTGATGGCGCTGATTGCTCGCTCTCTGCCAGCTCTCAACCTGGTGCAGGTACACTGGTCCACTTCAGGTTTATTGTTATTATTATTAAGTTGGTGCTCGTGTTTTTGACGCATCTGTTGATTCATGTCCTCTGATGTCCCAGGTATCTTTTGCGGCCTTGCCCCCTAGTCTGTCCAACAGGAAGTGGTACAGGAACCTGTTCAGCACAGTGCCGTCGGACCGGGCTCTGAACCAGGCCACAGTGAAGCTGCTGCAGCGCTACAGGTGGAGCAGAGTCGGTATCGTCACACAGGAAGGACCCAGACTCTCAGAGGTGATGCTGAGTATTATTCCTGATACTAATGAGGATGCTGGTAACGTCCTTGAGCCCCACCAACAAGCCAAAGTCTGTTTCAATCACTACCTGGGTGGCAAACCTTTTTTTTAGAAATCAGACCTGGAATCTTGTAAAAGGTTATAATCCAGAAATGGTCCTGTTTTGTCCACTGGAAGGGCCCAGAAGAGGGCACTTCATACCCCTTTGCCCCCTATATTTGTACCTTCATAAGGCGGTAAGAATCTCTACCTGATTCTCTGTGTTGGTGCAGATGAAGAAGGATCTGATCAGACAGCTGCTGAAGGCTGAAGTCCAGGTTGTTTCCACAGAAAGTCTCTCTGAAGACGTCTGCAGCAGCGTGAAGAAGCTGAAGGTACTGACCCCCGTCGATTATTGTACGCACAGATTTAGATTTAACGCAGAGGTAGAATCTGTTTATGTCATGATGCCAAATGATTCCTTTATTCTATTACAGGAAAGTGATGTTCGGATCATCATCGCACAGTTTAAAGAGGATTCTGCCTCTGAGGTTTTCTGCTGTGTAAGTACACTTATAGCCAAAGGTAGGTGGTCTGTTTTTCCTTGGCCCTCTTAGATATAATGAAAGGAAATCTAAATACAGCAGCGTACAGTGATATTTGAAAGCCAGCTCCATAAATAATCCCTGTGAGCAGAAAGCTCAGAATTCAGACTGCTCTGAACGTTTCCAACCTCCTTTTTCAACCTCACATGTCCAGCTGACGTCGGCTCATCACAGATGTCTTTATATGGTTATGTGCTCCAGGCTGAGCACGACTGAGCACGTCCAAGAAGTACAGGGACCCGCTCAGTTTTTCCTGTTGTGAGACAGATTTTCTAGCTTGTCCTCTGATGTCCTGCAGCTTCTCTGCCTCAACTCTCTTACAGAGCTTACTGATGCACATTTACTCGTAGCTATTAGCTTACTGCTAACTTCTGCTAACGGACTGGGAGCTCGAGGCCCTGGGGCTACCGTTAAATACAGACACTGAGCTCCCAGTCCGGGCAGAGTCACCGAATAGGATGGGTCTTAACTGCTAACCAGCCTACAGCAGCTACAGTTAGCAGCTAAAGTAGCTAACCGCTAACAACAAGTAGCTACGGCTGTATGTCCATCAGGAAACTCCCAGAGCAGCCGGAGGACATCAGAGACAATATTCACCTCCATAAAATCTGATCCAGTTTCACCAAAATCACTGATAAAATGATAAAGTTGAGCTTTTGTACAGGAATCACTGAAACACAAGAACTAAGAATATAGAGCTGAAAATGAGCGTTATAGGTTTAATGAATATTACACTGACACATACGAGAACGTTGAGCTGTCCGCATACTTTTGACCACATATTTTGTGAACCCAGCAATACGACACAAAACCTGCCTGAAAAAGAGCCAAGAAGTAGATTCTGAACAGTGCAGATGAACTGGCTCTCTTCACAAGGGGTCCAGCGAGTGTTAATGGAGGCGATAAAATCCTGTTTCACTGTTCTTGCTGATAAAAGTGTTCCAGGATTAATTTGATAACAGCAGCTGCTGTCTGTGGGACTCTCAGGCCTACAGGCTGAACCTGTTTGGACCTCGGTACCAGTGGATCGTTGCTGACGGAGGAACGTCTGGATGGAGGCTGGGGTGGCAGGGTTCTGGCTGTACGGCCGACAGTCTGCTGACGGCTGCGGACGGATCCATCCGGCTGCAGATGAAACAGCTCAGCAGCACGAACACACCGGGAGTCTCTGGACGGGTCAGTTCTGGTCTCTTCTATGTGCGCTGTTTCAGTAATGACTCTGACTGACTGTTGTTAACTGCAGACTCCTCAGGACTACCAGGACTCCTACCTCAGACAGCTGATCCAGGAGGGGTCAAAGGTCAGCGGCCTCCACGCCTTCGCCTACGACGCTGTTTGGGTCGCTGCCAAAGCTCTCAGTCAGGTGATGGAGGCTGTGAAACACAGAGAGAAGTACAGCGTCCAGAGGAACGTCAGTGTCAGTGAGGAGGAGGTCCACAGGATGCTGCTGGAGGCCCTGAAGCAGACGCAGTTTGAAGGAGTCACAGTGAGCGCATCCACACACACACCTGTAACACACACCTATAACACACACCTGTAACACACACCTATAACACACACCTGTAACACACACCTATAACACACACCTGTAACACACACCTGTAACACACACCTATAACACACACCTGTAACACACACCTGTAACACACCTATAACACACACCTGTAACACACACCTGTAACACACCTGTAACAAACACCTGTAACACACACCTATAATCACACCTATAACACACACCTATAACACACATCTGTAACACACCTATAACACACACCTATAATCACACCTATAACACACACCTGTAACACACACCTATAACACACACCTGTAACACACCTGTAACAAACACATGTAACACACCTATAACACACACCTGTAACACACACCTATAACACACACCTCTAACAAACCTGTAACACACGCCTGTAACACACAGCTGTAACACACCTGTAACACACACCTGTAACACACCTGTAACACACAGCTGTAACACACCTGTAACACACACCTGTAACACACACCTGTAACACACACCTATAACACACAGCTGTAACACACCTGTAACACACACCTGTAACACACAGCTGTAACACACCTGTAACACACCTGTAACACACACCTGTAACACACCTGTAACACACAGCTGTAACACACAGCTGTAACACACCTGTAACACACCTGTAACACACACCTGTAACACACCTGTAACACACAGCTGTAACACACCTGTAACACACCTGTAACACACAGCTGTAACACACCTGTAACACACACCTGTAACACACACCTATAACACACAGCTGTAACACACCTGTAACACACACCTGTAACACACAGCTGTAACACACCTGTAACACACCTGTAACACACACCTGTAACACACACCTGTAACACACCTGTAACACACCTGTAACACACACCTGTAACACACACCTGTAACACACCTGTAACACACCTATAACACACACCTGTAACACACACCTGTAACACACCTGTAACACACCTGTAACACACACCTGTAACACACACCTGTAACACACCTGGCACTACAGTATTTATTATATGAATGTTTTAAAATGTCTCCAGGGTCCAGTTTCCTTTCGGAACGGAGACAGAATGACGTCGATGGAGCTGATCCAGTTTCAAGGTGCTTTAAATCAGCTGATGCTCGTCTGTACAGGCAGCATGTTAATATTAATGAGTCTGTACATTCACAACCTGTGTGTGTGTGTGTGTGTGTGTGTGTGTGTGTGTGTGTGTGTGTGTGTGTGTGTGTGTGTGTGTGTGTGTCTGTGTGTGTGTGTGTGTGTCTGTGTGTGTGTGTGTGTGTGTGTGTGTGTGTGTGTGTGTGTCTGTGTGTGTGTGTGTGTGTGTGTGTGTGTGTGTGTGTGTGTGTGTGTGTGTGTGTGTGTGTGTGTGTGTGTGTCTGTGTGTGTGTGTGTGTGTGTGTGTGTGTGTGTGTGTGTGTGTGTGTGTGTGTGTGTGTGTGTGTCTGTGTGTGTGTCTGTGTGTGTGTGTCTGTGTGTGTGTGTGTGTGTGTGTGTCTGTGTGTGTGTGTGTGTGTGTGTGTGTGTGTGTGTGTGTGTGTGTGTGTGTGTCTGTGTGTGTGTGTCTGTGTGTGTCTGTGTGTGTGTGTGTGTGTGTGTGTGTGTGTGTCTGTGTGTGTGTGTGTGTGTGTCTGTGTGTGTGTGTCTGTGTGTCTGTGTGTCTGTGTGTGTGTGTCTGTGTGTGGTGTGTCTGTGTGTGTGTGTGTGTGTGTCTGTGTGTGTGTGTGTGTGTGTGTGTGTGTGTGTGTGTGTGTGTGTGTGTGTGTGTGTGTGTGTGTGTGTGTCCTCAGGTAGCAGTGGTGTGTTGGTGGGAGACTTCAGTACTTCCACCCAACAGCTCCGACTGATGAACCACCTGCTGAGGTTTAAAGGTGAGATAACGGTTTCCACTCTCGTGGTCTCCGGTTCTGAAATCATGCTAACAGACTGAGACTGGACCTCGATTCTAACTGGCTGTTTGCTCCTGCAGGTCCAGGACCACCCAGAGACCGGACTCTGGTCCTCGTACAGCAGCAGCACATCAGCCTCCTTCTGTACAGCGCCGTATCATCAGCTGCGTCTGTGACCATCATCATCGCTCTGACGGCCCTCCTCCTCGCCGTCGTCAACCGTAAACGGTAAACGGGTACAGCCTCAGTGTCGGACGCGGATCTGACGGCTCCTGGTTTCATCACTGTTGTTTGTGTGTGTGCCCCCCCCCCGCAGGCTGCTGAAGTCAGGCGGTGGATCCCAGGACGAGCTGCTGCTGCTGGGCATCCTGCTGTCCTCCTCCTCAGTCCTGATGTCCGGCCTGGACGGAGCCTCGCTGTCCGACCAAACATCTGAGGTCCTCTGTTCTGTGAGTTCAGGCAGCTGCAGACACAGCTTAGCTACAGTTAGTTAATAATGTTAATAATGTTAATAATGGCCGACCAATCAACCAGCAAATGGCAAACCAGCGGGATCAGCCCTGTGAGTCTGGATGAAGCTATGCTACAACCCGTTCACTTATTGGCAATAAAAAGTGATTAATACATACAAACTAAATGCTACCTATAAGTAAAGTTGTGAATGGAGTATTTTCACAGTGTGGCGTTCGTACTTCCACCCACTGCTAGGTTCGTCTGTGGACTCTCTCCGTGGGACACACTCTGGCCTTCGCTGTGCTGTTCACCAGAACATGGAGGCTTCATTCGCTCTGCAGCTTCACACAGACGGTAACCGCTGACCCAGCTTGCAAACACACAGATCTGACCGTCGGACTCTGGGAATGAAATGTTGTCTGTCTGTGTTTCCGTCTGCAGCGAGCCGGCTGTGTGCTGCTCTGGATGCTCCTGCTGGATGTGTTTGTTTTAACCTCCTGGCAAATCCTGGACCCCCTCAGACGGGTGGTGCTGCAGCATAGCTTAGAGGTAACAGTAACACCGAGGACGGATCCTGTACTTACGTAGAAGTACAACAATGTAGAAGTACTTTATTACCTGAACTGTAAATCCCAAATAGTAATAATTTCTTCCAGAAGGATCCTGCTGATCAGGACGTTGTCATCCGACTGACCTCTGAACGCTGCAGCAGCGCCAACATGGAGCTGTGGCTGACGGCTGTCTGCGGATACAAAGGACCTCTACTGGTCAGTACTGACACAACACGCCAACAGACAATGTTAGGTTGTACTGTATAGCAGGTAATGCTAATATTAAAGGGTCCATATGTGAGTCAGTGTGTGAGCAGAGAGTGAACGGGTTGTAGTGGAGCTCTGTCCCTCTGCTGTCTGTGGACTGATCTCTATGTGTCTCTATGTAGGATGAGGGTCAAAGGTTGTGACCTTTATGCTCCCGAGTGCCAACAGTGGGCGACACAGAGTCCAACACAGAGTCCACAACCCAGAGTCCAACACAGAGTCCACAACACAGAGTCCAACCCAGAGTCCACAACACAGAGTCCAACACAGAGTCCAACACAGAGTCCACAACACAGAGTCCAACACAGAGTCCACAACACAGAGTCCACAACACAGAGTCCAACACAGAGTCCACAACACAGAGTCCAACACAGAGTCCACAACACAGAGTCCAACACAGAGTCCACAACACAGAGTCCACAACACAGAGTCCAACACAGAGTCCACAACACAGAGTCCACAACACAGAGTCCACAACACAGAGTCCAACACAGAGTCCACAACACAGAGTCCACAACACAGAGTCCAACACAGAGTCCACAACACAGAGTCCAACACAGAGTCCAACACAGAGTCCACAACACAGAGTCCACAACACAGAGTCCAACACAGAGTCCACAACACAGAGTCCACAACACAGAGTCCAACACAGAGTCCAACACAGAGTCCAACACAGAGTCCACAACACAGAGTCCAACACAGAGTCCACCACAGAGTCCACAACACAGAGTCCAACACAGAGTCCACAACACAGAGTCCACAACACAGAGTCCACAACACAGAGTCCAACACAGAGTCCACAACACAGAGTCCAACACAGAGTCCACAACACAGAGTCCAACACAGAGTCCACAACACAGAGTCCACAACACAGAGTCCAACACAGAGTCCACAACACAGAGTCCACAACACAGAGTCCACAACCAACACAGAGTCCACAACACAGAGTCCACAACACAGAGTCCAACACAGAGTCCACAACACAGAGTCCAACACAGAGTCCACAACACAGAGTCCACAACACAGAGTCCACAACACAGAGTCCAACACAGAGTCCACAACACAGAGTCCACAACACAGAGTCCACAACACAGAGTTCAACACAGAGTCCACAACACAGAGTCCAACACAGAGTCCAACACAGAGTCCACAACACACAGTCCAACACAGAGTCCACCACAGAGTCCACAACACAGAGTCCACAACAGTCACTAGAAGCTGGGGTTGTCCAGCTAGCAGTGTCTTGGCGTTGCGGTGTGGGTCTGGTGTCGGTTGCTTCGTGGTGTTGGCTGATGGGCTGATGTGTAAACAGCGAGCTAGTTAGTAGCATGGAGCTAACGGTCCAAATAAAATATAGGAACATTGCAGATATATAATTTATTTTGCTGATGCCCAGGATGATGCTCGCAACAGGACGCCGACTGCAACCGTTCACTGTGCCGAGGTCCCAAACTTCAGTGTATTAAAATAACGACGTGGTGTTTTTCCGTCAGGGTCTCGGATGTTTCGTGGCCTGGACCATCAGGACCGCGCCGGCCGATCATCCCGCCGTCAGCAGTAAACACCTGACCCTGAGTATGTTCGCTGTGACGGGGTTCAGTGTGGCAGGAGTGACGGGATCCCTGCTGACGTCCCACAATCCTCCTGTTCAGTTCTGTGTGACCGGCGTCCTCATCCTCTGCTGTAACATCTGCACCCTGAGCTGGTTGTTCGGACCAAAGGTCAGTGCCACGCTAAGTGAACTCTAACAAATGGTTGAAAAATATTTCAATGTAGTTTCTAACAGGCTGATTATGATCTCATCGTAACAGTACTCCTTATAAAACTACTGACAGAGCCATCAACAAGCACCTGGCGACAGTGGCAAGGAAAAACACTATTTGTCATAATACATAGTTTATATAGTATCGTGGATGTTGTTAGCTGATGAAGTAATTTGACAAGCTAGCGTTAGCCCCGGGAATCTGGGTAAATAAATTAGTAAATTAAGTGTTTGAGTGCCGGATAACGTTAGCTTGCCTGAAAGCTAATGTAGAGTTCGCTCACGTTAGCAAATTACCAATTACCAAATTAATGCTACTTCACCAGCTAAAGTGATCCACTAACTTATGTATTGTGACACACAGTGTTGAGTGTGTTCAACAATAAATAATGTATTAGTGCTAAGTTAGCTGGCTAGCAATTTGTTTGCATTAGCGATCAAGTTAACGCCGGCCGTTTGTAGACGTTAGCAAACTCCTTTTTCACCTGTTTTTATTTCTTTTTATTTCTCTGCAGGTTTTGTTTTTGTGTCTGAACGGCAGCGAGCTGCAGGGTGAAGCTGCAGAGGGCGACGACGGAGAACACGAAGTCGAGCAGCTGAGCAGGTTAAACCAGCAGCTGAAGAGTCAAACTGCACAGGTGAGGACATCAGTGAGGAGACTGCCGTGTGTCCGACTGATGGTTAAGTGAATTAACACTGCAGCGCTGTTTGTTGTGTTCTTTGCAGCTCGACGTAGAAATAGAAACCATCACCATGCAACTCTCCGAGGAGTCAGCTCCTGACTCGAAGCCTCACATGACGACAGAAACAAACAACGGTAATAAAAACATGAAGTCGTACAAAGATACTGTGAAACCGAAAAGGTCTAAAACTCAACTCAGAGTACTGCATGAAATCTCCACAAGTGTACAGGAACCCAACAATTGTCAATGTGCCCCACGGCCCACCAGACTCCATTGACAAAATCAGTAACTTTATCTTGCAGATAATTGTAAAACACACTACAGAGTGGACAGAAATAAAATAAAACTCCACTAACAGTAGTTGTTTCTGCCACTGACAGACTCAGGTTGTTATAGTCAGTGTCTGACAGCATTATGGAAAGGATCCCTACAGAGATAGACCTTTAGTTTAACCACAAACAGCCGTAATATCACTATCACTCTCCACCAGACTCCAGAGACACAAACACTCATTTTACCTTCAGATCATCAGAACTTCATTAAAGTGGACAGAAACAGAATAAAACTCATTAAAAGCGTCTCTGTTAGTGTTTCCAACAATCACCAACTCTGGTTTGGTGGAAATAAATCCTTAATTCACCGACGTAGATGATAAAAACAGCAGTTTCAGTCGGAGCAGACCGGCTATGGAAACAAACCACAGAGAGGCTGCGATACAACACAGGCAGAGGGAGAGAGACACCATGTGACTCTGTGTATAGAGAACAGCTGTTTGCTGCTTCATAATCTCCTTTAAACTGGAGTCAGTATTATAACAGAACTCCGTTTACAGCTTACGTTAGTGTTAACTGCTCCAGTCTCTCTAATCGGTATCATTATCAACCTTTTCCTCTCAGCAGGCGAGGTCAGATCTGTGACGTGGACTCATGTGGTTCAGGTCTGCTCTGAGGACAGAAGCTCAGAGAGGCAACTCACAAGTCCAGACAGCATCAACTCTCCTGAACGGTGAGTCCAGAACAAACCAGCCATTTTATGAACTCACTACAGACAGTGGGACAGTTTCATTCTATCAAACTTTGAGATGTTTGTTCACATTTTTGTTTTGACTGTTTATTTTGGAAATGTGGTAGAGAAAATAAATTTGAAAGGAAACTTGTCTTATAAGTGAGTTGAGCCAGAAAGCTAACATTAAGGATGAGGCACTGAAGGATTTTCACATATTAGAATGAATGAAGAGTTGGAGTTTTTGCATGTTTTCAACTGTTTTAACAGAGTTTTCTTGGTTTAATTTCCTTCCTTCCTTCCTCTCAGTGTGCGGCGCCGGCTGTCCGTGCAGCTGCCCATCCTCCATCATTCCTACCTGCCTGCCGTCGGTGGCGTCAGCGCCAGCAGCTCCAGTCTGTTCGGCAGCCGGGAGGCCTTCGTTTACGCCGATGGCAACTTTGTGTACGACTGACGCCACATTACTGCTCAACCAATCAGACGGCAGCTGTGACTGACTGTATTTATTTCTATAGACCAGGGGTCACCAACCTTTTTGAAACTGAGAGCTACTTTATGGGCACTGAGTCATACGAAGGGCTACCAGTTTGATACACTCTTCTGAAATAACAAATTTGCTCAGTTTGCCTTTAGTTATATATTATTATTATTATTATTATTATTATTATTAATAATGATTAATGATACTCATCTATGTGAAGACACTGATCACGTTAATGATTTCTCACAATAATTATCAACAATGACTTTACAAGGTGGAAAACAGATAATATCAATATTCAACACTTTATTTCTATTAATCTCAGCAAATGTTAAAATTTTCAGATGATCACTTCTTATAACATTAGCCACTAAAACTTTTAACAAATCATGACCTATGTTGCACCATGTTTGAAAAAGTTATCAATTATGTAATGTTTAAGAAAAATCAACTTTCATATTTTTAAATAAATCTTTTCACATTTTGAACTAATGATCAAATCTGCTGCATTTTTAACAAAATTAAATCTGTTACATTTCATGGACACACTTTTGAATTGAACACAATGTTTCAATATTTTAATTAACTTTGCCATGGCACTGCCATGTTGCCACTGACAACATCTGGTATCTGTTTCTTTGTTAGAGTGAAGACTGGCAGTGCAAGCTGTTCACCAGTGTATCGTAATCTGGTCGGCCATGTTACCGGACATATGGTGCTATCCATTTGTCTCGTGAACTCGGAGCCGAGTTGTTCTGCCGCGAGAACGTGACGTCATTGCCTGGCTTGTACCACTGATAGCTCCAGTTTGTCTTTGCACATTACGAGTCAGAAAGAAGTGCAGCAGCTGTGTTGTTATTGTTTGTGGCTCATCTAAACAAGCTCAATGTGAAATAATAATAATGTTTTTCTACAGAAACAAACATTTCAAGTAATTCCGTTATTGCAAGTCTTACATTTCAATAACATTTTGCCATTTTCGCCTATTTAAATTTCAACAAGTGCTGTGGCATTTGTCTCGAGCCACCAGGGGCCACCAGGAGCCACCAGGGACCTCCAGGGGCCTCCAGGAGCCACCAGGGGCCTCCAGTGGCAGGCTAGTGTTATTGTTAGCTACATTAGCCTATTTAGAAAACCAGCTTGAAAACAAAACTTTACATTGTATTGAACTCACAGCAACACGGTGCAATGCATAAACTGGTGACCGGACTAAAGCAGCAATGTAAACAGTGTGTAGGAGCATTTAAAATCGTCATTAAAACGACCAACGTAGCACAAATACAAAGAACATACATCTCAATATGGACGCTGCCATCTTTGTTTTGCGGGTCGTATGTGCCCCCCCATCCAGCTCGGTGAACCCTCAGGAACACCGAGCTGGACGTCTGATATTACGACCACAAGGGGGCGTGTCTCGGTGAAATCTCGCGAGATAGCTGCGAGATTTACACTTTCCAACTCGGGTTCCAAGTTCACGAGACAAATGGAAAGCACCAATAGCCGACACTCGTCTAGCCATCGTAGATGCCCCCAGTTGGACATCGGAGAGAGTGGAGATTCGATCAGTTCCATTTTTCTCGTCTTTAATTACAGTGTTAGCAATTATCATCATTGCTTCTTTGACTACTTCTCCGTCTGAAAATGCCTTCTTCTTCTTCTTTATCAGAAAATGTGTAGCTCTAAACGAGGCTTCGGTTGCTTTTTGGGAGTCTGTCGCAGGCCTCGTGAAAAAAGACTGCTGCTTACCCAAAGCTGCCTTCAGCTCCCAGGCTAACCCGATGGGTAGTTAGCGTGGTAGCCTTTGTGACACGTAAGGAAGTGTCTCTCCACATTGTGCCACAGTCGCCACAGTCGCCTCAGTCGCCTCGCAAATGAGACACACGCAGATGTTTCTTCTCACAGTAGTAAAAAATAACTCTTCCTCTCATTCACTGTGAAATGATTTTGAGTTTTCTTTCTTTTTCTGCCGTGTTTTTTGGGGTAAGAAACCGCATTCAGCTCCCCATCTTCGCTGCGCCCGCGAACGCTGAAGTTTTGTCATGTGCACAATACTGACCTTTGACCTTTCCAACTTGTTGTGTTGTGCTATTTTTAGAACAGGCCTGTGGGCGACTCATGTGGTCCTTGGGGGCGACCTGGTGCCCGCGGGCACCGTGTTGGTGACCCCTGCTATAGACGTATATGGAAATATAAATGGGACCATACATACACAACAGTGCACTTTGTGTTATTGATTGATATCTTGGTTTGTAAGAAAAATAAAATTCTAAAATGAGAAGAAAATGTTTCATCTTCCTGTTTTATATTCCTGAAATGGATTAAATATGTTGAAGAGAAGCTGCTCAGCGTCGTCTGTCCACTCATATTAAACTGCGTTCAGGAGCTGCTCCTCGTCACCGGGACCAAAGTATCAGAGGATTGTTTCAACACGGACCTTTTCTCTTGTAACACAGGAAGTCTCTTACCGCTGCACTGCTGCATATGCTAACTGTGACTAACTAACTATCATCAGCAAACTGTAGGAAGTTGAAGTGGGAGTCTTGGATTTTAGACTGTTTGCTTTATGAAGAACAAAGGTGATAAAATGGCACCGTGTGATGCAGCTGTGTTTACAGTCCTCATCTCTGACACCTTTTACAGACAGTCTAGGATTGCATCATTTAAAATAAGGAACACTGACATTATTGTCTTTATTAGTGGTTGTTTGACTGATGATCAAAGTTCACATTCACAGCGCTGCTCCTCTTCCTGGAATGAACCACAGCTTGATAACCCCTCCCTCTTCCTCCTGTTCTCAAACACAGCGAGCTCCTCTCTGCACACATATTTCCTTGTTCCCTCCCCTTTAGATCTACAGTTTGAAGATGGGTGTAACCAACATGTGGTGATGTGAAAGAGCCCACAGCCCCCATTCGCTGCAGAAACACCTGTTGATTACATCAGAGCTCAAACTAGTTTCAGCTCTGAGGAAGTGAAACTCAGACAGTCGCTGTCACTGAGAGGGGAAATGGCGCAGCAAGGAGTTCAGCTGGACCGAGAAAGATTCTGCTGTCCGATCTGTCTGGATCTACTGAAGGATCCGGTGACTACTCCCTGTGGACACAGCTACTGCATGAACTGTATTAAAAGCTTCTGGGATGAAGAGGATGAGAAGAAAATCCACAGCTGCCCTCAGTGTAGGCAGACCTTCACACCGAGGCCTGTCCTGAGGAAAAACACCTTGTTAGCAGATTTAGTGGAGGAACTGAAGAAGACTGGACTCCAAGCTGCTCCTGCTGATCTCTGCTATGCTGGACCTGAAGATGTGGCCTGTGATGTCTGCCCTGGGAGAAAACTGAAAGCCCTCAAGTCCTGTCTGGTCTGTCTGGTTTCTTACTGTGAGAAACACCTCCAGCCTCATTATGATGTGGCTCCATTAAAGAAACACAAGCTGGTGGACCCCTCCAAGAAGCTCCAGGAGAACATCTGCTCTCGTCATGATGAGGTGATGAAGATGTTCTGCCGTACTGATCAGCAGTGTATCTGTTATCTCTGCTCTGTGGATGAACATAAAGGCCACGACACAGTCTCAGCTGCAGCAGAAAGGACTGAGAGGCAGAGAGAGCTCGAGGTGAGTCGACAAAACATCCAGCAGAGAATCCAGGACAGAGAGAAAGATGTGAAGGAGCTTCAACAGCAGGTGGAGGCTATCAATCGCTCTGCTGATAAAGCAGTGGAGGACAGTGAGAAGATCTTCACTCAGCTGATCCGTCTCATGGAGAAAAGAAGCTCTGATGTGAAGCAGCAGGTCAGATCCCAGCAGGAAACTGAAGTGAGTCGAGTCAAAGAGCTTCAGGAGAAGCTGGAGCAGGAGATCACTGAGCTGAAGAGGAAAGACGCTGAGATGAAGAAGCTGTCACACACAGAGGACCACAACCAGTTTCTACACAACTACCCCTCACTGTCAGCACTCAGTGAATCTACATCCAGCATCAATATCCGTCCTCTGAGGTACTTTGAGGATGTGACAGCGGCTGTCTCAGAGCTCAGAGATAAACTACAGGACGTTCTGAGGGACAAATGGACAAACGTCTCACTGACAGTGACTGAAGTGGATGTTTTACTGCCACAACCAGAGCCCAAGACCAGAGCTGGATTCTTACAATATTCACGTGAACTCACACTGGATCCAAACACAGTAAACACACGGCTGTTATTATCTGAGGGGAACAGAGAAGTAACATTAATGAGTCAACAACAGTCTTATTCTAGTCACCCAGACAGATTCACTGACTGGCCTCAGGTCCTGAGTAGAGAGAGTCTGACTGGACGTTGTTACTGGGAGGTGGAGTGGAGAGGGGATGGAGTTCGTGTAGCAGTCGCATACAAGAATATCAGCAGAGCAGGGAGGACAGATAAATGTTTATTTGGATTCAATGACAAATCTTGGATGTTAAAATGTTTCACAAATGGTTATAACTTTTATTACAACAGTGTCCATACTCCTGTCTCAGGTCCTCAGTCCTCCAGAGTTGGAGTGTACCTGGATCACAGTGCAGGTATTCTGTCCTTCTACAGCGTCTCTGAAACCATGACTCTCCTCCTCAGAGTCCAGACCACATTCACTCAGCCTCTCTATGCTGGACTTTGGCCTATATATCATGGATCCACAGCTGAGTTGTGTAAACTGAAATAGACAGAAGTGATTTCAGGGACAGTGGGTTAAATTCTGTGTTTCATTTCTTCAAATGGTTTTGTTTCCATCGTTGTTGCTGAGAGCTGATTGTTGTGGCATTTCTTCACTGCACAGAGATCATCTGTCAATCAAACATTGTGGGCGGTACTTTGACATCTTCTCATTAGTTGTTCTGTAAATGTTTGAGTGTCTTTAGGTGGCGCTCCTTCCTGTGTCTGTTTAGCCATGGAGCCTATCACTGCTCATGATGACTGTTGTTTACCTGAACTGATATTTCTCTGCATGAAAATGTAAACTTGTGTTTGTTGAATATTTGTAATGATGTATTTGTATGTTGTTGTTTCTCTTCCACTGTATGGGTCTAAGAGAGAAAGCAGCAGACCTTCCTTTATCGGAGATATTCTGTTCTCACCGCTTTGGAAAGAAATCTATAATCACATTTATTTGGTTGTTGTTGTTGTTGTTGTTGTTGTTGTTGTTGTTGTCCAAATCCACGTACAAATGAGGAACTATGAGGGATTATAAAAGTGTATTCAGCAGGATGATAATCAATAAGCAGATGATTGATTATTTCCTTGTACATAGCTGAGATTCTGCTCCAACAAACTGATTGTGTGGATGAAGTGAATCTGTACATGAACTCATTGAACAAGAGTCATTGAACAGACTTTACTGATGGGATGTGTGAACAAACTGAAGCTTTACATCATGAATAAACAAACATGAACAAAGTATTTTCTTCTTGTCTTCATTCCAGGGTCTCATACAAAGCTGATGGAGAAACTGTGAAACTAATATGAGAGTATAACTGAGGCAGTTTTCCTCCTGAAACACCACAAAGTTCAGAGTTCATGTTCAGAGCAGAAGAGCATTTGTCAGTCAGTCTCTGTCCTTTCAACTTTCCTCACTAAAACAGCTTCGTCACAGAGAAATGAGCAGAGTTTTCTATCACTTGTTGCTTTTTACAACCAACATTTTGTTTGTGCACTCAGTCAATAAAGAGGATTTATTACACAGGCTGAACAAAGTGGACAAATAATCAGAATTCATTGGGTCCAGTTTGAGTCCTGAAATGAAACAACAGATATCGTGTAGTTGTGGACTTGAGCTCATTTCATTCATTGTGTGTGTGTGTGTGTGTGTGTGTGTGTGTGTGTGCTCCACCTGCTGTTTCTTATTGGAATTACAGAGGACAATCTACACTAAAGAACTTCTGCACACGTTTTAATATTTCCCTTCAGTCCAATGAGCCTCTGCTGTCTGAAACCTTCCTTACCACATACAGAGCTGGACCGTCCCCTTTCTGTCTCCAGTGAAATAAAAAACACAACAACTTCTAGGTTCCTATACGAAGGAGTATTAGGGCCACATATACGTTAAAAGATGAGAGGAGAGAGATTTATTTTTTATTTGCATATTAAGAATGAATTCAAACTAGAAGCATTAGAGCATATAGCTGGCTCACATACCTACAGATGTGACCTCCAGTATATAGACAGACAGTAGAAAGAAAAATGAACTGAACTGGACTAGAATTTATGTTTTAAACATAAATATTGTTTCTAGAGCAGCTGTAACTTCAGCAAAGTCACTATATAAAGATAAAGATAGATAAAGTAAAGTACAGATAACCTTACAGATAGACTTCTTCACTGAAAAATTCAGTGTATGAAGAGATCAGATTCAGGTGAACTGTGTATATTTCTAACACACCTTAAAAATCAAAAAGGCCATGCGAAGCTTTGGCGACCCATACTGGGAGTCCTGACCCTCAGGTTGGAAACACTGCTTTAACAAACATTTGTTGAAAGTTTTCTGTCAAAATAAAAGTCAGAAATGTATTTATTTTATTTTACCACATTCGAAGACCCGGTTTTGGGTCGCAACCCACCAGTTGAGAAACCATGCTTTACAGATTTTGTAATCAGATTTATGTTGGGGATTGTTCCCTTTTAGTGGAGGAACTAAGGCCTCTATGAGTTGAAATACTTCTACCCAAGGTAAAACTAATTCCAAACATGTTTTTCATACTTTAACATTTAAATTGTTAGTTGTATGAAAATAATTTCCTCCAAATTGATGTTTGGATCCCTCATTTGTTCATTTTGTGAAGCCCCCTTTGCTCCACTCTCTCATGCAGGTACAGGTTCATTGTGTTCTTGGAACTGATTCTCCCTGAAATCTCCTGCTATCAACACTGCTGTGATGAAATCTGGGGTTTCCCTGTCAGCAGTGTGGAAATAGCAGAAAGAACAGCCTCTGATGTTATTAATTAACTAGTGCAAGTAGGACATAAATAATATCTGTGTCCAAATAGGGAGGGGTGTCGGGACTATAAAGGGTCAGCTGGATGTCTCCCTGAGCTGTGACTGGGACAAGATTATAATCCTTAACAATGATCTCCTTCAAAATGCTCCTCTGCGCTCTGGTTCTGACTCTGCTGGCGGTCACTGGGGAGTCTTCGTCTGGTGGCGGTAAGTCCTTTCAGATGTCTGAGAATGTATTACTATAAACATAAAAGTACTCAAGTACTCCATAATTCAAGATACTTTATGCATTTTTATACTTCTACTCCACCACACCTCAGAGGCAGATATTACAGACTACATTTGTCTTTAGTTACTTTCCAGATAAACTCGTTACAAGGGACCACACAATAACTTAAGGTGTGGTATTTGAAAGATGTGGCTGTCTGATGAAGGCATCCAGTTGCATTATGGGAATTGTAGCATTCAGTGTTTTTGAGTTTGATACCAGAGACTAAACATCCAGACATCTCCAGCTCTGCAGTCCTAAATGATAGTGCCATACTAACTTGGTCAGCTCTGATGCAGCTTTACAGTCTCACTGCATAAAATTAAACTGAATTTGTGAAAGACACAAATTGTAATATCCTGATGTGACCACATCCACGCAGACCCCCAATGAGTACTAACTGATCTGTGCTCTGACAGGCGGCACCCCCAACCACAACTACGAGTTGTCAGGGTCAGAACTGAGGAGGCTGTACAACTCTGCGGTTTTCAAGGCTGAGAGGATGAAGAGGCCGCTGGATGGAACTTCCTTTGTGTTGGGACCACTCAGCCACTCTGGAGTCAGGTCAGTCCACAGTCTCACATTCCTCATTCAGCTGGTAGATAAAACCCTTCGTATGGTTCATAGCATCAGATCGTTGGCAGACATGGAATATAATATTTATGTATATATTATATTATTATATATAATAGAGCACCCTGAGGGACGCCTTTACAGTTCTTCAGGAAATGAGGTGTTAGACGATAAACAAACACAACCGGAGATTGTTTAGAGCTGTTTGTTCCTCAGAGTGACGCTGGCTGACAGATCCCAATGGCTCATCCACAAAGGAGGCAACTATGGCGTCTCCTCTCAGACGGTGGTGACCAACGCTCGTCACATGAGCTCAGACTGGAGGGTAAAGGTTTATGTTTTTCCAAAAAAAAGTTCTGTTTTCATTTTGCACAGTTAAATAAATCAAAATGACACAAATAGAAAATGATATACAGTACAGAGAGAGGCCTCCACCTGAAGTTAAAACTTCACAGTGACGAGAAATATCTGTACAGTGGGAGGAGGTGGAGCGGCCATCTTTATATGTTAATGATAATATCTATAGGTGAGAGTAGCCATACAAACACTGTGTTGTACTCAGAACGACCACGCCTCCTTTGGAGTTAAACAAGTACTGTAAAAGTGCCTAAAAGCTGCATTTTTGTAAATCAGACAGTTTTAAAAAGCTAGTTTACAATTTTCAACAAATGAGGACAATAAAAGAAAAGATCTGTAGCTTTAGTTAATGATGTTATTGAGTCAATGTGGACTGATATATAAAAGTTATAAAACAGCAGTTTCAGTTTCAAACTGAAATAGATTTCTGTCACTGGTGCAGGTTGTTCAAACGTTGGACTTCCAGGGGACAAAGACCGTTGCAGACTTTGTGGCGGCCGGCGGCTCCGACTACAGCCTCATCTTCGATAACTGTCACCTGGGATCTCGTCGAATGATGAATCAGTGACTCTTCTACTTTATGAAAGTTGCAGTTGCAGTTTGTCTCTTCTCTGCTGAACAGATAATAAAGCTGAAAGCTCACAGAAGGCGTCATGTGCTCTTTATTCCACCAGAGGGCTCTGCAGGGCTTTGTAATGGACATGAGAAAAGACTAAGTGACTTTATTCAGATCAATTCTGTTCACTCATTTTAAAGAAGTTTGGAGTGTGATATACTTGCTAGATGTAAGTTCAGTTAGCTGAATGGTACAATTAATTTAAAAAACCTAATAAATCTATATATTAGTTTGAGGCATCAGTCAACTCATCAGTTTTTACAGTGTACCACACAAGAGAGCACTGTTGTGTTGTTCTTTCCCAACATGGATGTGTGTGTGTGTGTGTGTGTGTGTGTGTGTGTGTGTGTGTGTGTGTGTGTGTGTGTGTGGACGCTATCTGCTGGATGTTCGCCAACTGACCTGTCCGAGAGCAAAGACTCAGGCCGCCGCTGTGTGTTCGCTGCTTCCTGTTTGTTCTTTCTTGGAGCTCCATTCGCCTCCGATCGGCAGCGTTCATGCACAAGAACAGACGGTCGGTTGTAGGTGTGTAATCAGTTGTGATGACAGAGATTATGTCACCACACTGGGGTGTCCCCGAGCAGAGTGTGCCACACATTACGCAAAGATTACACAATTCATACAAGCTTTTGTGAGCAGTTTCAGTGAATCCTGTATCAGTATCTTATTATTTTTCCAATAAATTCACCTCCACAAGACTTCTGTGAACCTTTAAAACCAACGCGTCTTAATAAAGGAAGTTAACATCAATTTACCCTCCAAACAAACTAGAGTCACTCATTCACATGAATTAAACCCAACTCAGTTGTTTTGAGTGAACTTAAATTTGTGCGGTATTTTAATTATTGGTAATATAATTCCAGTTTGTTACACTGACTCATTTTCTTTAAATTAATTTATATCATTACAAAACTGACCCTGTATAGCTTATAAGATTCCAGTTTATTTATCATCATAAACCCAAATATGCATCCAAATAATTAAAAATGATTCCCAAAGGTGAAGATTTGTTTGTCACATAGAACATTTAATTGGCTACTTTATGATAATGAATGTTTTAGTTAGTTAAATAGTTTTTCAGTACACATCTTGGGCCAGTGATGACCAAAATATCCTGGAAATAATCTCCAATAATCTAATTGGGATTGAGTGAGTGATATTTCTCATTATATGTATTTTTTAACAAACATAAAGACTTAACAGACTTGACAAATTCAGGGCCTGAACATGTCACTTTACATTTTTTTAGATAAATTAAGAGTATTTCCACTTCTCAAGGTTAAAGGGGACATATATATATATATATATATACATATATTCAGCTCATGAACAGTTCTTTAGTGTCAGTCTGAGACTCCGCTAGAGAAGCTTTACATGATTCACTCTTGAATATCATCCTGAACTTACTCTATCGACATTTAATTTCACACCTTCAGTTCTGATTTCTCCGCAGTGTCGGCTTCCCGCAGCGGTGTTATGAACTTCAGTATTTCAGATAAGCTGAGGTCTGATTGAAGAGGAAATTCATTGTTCTTCTGCAGATTATTCTGGCCAAACGCCCACAGTACCCCCCCCCACCTTTCCTCTGAACATCTCATAATGAGCTCCTGCGTCAGCTGAGGGTCATGTGATGTGACGGCCTCGTCAGTTTCTGCACGGTTGGTCAGCAGCAATGTGGGACCGAGGATCCCAGAGAGGCTGTGAGGTCACAGAGTCGTCTGTAAACTGTACATACTTTAGTTATAGTTTGACCAAAAAGAACCAAACAACTCAAAGTGCACAATGTAAACATTGAGTTTATTCAGCAGCGTGAAAAACACACTGAAATCTTTCTTCTTCAGGAAACTTAAATGTTTTCTTCAGTCTTTGGAAAGACAAACATTTGAACAAATCACACTCAATCACTAACAAACTGAGAAGGCTTCAGGATGCTTCAGATGAGAACAGCCATATGTCCCTCTTCAGAGTAAACATGCAAGTTCCTATTGGCAGAGTCAAAGAGTGAAGGTAAAGTCAGTCTGTGTCTTCCTCACAGGTCAGTTAATGACGTTACTGAGTCAGTGTGAGCAGATTGTATCTGTAGATCGAAGAGAATCAGTAAAAAGTCTCAGTGATGGTGGAAATAAAGGTTTTACTGTGAAGATATATGGCCCTAAATCAGCCACTATAAGAATGGAGTTTGGTTTGATGGTGTGGAGCAGAGAGTATTTTAATCTTAATAATTCACTATAACCCAAATGTTTCCAACAATGTTCAAACTCAGAGAAATCTGTCATTTTATTCAGGTAACGCTGCGTTTCACCGGTCACCTGTTAATGGTGTCATATTCCCTTTGTGCTCAGTCTGTTAGCATGATAACATAACCTGGGACCAGTTGCTGTTGTTTTGATGTGAGAGACCCCCTAGTGGTAGAAATAACATATTATATTCATACATATTACGGTACATATTATATACCTTTAATTGTTTGCCATAGCATTTAGTAGCTATAAAGCAATACATTATTCTTGTTTCATGCTATTATACTCTCAGTTTTAGAATTTGCGTTCACTGCCAGTCAATTTAGAGGAGCTGCTTTCACCCAAAAGGCGGCGGAGTCATCATGCAAGGGCAAGTTACCCGGATGGGCTGCTCTATGCATGTCCCAAAAACTCTTAAATGTTGAATTTAAGACCTCCAACTTCATTTCACTTGCAAGATCAGTGCAGAACTAGGCTTCAGTATGAGCATCAACCTTGAAGGTTCGATGTATTTTTCATCTTTGTGTCGATATGAAAGGTTGAAGGGACTTTTTTAAGCTAGAAAATGTTTTTGTTCTCTGTTGCATGCAAACTGTACCACCTGTGAGCTTTGACTTTATAGTGTGAATGCAGCCTTTTCTCTTTCAAATCCTGTTTTCATCGTCGCTCTTCCTCTTGTTGTAAACTCCCACTCTTTCTTCTGCTTCCCTTTTTGTTGCCTCGGTGGTTCAGGGTCGGAGTAGGAAGTCTCCGTCCTCTGCACAGACGGCCATGGTGTTTTCCCTCCCGCTTTAAAGTGAAAGTTCAGACTTTCCTCTCGAGTCCCTGCTGCAGATGACAGAAGCCACCTGCTCAGTTTCACTTTCAGTCTGTCCTCTGGTCTTTCAGCTGATGTTGCGGAGTGTTTGGTAGCTTCTCGCCTTCTGCGCCCTCAGCAGTGGCGTCTGAGTGTCCACGTCTCGAGACAAAACCCTCCTGCCGGCTCGCCGGAGACGTGCTCGAGTCCACCCGTAGACCAGACAGTTGAGGAATCCCTGAGAGGCCGAGGTGAAAGCCTGAGGACAGAAGACACACAAGTCACTGCAGAGACAGACAACATGAGGTGGTCCTGCACATTTTAGTGGATCATTCTGGCTCAATACCCTTTAGAAGCAATACTCGGTCCCCATGAAACAGAAATAAGAAGTAAGAGGCCGCAGACAGACGGCGAGCTGGCCTTCCTGCTGTTGGTGATATTAGCTGCTCGCTGTGTCTGCTGTTGTAATATAATCAGAACAAATCTTACAGTGTTGATTTAATCATCTGAGCCCAGTATTTCAGAACCTATCCGGATCCTACCGAACGGGGAAACACAGTGGAAAAACTCAAATATCCAAATTTGATATTTCTCTATTTCGCTATTTCTAGAATGAGCTGTCAATCACAAGGTAGCCCCGCCCTAAAGGATACCCTGCTTTATGGTCTGTTTTACTCTAAATGGGACCATCAGTTACTAAATGAACCTGCTAACTTCCAGATAACTTTCATGGGGGTTTCCTGCTGCAGACTGACCTGTGAGATGTAGAGGGCGACCCCGGCCCCGCCCTGACCCGCTGAGGGCTTCACCACCCGCAGAAACGCCAGACCCACCGCTGAGGAGACACAGAAACATCCTCAGATACAGATTCAGATCCTGTTCAGTAACCATGGTGATCAGGATGAAGGAACCAACCTGGACCCCAGCAGAGGACAAAGATCAGCGGGTACAGGAGCATCCGCCGGTCCATCACACGGAAGGACGCCCGCTGCTGGTTGCCAAGGTAACCGTTCGATGTCACAACCCGTCTGTAAATACGACAGGCTTTCACCACGAGGACCTGGTGCCGGAGAGATTCATACAACGCGAGTCAGTTTCTCTAAATGAACACACAACAGAGTCACAGAGTCCTTTTCTGTCTCACCTCAAGTCACTCATCGCGTCACGCCATGTTAGATTTAATAAAAACACCTGGTTAAGACACATCATGTGATTTTTATTTTGTATTCTGTCGTGTAGCTGCAGTGCGATGATGTGATGTTCCTGTCGTGTTGTGTCACACGTGTAAACTCACGATGATGCTGCCGAGTGTGAGGAAGAAGGTGGCGAGGAAGATGGCGATGCTGTATGTGTGCAGCAGGCTGCAGGCTCTGACTGGCTGGTGTTGCTCTGAGGTGAGATACAGTGCTCCGGTGTGCATCAGCAGACACCTGGTTTAGTACGGTGCACATCGAGGGTCAAAACAAACACACACAAATGTAAAAAGTCAAATACAATTTTCACTCAGCTTCTGTTTTAAATGAAATTAAACACTTTACAGTTTTTCTACATTACTTTCTGACTTTAGTACTTCATGAGTGATATCATTTTAAATACAACGCGTTGTGTCTGGTTCTCTCCTCACCTGTAGGGCTCACTGAAGTTGGCCTGACATTGGCTGATGTTTCCTTGTATAAATACCGGCGTCATCAGCAGCACAGGGATGAGACTGCAGACACAAGAGGACCAGACGAGGTCAAATACATTTTATCTCACTTCCTGTCAGCACACCGGTTTGAAATGTGACTCCACAGTGTTCTCACCCTGACAGCAGCGCAGTCGTTTTGCCAGCTGTGCTCATTCTGTTGGAAAACTGCACAAAAAGATGACTGAGATGAGCTTCAGAGCCGCTGGTGGGTGCAGGTTGTTTCCAGTCTTTATGCTAAGCTAAGCTAAGCTAAGGCAGTGGCTCATAGTTACACTACAGACGTGAGAGCGGTTTCTGGCTCTCAGCGAGAAACTGAGTTACAACTACAAACAAACCCTATAAGTCAGAGAGGTTCAGTTAGAACAATCACACAGGGCTCTTAATTTAAAGGAGCAGTTACACATTTGGCTCAGACTTTGTGTTGGTGGTACCTGTACAGAGTATCCATTACTGCAGCTGTAGAACTGCTCTCTGACTCCTTTGTAGAGGTCCCACACATAGTTGAGTGTGTAGAAGAAGGAGGCCATGTACAGGATCTGACAGAACAGAAACAGAGTTTGTACTTGAGTGAAATCTCACCTGAAAGGAGCGACCATATAATAACTGTTCCCATGGAGCTTGTTTGTGTGCACTCGTGTCACACTGTGAACAGATGAAGAGATAAAACCAGCAGCTGACCTCGGGGTCGATGCTTCTGAACAATAAATGTAGGTCAGGAATGTTTTTGTGGTGATTTCCCTCTTTACATCCAGTCTGTGGTCTGTCCTGGTTCTGCTGCTCTATTTCATCCCTAACTGACCCAGTTGGACAGGACGGGGTTTCAATCAGTAGATCTGTTTACTGTAGAACTGAATATTCAGCCAGATACTCTGAATAAGAAACCAATGTGTCAAACGGCTCTGAATGTTTTCAACCTCCAACGTTGGCTAGTTTCTGTCTGAAAGTGCTTTTTCTGTCGCGAAGGAAAGTTGAATATTTTCGGGTTCCTCCTCTGATGTCCTGCAGCTTCTCTGCCTCCACTCTCAGGGACTTTACTGATGGACATTAACTCGTAGCTATTAGCTAACCTGCTAACGGACATCATCATCCATCAGGAAACACCATCAATCACTGGAAGTTGAAGCTGAGCAGAATCACTGAATAAAGTCATAAAAGTTCTGCTTATGTACAGACATCGGTGAGGCCCCCAGAAACAAGATAATGTACTCATCTATAATCAACCAATCAATTATCAAATCAATTCCAACGTCACAATGACACAAACGAACGACCCGATGGAGGCGGCGGTAGACCGGCGGCTCCTTAGAGCAACCTCCTGTTCTGGTGGCTCTGAAGGGAGCTTCATCACAACACATCCTTTCTGCTCTTCACTTCCTGACTGCAAACAAGCAGTTAACAGATATTTAAATGACCCAGTGATAGAACCAGGAGATGAAGAAGGTCCCAGGAATCCTGAGCACTGGAAACAGGAGCTGGTTAACAACAACAATGTGTGTGCCATGAAAAATGTCCACTTTGTTTGGATTTTGAGACAATTATCTCCCAGAAATCATCCGTCTTTGCATTTGGTGGCCCGGGTCCAACTCCCGGTATGGGAACTTTAATGTGTCTGATAAATTAAATGTGCCGTTCGGTTGCATTAATATACTCACACTCATTTGTTTGAGGTCAATATATTAGATTACAAACGTAGCTGCACACTGAATTTATTCATGGTGCACAACAACACATTCCTAAGTTAGCAATTTCACCAGATCACTGTTATCATTTATAGGTTGGGGAGTATTAAGTTTCCAAACGGGGGTTAAACAGTTGTGTGTCTACATGTATTCAATCAACTGAAAGAGACAACTAACTTATAGGACACTTTAAAGTTCCCATACCGGGAGTTGAACCCGGGCCACCTGGGTGAAAACCAGGAATCCTGACCGCTAGACCATATGGGAGATAAACAGGAGAATGGATGGTTACAATAAAACAATAAGGTCATAATCTGGACCTATAGTCAGTAATCTTAATCGAACAGTTTTATACGGGAAAAATCTACGTTGGTGAATAAAATCAGTGAATGTGTTCATCCACATTTGGTGCTGTAGTGTTTGGGGCAGCAGAATAGCATCTGTCTTTATGTCCCATATGGTCTAGCGGTCAGGATTCCTGGTTTTCACCCAGGTGGCCCGGGTTCAACTCCCGGTATGGGAAGTTAAATGTGTCTGATAAGTAAATTGTGCTGTCCAGTTGCGTAAGTACAGATGGACATGTTTGTTTGATGTGATTACAAAAGTAGCTTTGACCCATTCAGCAACACCTGATCAAATTTCTTATAAGTTAGCTATGTCAACAGATCACTGTTATAGTTTGGGAAGTATTAAGTTTCCATAGCGGGAGTTGATCCCGGGTTGCTAGGGTGAAAGCCAGGAATCCTGATAAAAATCGAAGGCAACTTGTTCCAGTGAGAATAATATTGCTAGTTTTGCTATGATTGGTTAAACTGCAGTGATTGGACAAGAACGCAAGGTCGCAGATATTACACACATTGGTGGAATAGACAGACAACATCACTACACGAGGAGTTTTTATCACATTGATTGAGTCTCACTGCCAACTGTTGTTTTGCTTACTATGTCTGCAATGAGTTTACTAGAGGATTAACCCGAGCCGCTAGACCATATGTGACACACAGAATGAAACTGATGGTTACAATAAAATAATGGTGTTATAATCTGGACATATAGTCAGTAATCTTAATTTAACTGTTTTACACGAGAAAAATCTACGTTATAGTGTTATAACACTGTGTATAGCTATAGTGTTTGGGGCAGCAGGACAGTGATAGCATTTGTCTTTATGTCCCATATGGTCTAGCGGTCAGGATTCCTGGTTTTCACCCAGGCGGCCCGGGTTCAACTCCCGGTATGGGAACTTTAATGTGTCTGATAAATGAGTTGTGTTAGTTACATAAATATACTCAGCCAAAACTGAAGTACTTCATTACTTTGACCCATGAAGACACAGAGTTTCCAACATGTTGAGCAACACCTGATCAACCTTTGAGTTAAAAGTTAAGTGAGCTATGTAAACAGATCTCTGTTATAGTTTGGGAAATATTAAATTCCCATACCGGGAGTTGAACCTGGGCTGCCTGGGTGAAAGAATAAGAAAGAATCCTGACCGCTAGATCATATGGGACATAAAGTCAAGAAGGGATGATTGCATTCGTTCACATTTGGGAGCTGAGCTCCCTGGGAGCAGGGACCGAACCCTGACGATGATCGGCTGCAGCCGGACACTGAGCTCTATGTGTCTGAGGGTGAGTGGAAGTAAATCTCACACTGCTGCTTTGGAGGAAGCTGACACTGAGTGAAACGTTGTGCTTATGTTTGAGCTCACGATGACTGTGGGTCATTCCTTAAAATCAGCTCCTGTGGTAGAACACAGGGAAGCTTCCTGTATCTCTCAGGAGGAAGTGGAGATTTTCCACTTGTGAACCGTCTGTTGTTTAATGTTCCTTTTTTTGGTTGACTTTTAGGGAAACATTGGTTTGTTTTGATGAGGAGGAAGTCCGAGAATAGCTTCAAACATTTGTGAAAAAGCACAAAAGTTTCCACAAAAAGCATCAGCATGAAGACTGACCTGCTGATTAACTAATATTACTGACTGAACCAGGCCATATGCATTTTCATAGGGACAGTCCACATGAAGCTGTTTGCTTCCACATATCTTCACATTTCCTGTAAAAACTGGTAAGGAGGTTGTTGTGGTGTTGTTCCCCAGTCCAGCAGCTGACTGTGTGGGACTGGGAGCTCCCAGTGAACAGCAGGTCCAGACCGGAGGACATCTGGAGGACAGTTTGAGGACAGGGAATAAAGGACTGAGGTGGTTTTATTGCTGGGTTTGACTCCTGGTATCCTAATGCTAAGCTGCAGCAGCTAACATTACTGTTAGCTTCTTCTGGAAGCTCTAACTTCACCTCTATGCCGCTACCATCAAACTGTCCTTTGTCTGTCTCGGTTGCACACTAATGTGTAACGGAGCTGAGGCAGAGCAGTCGGAGGACGTCAGAGGGAAAACCAGACAATATTCTCTCCATAAAATCTGATCCAGTTTCACCCAAATCACTGATAAAGTCGTGTGTTTGTACGAGCGATAAAGTTTGTTGGTTTCTGCGTACGTAACCATGTGTCGCATTTTATTTTATGAAAAGTGCAGTATGTTGCAGGGCGGCTGTGGCTCAGAGGCAGAGCGGGTCGTTCCTTAATGGGAAGGTTGTGGGTTTGATCCCCAGCTCCTGGTGCCACATGTATCCTTGAGCAAGATACTGAACCCTGAATTGCTCCCGATGCCGTGCATTGGTGTGTGAATGTTAGTTTCTGTTCGATGGAACTGTCGATCACTGTGTGAAAGGGTGAATGTGGCACGTAGTGTAAAAGCACTTTGAGTGGTCGGAAGACTAGAAAGGCGCTATACAAGTACAGGTCCATTTGCAATGGTTGCAGTGTGTTGCAGTGGTTGCAGTGGTTGCAGTGTGTTGCAGTGTTGTTACCTGTTCCACGGTGTGCAGGTGGTAGCAGTGTGTGTTCAGGCTGCTGCGGCGTTGGGAGAAGAGAGCGGCTCCGATCAGCCAACAGAGAGCGAGCAGCAGGTCAGACACACTGAGCAGGAACAGAGGCTGCAGCTACACACACAGACATTAACAGTGAGTGTGCAGTGTGGACTAATATGGGTTAATAACTATTAAATAGGCTATAAATCATCCTGGCTATTCAAATTAATGCAACAATTAAGACCCATGATTGTCATAAATTTGGCCTTTAAGTATGAATCCTTATATAGACTGACTTTCTCTCAGCAGCAACTCTGATTCATTTGCAACTATTTAACTTTCAAGAACCAAAATAATGAAAATCTGATTTGCAGCTCGCTGAACAATTTTTAAAATCCAGAATATTTACTTAAAGATGTAATTATTTATAAAGAAGAAAAGTAAATTACCTCAACTAAAGATTATTAGGTTGGCAACACATCTAGAGGCCGATTATTTCCTCCATTAAGCAACTGATCAGTTAATGAGTAACCTTTAATCACATTTTATAGAGTAGCCATTGATTAGTTGATGATTAATTAATTAAGAAAACGAGTGATAACTGATAAATCGTTAATAAGTAGGTACTCAATAATTCCTAATGGAGGGCTATATAGCAGATTAATGAATCATTAAGTGATGATTACTTCATCAATATCTGTGAAATACTCACCAAAACCAGTCACGACTCATTTGTTACTAATTACTTAAACATTAGTTACTCATTTCCAGTGTTGGGCAGTGACTCATAACCTTCACCAGTAACTAGTAGTGTAACTAATTACTAATACATTTCAGTTACAATATTACTTTACTCTGAAATCCAACAATCAATCTCATCCTTGGATTCATTTTTGTAATCATGGAGGAAACTAGTTTGGAAATATTTTATCACTTTGATTTGAGTTCAATCGTCGGACACAATTACCCACATAACTAGTAGTGTAACTAGTTACTGTTGGCAGGAAGTAATGAGTAAAGTCTCAGTTTGATCGATATACGGCAGCGAGTTTAGGCACAAAATCTGAGAAGCCGAACGAGAAGTCAGAGATAACAGCGTCTGCCTTCACTGGAAGACATCAACATTCATATTACCCCACTCTTCAATAACTAATCATTAACTCATCATTAACTAATCATTAACTAATCATTAACTAATCATTAACTAATAATTAACTCATCATTAACTCATCATTAACTAATCATTAACTAATCATTAACTAATAATTAACTCATCATTAACTCATCATTAACTCATCATTAACTAATCATTAACTAATAATTAACTAATAATTAACTCATCATTAACTCATCATTAACTCATCATTAACTAATCATTAACTCATCATTAACTCATCATTAACTCATCATTAACTAATCATTAGCTAATCATTAACTAATCATTAACTAATAATTAACTCATCATTAACTCATCATTAACTAATCATTAACTCATCATTAACTCATCATTAACTCATCATTAACTAATCATTAGCTAATCATTGGCTACTCTATAACATTTGATTAGGTGTTTCTCATTAACTAATGGTTCAGTTAGTTCCTCATTCTTTCCCTGGTAACCACGAACCTCTGTCAGTGGACTTATTGATTAATGGACTGATGGTTTCAGTTATATTTGTATAAACCAGCCACATTAAAGATGGCCGCCTCCACTTCCTCCCACTGAAACCGAACATCAGCGTGATGAGATCGCAGCAGAATAAACAGAATAAAAGGAGCGACTGACCTCCGGCGTGCGGCTGAGTCTCTGTAACATCACACAGACGATGATGGAGGCCGAACCCAGAACGCTGCAAATATCAGACTGCTGTTACAAACAATGTAAATATGTATCATCAATAAATATCTATCATCAATAAATATCTATCATCAATAAATATCTATCATCAATAAATATCTATCATCAATAAATATCTATCATCAATAAATACATCAATAAATATCTATCATCAATAAATATCTATCATCAATAAATATCTATCATCAATAAATATCTATCATCAATAAATATTTATCATCAATAAATATCTATCATCAATAAATATTTATCATCAATAAATACATTGATAAATATTTATCATCAATAAATACATTGATAAATATTTATCATCAATAAATATCTATCATCAATAAATACATCAATAAATACATTGATAAATATCTATCATCAATAAATATCTATCATCAATAAATATCTATCATCAATAAATATCTATCATCAATAAATACATCAATAAATATCTATCATCAATAAATATCTATCATCAATAAATTATCTATCATCAATAAATATCTATCATCAATAAATACATCAATAAATATCTATCATCAATAAATATCTATCGTCAATAAATACATCAATAAATATTTATCATCAATAAATACATTGATAAATATTTATCATCAATAAATATCTATCATCAATAAATACATCAATAAATACATTGATAAATATGTACCATCAATAAATATATTGATAAATATCTATCATCAATAAATATCTATCATCAATAAATATTTATCATCAATAAATACATTGATAAATATTTATCATCAATAAATATCTATCATCAATAAATATCTATCATCAATAAATACATCAATAAATACATTGATAAATATCTATCATCAATAAATACATCAATAAATACATTGATAAATATCTATCATCAATAAATACATCAATAAATACATTGATAAATATCTATGATCAATAAATATATTGATAAATATCTATCATCAATAAATATTTATCATCAATAAATATTTATCATCTAATAAACAAACTTAACTTAAAGAAACTCAAAATGTCCCTCAGGGAAAAAGCTGCAAGAATTAAAAGATAATAAAAGAAGAAGAAAGGAGCCGTAATCGGATTACTTCAAGCTGACTGCAACTTTTCCCTCTTTGATTGTCTGAGTGCTGTGACCTTTGACCTCCTTCCTGTTTATCATTTGCAGCGTAGATGACCCAGAAATGGAGGCGTAATGTGCTGAGGGGGAACAGAAATCTCCTTAAATGATCTCAAATTGAGTTAATTTGTTCTTTTCAGCTGCTTTTCATCTTTTCCATTTTAATAATTCTCATTAAATAACATTTATGAAAATGCTAAAACCTGCAGTTCCTCCAGCGGCCACTAGAGGCTGGCTCCAGCAGTGAGTCTCCATAAGGCCTCATATTAAACTGTCAAACTTTTGTTCTCTAGAGATAATTTCCACGTTGACGACATCTGTACAACTCACGCGTTTAAATTACATCAGGGATTCAAGTTATGTGTAATTAAGGGCGTGGTTGCTTTGAGTGACAGGTGGGTGCTGCCACAGGTAACCCGGCTTCATTCAGCTCCTGTTGGGGGGGGACGTCAGGGAGACTACGGTCAGTTTTAAACACAGTCTGAGAACTGACCTGAGCAGAGCCATGGCGAGCTGGATCCACCTGACCGCTTCGTACACCTGCAGACAGCACACGTCAGATCAGTTCAACAATCACCACCGCAGCTTTAAAACCACTTTTATTCTCTAATTCAGGCTAACAGGATCCTTAGTGTACAGGAAATGAACTGAGGAAGTTTCAAAGTAAAAGCAAATCACTGTTAACGTGTCAACAAATATTCTACATGAGGAAACTCATCCTAAGCCCCGCCCCCTTTTTTACGTCCTCCTTCCTGTACTCAGACACACTATGTGCTGAAAAGATAAGATATATATATATATATATATATATAGTTTGTAGGATTTAGTGGCTTTAGTGTTTGATAAAATTGTGAGTTAACAAAAACTCAACGATTCTTATTTCCAGGTGATTATAGACTCATTAAAACATAGCTATGGATATTATATTACATTTGTACTGATAGATCCTCACTGGAGCTTTACGTTGAGCTTTAAATCATCCGTAGCTGTTGGAGAATGAAAGTGTTCAAATGGAGAAGAAGGCGAGACACAAAAACCCCACAGAGTCGAGTGTGACACGACTGAAACTCATTGTTTGAATGTTTCTGCAGCTCATTAACATTCAGGAAATCAGACAGATATTTTTACAGTTTTCTCTCCGGTGAGCAAACAAATGAATCCTTTATTATTATTTTATTATCATCTGATGAACTGCAGGCTTCGTTCTGTTCTTGTTGCTGTGAGGATTTATCATTGCAAACTGATTCCTTTGGTCTTTTTCGACGCAGTACGATAACCGGTATTAAGTTCATATATAATAATTTATGCACAGTTGATGGTAAGAAAGGCCAACAACAACAACAACAACAACAACAACAACAACAGCAACACTCCTGATTCTTCAAATCATTTATTTTTTCTAGTAAAGTTCATAAAAAAACGTCTCAAACATATTTTGTCTTCAATAAAACATAAAAACTGTATTTAATGATAAATATTGTGGTTCTATAACCAGTATAGATTGAAGCGTTGGTTCCCAAACACCAGGGGGCGCCAAAACCAAAAAATGCCTTTTTGATTTTAAGAAAACTTACACAATGTACACGGTAAGCCTGTATCTGAGCACTTTGTTCATCTATGTGAACAAAACAAGAAGAATATTAAGTTCATCAGATTGTTAAAAATGATAAAAATACAGAACACAGACGGAGAATTATATAAAAATATCAGGAAAACTAATCTCTGATCAATATTTACAGGATATAATCTGCCCAGAACTCATCCAGATCTCTGGTTTTAAACGTCCTGCAGTTACTGAGTTCACTGTTTGTGTTCATTGATCAATGTATCAGCTGTTATTGATATTATTAAATATAATATGCAATATCCATAGAAAAGAGCTCCCTTAAGGAAAAAGGTTGGAACGAGTGGATGAAACAACCCAGCAGCAACAATAATTCATCAATAACTGTGATCCAATAATATAATCAATATTATTCTGCAGTTCTTTTACTGAAGAAAGTTCTGAACTCTCACCTCCGTCCAGTCCTGAGCTCCAGTGGTGTTTTTCTCGCTGCTGTTGGGAAAAACCGACATGCTGGAAACTTTAAAGATAAAAAAAAAGTTAAAATGAAGACGAGGGTTCAGTCTGGACCTGGACCTGGATCTGGACCTGGACCTGAACCTGGATCTGGACCTCAGAGCCTCAGAGGAGCAGCAGGTTTTATCCTGCAGCTCACAGGCAGAAGGCTGGGTTTATTCCCACTGACTCCGCCCACTGTCTCACACTGGCCACGCCCCCCAGGAGCTGCTGACCTTTCCCTCCGGCGCCACCCGCAGACCAAAACGTCCCTTTTTATACCTCACAATGGATTTAACATAAAAAGGTGTTTTTCAAATACAATCCAGTATTTCTGTTTCTTATGTGCTGATGTTCAGAGCCCCTCCCTCATTGCTTCTTCATTTCCCTTTTTCTTTCGGTGCATTAATCATCACAATCCTTCCCATCGTTCGAGTCCTGAGCGCCGAGATGACCTCTCTGTATCTGAAGGAATTATTATTTAATGTGCTAACGCCTCATCGAGAATTAATCGGATCGACTTCAAATTTGGTCGGTGCGATCTTTAGACCTTCACGGGGAAAAGTTGTCAAGATCTTGAGTTTTCGGTGAAGGGCGTGTCCGTGGCGTGGCGTGGCGTGGTGTCATACCCACAGCGCCACCTACTGACAACAGGAAATGACATCCTTTATTCTTTCATGTGCTTCTCCTAGTGGATTGATCAGATCAACTTCAAAGTTTGTGAGCACACACTAAAGACGTTCAGGGTGAGAAGTTATTCAAACTTTGGGGTTTGGACTAACAGCGTGTCCGTGGCGTTTTGTCATAAAATATCGCCATGAAACAGGAAGTTGTCAGAACTTCAGTGTACTCTGATCTCAATGAAACTTCACACAGTGAACATTTTACTTTTCATACTTTGAGAACATTTAGCTGATGAGAGTTTGAGTGTGGTAGTAAATACTTCTTCCACTGCTGCAGGGAGGCTCTATGAAAACACACTATCCAGTTGCATTATGGGAAATGTAGGATCTTGTGTTTTAGGGATTAAAAGTCAGTTTGTTGTAACTTTTATTTTGAATCTGTAACACTGCATAGTCTCAATGTAATTATAGTGTGTGTGTTTATTCACATCCTCTGCTAACTGCCTGCTGGCGCCACCTGCTGCTGGGAGAGAGGAGTCTGATCCAAATATTAAAGCTTTAACATTTCAGCAGATGAATGTGAAAACTGCCGCTCAGCATCTTCACTAACTCTGATAGAAAGTCCTGTTTCTCAATTTCCACAACTGGAATTATTTTCCAGGTTTTCCAGGAACAGATGAGAAAATGATGTTGTGAGCAGGAACCAGGCAGCAGGTGACCTACACACACATAATACTGTGTGTTATTAAGGTTTTATAGACGACCAGAGAAAACATCTGGATAGAAATAATTCATCAGAAAGCCCCTACCTCCCCTCCCCTAACTTAAGAGAGGAAGAGTGTAACACAAGCATCCTAACGTCTCCTAACTTTAGGACAAGTTCCTTTCCACCAGCTACGGCTGCTCTTTCATTACGTTTACACAACTCAGATCTCTCGTTCATCTCCAGAGCTGGTTTACAAAGAACAACATCTTTGGATTTCTCCACAGATGTTAACTCTCACTGAGGTTGTTGTTCTCGTTGAGATGAGAGAAGATCTCCCGACCTGAGATAAGATACGATTTCTAAAGTTAGTTTTCAGTTGAGTTTTCTTTGTACAGCGTCAGTTGAAGTTCTCTCTTCAGATAGAGACTCTGTGTACATTTATTTACTGAGGAGTAAAACCCAGAGGACGAGAGGTCACGGACGACAGATGTGTGGACTAATAAAGAGCAGATGTTCCAGATGTTGTTGTGTCTCAGTCTCTTTATTGGTGAAACAATAAGACGTTCAGTGATTTCTACTATAAATAAGTGATAAGTGATACTTTGGTTACATTAGCAGGACTGAAATGACACAAACACACTTGGTAGCAGCAGAACGGCCTCGTGGGTAAACACAAAAGAGTCTTTGGGTTAACGGATCAACCTTACAGAGAGTCCTGGAGCAGGCTGACCTTTGACCTTCGTACTCGGCTCGTGTATCTTTCATTCAATCATTGGAGTTCGGACTGTTGGTATAAATAAACTCCGGTTCTGATGCGGTCGGTGAGCGTCCGCCTGTCTAAAACTCCTCCCTGGTTGCCTAGCAACCTACTCCACACACGACTGGCTGCTGATGAGGTCTTTACACGGGCTGCTGGTTTTCCTCGCTCGGCCCGGCTAGCGGCATCAGCGGCGAGTTTGGGGACTCGTGTTTCTTCATGTGGTTGCGGAAGATCCTGGCCCCGCTCAGGTTCTTCTTGCAGATGTTGCAGAAGTACGGCCGGGTGTTGGAGTGCACGTCCACGTGGTAGGTGAGCTCCAGGGCGCGGCTGAAGCTCTTGTTGCAGAGGGGACACTGGTAGCGGACCCCTGCGTGCGTCAGCTGGTGGCTCTTGAGCGAGCTCTGCTGTTTGAAGGTCTTCTGGCAGACGGAGCACTGGTACGGCCGGGCATCGGTGTGCAGCCGCTGGTGTCGGCGCAGGGCGCTGGAGAAGGTGAAGCTCTTGCCGCAGTCGGTGCAGGTGTAGGGTTTCTCCCCGGTGTGGATCCTCTGGTGCTCCGTCATGTGGACCTGCTGGGTGAAGCTCTTCCTGCAGGTGGGGCACTGGAACGGACGCTCGCCGGAGTGGATCCGCAGGTGTTTCTGCAGCGCCGACGCCTTGAAACAGTCTCGACCGCAAACGGGACAGCAGTGCTTCCTTTTCCCGTCGCCGGCGTCTGCCTGGATCTCTGAGTGGCCATCTTGTTCTGTCAGAGGAAAAATCCGTTATTTGGTTTCTCTGACCTTTGTCTATTAGTGCTGAACATAGACCTGCTGTGCTATCTGAGCAGCAGTTTGTTTGGAGGCTGATGGATGCTGGATCGGGGCCTGCTCCGGACTATGGGAGCCAAGAATAACCTGTTTTAAACATTAGAGAGTAAAGTTAAAGAACCTTGAACAACAAAATCTGAAACCTGACGGCGTACCGTTGGAGCTCGAACCGCATCGGTTGGCGTTGTCCTCCGGCACCGAACCGATGAGCACCGGTCTCCAGTCCTCCTCCTCTCCATCAGAGTTGATCAAACCGCTGACGTCTCCCTCCTCTCCTCCGTTGTCCTCCGTCAACGGCAACCTGTCCTGGTCACCATGGATACCAGGTAGAGGTCTGGATGTGGTGAGGAAGGACTCGGAGGTGGTAGAAAGGTCTTCTGAGTCCTAGAGACATCATGAGACGGACAGTTCAGTAGCTCTTCTGGAGCTTTCGATCACGTCACATGATGATGAAAAGAACTTCATTTATAAGATAAGAACTCAGTTTCAAACCTGCTCCTTCAAACCTTCCTCCTCCTCCTCCTCCTCCATCATCATCATCATCTCTCCCTCCTCCTCCTCCTCCTCCTCCTCCTCTGTCTTCATGTTGAACCAGAACTCCTGAAACAGACCACACTGCTCTTTGACACACAATCGTTTTATCACATATCTGAGCTGGAGGCACAGACGATTCAAACAGGAAGTATTGATCAGATTAATAAAGCTGTACCACCAGTAAACCCTCAGCGCAGTAATATGATCTATTCCCACCGTCCAGAGGTCTCACCTGGTCCGCGGGGTCGGAGATGAGTCCGTCCCTGATGTGGATCCTCATGTGTTTGCGGAGCAGGCAGGGCCTCAGGAAGCTCTTGGGGCAGATGCTACAGGGGTGAGGTTTGTTGGCCATGTGGATCTTCTCGTGGGCTCTCAGGTTGGTCGTGGTGGTGAAAGCCTTGGCGCACACCGAGCAGCGGTGCAGCTTCTCCGTCGCGTGGATCTTCAAGTGCTCCTTGAGCCTGGACGGCCTCGTGTAGCTCTTCCCACAGACGGAGCAGCTGTGCAGCTTCTTCACGCCGCCTAAAAGTATCAGCACAGGAATGAGGTTCAGGACTCGGGTCTCTGAACGCATAGCAGGAGATACTTTATCGACTCATGGCTGTCTGACCGGTCAGTGAATGCACCGCTTCCTCTTCATCGTCATCATCTCGGTTCTCAACCTTCAGCTCCTGCAGCCCGTTCAGACTCCCCACAGAAACCGCCGCCGTGCTGCCGCCACCGAGCCGTTCTTCAGGGTTCTGTAACAGAGGACAAACACTGGGTTCAACGTTTGTTCTGATTGGTCTCGTCTGGAACTGTGAGAGCTACGTCACGAGGTTTATAAGAGTAAGACGGACACACTTCCACTGTGGTTCTGAGTACTGAGTGTGTGACTGAGTATAGTGTGAGCAATAAATACATAAAATAAAATATTTAATAATAAATAGATATTATTTTCAGGATTTGTGATCATTTTAATTCATTTGTTTCCAGAACTGGAGGACTAGTCTCTAAATTTAGCATTTTTGGGGAAAGTGAATCAGTATTTGGTTCAAAGTGGATCCTCAGAGTTCAGTGTTACTCAGATAGTCGACAGGTGATACTGAACCTGGGCCTCACATTGGCCATTCCCAAATAAAGGAATTAAAATAAAGACTGATGGCAGTTCCAGTGTATTTAAAGCTAATCAGTGACTCACATGGCTCTGAAACTAGAGACAACAGATATTGTGCTGATTCAAGACTTAGAGAGATAAAATCAAGACTGTGCTATCAAAGCTTTGATCCTGTAAGTGAGAGGTTGATCTAACGGTGTGTATTTGTGTGTATATTTGAGATGTGAAATCAAAGCAACCTGATCTTGAACTGATCCCAGTGTGGTCCTCACCTCGTTGGCGGCGCAGCGTCGCTCCCTGCTGTGGATCTCCTGGTGCCTCCTGAACACTCTGTGTATGGAGAACCGCTTCTTGCAGACGTCACACTGGAACGGCCGCTCTCCGGTGTGAGACCGCACGTGCTCCCTCAGCCGGGACGCTCTGGAGAAGCCTCGGCCGCAGATGTCGCACACGAACTGCAGCGCCCTCTGGTGGAGCTGCAGGTGCTGCAGCAGCTTCTCGGAGGTGGAGAAATCTTTGCGGCACAGGAAGCAGCGATGAGGCGAGTCCTCCTGATGTTTGAGACGATAGGGACGAACTTTAAGTTCGAACCAAGCAGCAAACACTGAGGGAACAAAAGTGCAGTTCCTCTAACGGCCACTAGAGGCTGCCTCCAGCAGGGAGTCTCCATAGGGCCTCATATTAATAATAAACATGTTTACAGCCTGTTGGTCTCTGGAGTAAGACTCACCTGTTTAACTGATATTAAGGATTAACGTTATCCATAGTTTACAGATCTACATGTAGTTTCTCCTCCAACGTCACTCACCTTTCTGGCTGCACCTTGAGCTGTGAGCACATCGTTTCCCTCTGCGTGTTTCTGCAGGTGTTTCCTCAGCAGGCCGGGCCGGTTGAAGCTCTTGCAGCACAGCGAGCAGGCGTGAGGCTTCTGTCCCGTGTGGATCCTCACGTGATCCCTGAAGGACGACGGCGTGGAGAAAACCTTCTCACAGAACGAGCAGGAGTACAGGTTCTCCTCTCCGTGGGTCTTCTGGTGGTCGGTGAGACCCGTCCTGGAGGCGAAGCGCTTCGGGCAGAGCGGGCAAGAGAACGGCCGCTCCCCGGTGTGCGTCCGCTCGTGTTGTACGAGATGGCGCCGCTGAATGAAGCCGCGGCCGCACACCGCGCAGTGGTGCGGTTTCTCGGCGGCGTGCCGGAGCCGGTGCCTCCGCAGGCAGCCCAGCTGGGCATAGCTGAGCCCGCAGTCCGGGCACGAGTACGGCTTCTCACCGGTGTGGACTCGCTGGTGCACCACCACGTTTACCTTCTTGGTGAAGCGCTTCCCGCACACGCCGCAGCTGTGCGGTTTGTCCCCGGAGTGCGAGAGCATGTGGTCGGCCAGCCGGGACGGACGGGAAAACTCCCTGCCGCATTCTGAACAGCAGTGACGGCGTTTCAACGGACGGCCGCTCGGTTCTGATGCAGGTTGTTCTGGTGGAGACGGCGTCTGGATGTCGGGGACGGTCCCGTCTCCTGTAGGACATAATGAGTTAATATCAATGTTCATACAGCGAGAACATAAACACTGAAGTCTCCATCAAACAGGAGATCAGATACAGTCAGCAGCACCGGGAGACGAGTGGACTTCCTGTGAGTGTTGGACAGAAACTGGAGGGGACAGATGAGACATCCCATCCTCTCTGCAGACTGTATTTGAACTACGTGTCTGGAGGGTGTAAATCAATCTCTAACCTTCAGCAGGAAGCTGCTGACAGTCCTCTCCTCGTTGTTCTGCTTCCTCTTTCACTCCATTCATCTCCTCATCCTCTGCTCCTCCGAGGGTGGACCGGTCTCCTCGGGGCCTCTGAAACAAACACAAATCAGTCAGCAGGTTCAGTTCCTATGTGATAAATATGGAATCAAACAGTGTGTCTGGTTAACTCTGGTTTCCTCGGCACTGAATAACATCCAGCTGCTGAGGAAGAACAAGATGTGACTGAAAGCTCTGGAAGAATCCAGAGTGGAGCTGATAATAACATAGACAGACTGTAAAGAGTCCGAGCTGCTGTTTGTTGTTTCCTACAGTATCGATCAGAGATTATAACATAATTATCCTTAATAATAGTCACAGTTTAGGTGCTCGTTGTTTGTGGGAGAACACCACAGCCTTTTTCACAGCAGCCATTTTCACGTGAAATAGTAGGGTAAAGGTGTGTCACAAATGATGAACTAATTAAGGCTCTGTTCCATTTAGTGTAGCAGAGCTTTCCCCCGTTTGATCTGAATGGGCCGGATCCACCTGTGTTTACCCTACTGTCAGAGTGGCCGCTGTGAAAAAGGTCTCTTCACTGACAGTTCTCCTGTAACGGTGCCATTAATGTGGGCACAGCATCAAATACAGATTATTGATATTGTATTAGTATGTTACCGGTTACTGGTGGTTGCTAGGCAACAGGGCAGCTCCCTGCATTATGTCATTAAAGTGTCAATCAACCTTTATTAAATAAACGAGAGTGAAGCAGCCAATCAGAGCGCAGCGTCAACGCTGAGCTAACTCGCTAATTGCTAATAAACGTTAAAGGCGTTAACACGCACCGGTACCGGTACCGTAGTGTTCTGTAGAGGGAGGAGGGCCCGGTTCTCCTACAGGGTCGGAGATTGACGCCTCCCGGGTGTGTAAACCCCCCAGGAGCAGACGACTGCTGTGACTTTGGCTCTACCGTAATGCTAGCTAGGGCTAACGCTAACGTGAAGCTAACGCGTCTGCGTGCGTCATATAACGTCACACCGGCTGCTGCAGCGGGAACCGTTCGCGCCAATAAAACTGCTTTTAACGTCATAATAATAATAATAAACTCACCGGAGGAAAGATTAACTCCCCGTCGGCCCGTCAGCGGGGTTCACGTCCACGTGAGGAGCATTTACGGTAGTTAAACCTCAACTTTCTCCAAATAAACTGTGAAATCACCGTAAAAACAAACATGGCGCCCACGTCTTCCTCGCTCGGCAGCGCGCTCTCTGCCGCCTCCGCGCTCTCTGCCGCCCCCGCGCTCACTGCCGCCGCCGCGCTCACTGCCGCCGCCGCGCTCAGTGCCGCCGCCGCGCTCAGTGCCGCCTCCGCGCTCACTGCCGCCGCCGCGCTCAGTGCCGCCGCCTCCGCGCTCACTGCCGCCTCCGCGCTCAGTGCCGCCTCCGCGCTCACTGCCGCCTCCGCGCTCAGTGCCGCCGCCTCCGCGCTCAGTGCCGCCGCCGCCGCGCTCACTGCCGCCTCCGCGCTCAGTGCCGCCGCCTCCGCGCTCACTGCCGCCTCCGCGCTCACTGCCGCCTCCGCGCTCACTGCCGCCTCCGCGCTCACTGCCGCCTCTGCTGGCCGGAAGAGGAACTGCAACAACACGGAAACAGCATCGTCCTTTACTTTACGTTGTATTATTTATTTATTATTATATTCTGGACTGTCAGTCAGTTACTGCCTACATTATTTATCTTCAATCTGTATTTTATTGTATAGAACTTTATGGTTATCACTATTCGTATATTTTCCTCCTCTGTTGGTTTTATTATCACTTCACTGCTGTGTCTTTATTTTTCATTCTTCTTTTATTCCTGGAAGCATTTTAGTTTTATGTGTGGTGTAAGCTATCTGCTGTCTATCTGAACCCGTAGTTAATAACTGTACATATATATATGAGTAGCATAAAGGGAACTACAACCCTGAGCTATTTGTTTTGATACTTTGAGTATTGCATTAAGGCTGAGTGATCAATCAATAGTTCATTAATACCAGTAAATATCACAATATGAAATTCAATGATAAATCAGATGTAAAATAATCTGTGTTTCTGTGTTGGATCATTAATGTTTGTTATGTATCATACCACTGAACTCTGTTATAATATTATTAATGAACCCTTCAGAGAGGGGTTGGAAGGGAATCACCATTGATGATGTATTTACTTTGAATGAGGACAGTAAAGGAAAGATCTTCCTGATGCACTTTAATGCTTTCACCCTGTTTCTCCCACAGATAAAAGCACTCCTGAGTAGGTGGTGTATGTTTTAATCTGTAGTCTCTCTGACCCCCCCCCCCCACAGGTGAAGCTCCGTGTGGTCGGCTCTGGTTGTCGTTGGCAGTCCGGACTCCACCGGCTCCCGGCTAATCCAAAATTGGACAAAAAGGTGGAGCTGAATGGAGCCTGGTTGCTCGAAACCGCCGCCTGTGACGGCGCCCAACTGTCAGTCAGAGCGTGCACGTAGGGCTGAACCTTCTTATTCAACATCAGAAAATGAATTTGAACGGTTAAAGTGTAATTAAACTAAAAGTAGTTAGCCTTCAGCATTCCCTACAGTCACTAAACTCAGCCTGTAATGTTGTTTACTACCAAAATGGATACCAAAGCTGCCCTGAGCGAACAATGGCAACACCCAAAGGACCAGAGCGAGCAACATCGACCTTACAACCCGAGTGGTGTCAGATATTTCTGTAACGTGTTTTGAGTATTTAGAATTTTGAAATTCATTCAGACTTTATTTTTGGAAAAATTGACAGACTTAGTTAAACAATAATCTTTATTATGATTTAAAGGGTGAGTTGTGTAGTTGTCATGAACGGAGAAATGATCTCTAGAGACTAAAAGGCTGTAAAACATTATTTATTTCTGCTGTTGGAGGTTTTAATATGGAGACTCACTGCTGGAGCCAGCCTCTAGTGGCCGTTAGAGGAACTGCAGGTTCTGACTTCAGCTCCCGTTGTTCCAGGTCGACTGCACAGATTCCTGACCTCCGCCCCGAACAGAACCTTTGAGAGGAACTGAACCACCGGCTGAGTCTCAGTGTTGGACCTCACTGACGCTGGTTCAACAGCTGCACTGGAGCCAGTATTGTGGAGTCTGTTGGAGCAGCAGGTCGATGAACACGGTGTCACAATCACATACGAGTGGGCCGCTCAGTGTCTACAGACTTTTGGCCACATAGACTGACGGATTTAAGAGCACATGTATTTATTAAACGACTGCCGAACACACACTTCCAGCACGCCGGCGTCCGGCTCTCGGTCTAATGTTTCTTCTTCACCACGTGGGCGCAGTCGTATTTGCCTCTGACCACTTTGAGTTTGACCCCGGGCAGATCCTGAGTCCTCCCGCCCTCCACCAGCACCACGTTGTGCTCCTGCAGGTTGTGTCCCTCCCCGGGGATGAACACCACCGCCTCCTTCCCGTTGGACAGCCGCACTCGAGCGCACTTCCTGTTTGCGGAGTTGGGCTTCTTGGGCTTTCGGATCATGGTCTTCAGAACCACGGCCTTCAGCTGGGGGCGGCCGAACGTGGCGCCGACAGACACGGGAGGCGCTTTGGGCTTCCCCTGGCGGTGCATCTGGTTGAGCGTGGCCATCGTCCTGGAGAGGATGGGAGTCGTCCAGCCAGAGGCATGCTGGGACGCTGCGGGGAGGAAACAGGAATTAATACCTTAAAATATAAAACATGATCGATTATTGATCGATGCAGCAGATCGTCAGATAGCGTGCAGAGCTTCACTTGAGACCGGCCGCGGGCTCGATACCGCAGTGACTGACGGACTGACCACAGCAGCGGAGCACCAACAGCGAGCCAACGTCACACTCTCGGGGTCTGCTGTCTGCTGGAGCTGTTAGTCACTAGAAGCACATTCACGCTGTCTGTTGCTGTGTGCTATCTGTTTGAAGCTACACTAGGGTGTGTGTGTGTGTGTGTGTGTGTGTGTGTGTGTGTGTGTGTGAGATTCCCGTCGTACACATTCTGTACAGTGAAGCACCGACGCTCTAGAAGTCAGTGAACGTACCTTGAAACAGCGACGTCAGCAGCGGTCTGAGGCTCCACAGCGAACACATTCCTGAAACAGAACCGGATCATACAGTTGAGGGAAGGTTTCGGTACCAGCTGATCTGATGGTACCAGCGGTCCTCCTCAACCGCCCCCGAAATACACACAAACACCAAACAGTGGCAGAGGAAGCAGATGTTGTCGGGTTGCACGTGGTTCTGTGACAGAAGTTGTGACGTGATGTTTCCGGATTCGTGATCATTTAAAAAAGATTCCCAATGAAGTTCTGATGATGTGTCTGTTTCATTCAATCTGCCGTTCATTTCAACAGAACAACTGGACCTTGTGTGACTTTAATATTTGGATCAGCTGTGCAGCCTCTACCTCTCTCACACATCGACCCACACTGACGGCTGAGCAGGCTGAGCAGGTAAACGGGTCGTCCAGGTGGGAATGTTTGAGGTAAATATTGGACTGAAGATGTTCTGGGGGGTGAAACATGAAGCCGAAGCAGAAGGTGACCCTTGCTGATGGTTCTAAAGCCGGAAGTGTTCTCAGTTATCCGCCTGCTGATTTCTGATGAGCAACAAACTGTAAAAACACTGATTTTATGAACGGAGTCTGGTGCTGCTGCCGACGGTACATCAATAACAATCACCATTAATACTGCGAGCTAACAGCTAACAGGTAGGAAGTTCACTACGTGCTAATGCTAACTTACACTTGCACCACATAGCAGAAGGCTAACGGCTAACAGCTAACGGCTAACGTTAGCCGGAACTCAACAGAGGTTATCTGAAACTTACCGGCTCAGAGAACCCGGGACAACGCGTCAGATTACCGGAGGACCTCCGGAGAGAACCAACTGAAGTTATTGTTTTAAGATATTTACTTTAAGATATTTATTTTAAGATATTTTATCTCATTTTGAGGTAAAAACCAACCAAGGACGTCACATCGGGTCCACGCAGCGCGAACTCCGAAACACCGGAAGTAGCAGCATCAATATAAAAGTGCTTCCGGCTTCCTCTCCCACCAAAATAAGAGACGTGCATTTAATTCGATGTGATATTTATACATTTAACTGAATCATTATACAACATGCACAGCGCGGGTAGATGTGTTTGAATCATTGGATTTATGTTTTTAAAGGATTCATCAATGAAGAGAAATACATTAAAAATAATTAAATAATTCTTCTTTGAAGCATTTAAACATTTATTTGTGCCCTCAAATTAATAAACTATGATGTTTGATTTGAGAGCATGAATTAAGAAATAGTGTTATAGAGTGTGGATGATTTTTATTTTTATTTGCGCACACATTTGTTGTTTTTCTGACTCCTCCAGTCTCTAATAAGCTAACAGAACCTGCTGAAGGCTTTTATAAAGAACTATTTCTAATTCTAATTATCTAAATCTAAAATCTAATTTCTGTTTAAAAGGAACAGAAGCACAGTTTAAAAGAAAATATAATTTATTTTTATTTTTTTAAATGGCAGCAGATTAAACTCTAAGAGGGAAGTTAAAGTCAGAAACTTTGGGGAATATTTATGTGAACAGGGTCACTCAGAATTCTGAATAAATCATTTCTGTGCTCAGTTCTTACACTGGACTCTTGCTGGTGAACTAAAGCTGTAGGACCGGTGTGGAGAGCAGGAGGGCTGCGATGTTAACCAGACGTTCACCAAACCAACCAGTTAGTCTTCTTCCTTAAAGTGTTTTCTCTCTTAAATAGTGTCTGATGACAGTTCCAATAAATCAAATGAACAATAAGGCTGAATCATTCTGAATATCACGGTGTATTTATTTATATCCATCATACACACTTACATAATTACCTTTAAGATGTCCTTCAGTCAAGTTTTATTAACGTCCTGATCTGATCAGATAAACCTGTAAATGAATAAAACTGATAACATGACACAGTGTGATACAGCAGTTTAGTCTTTTCATTTTAGAAATATAAAGTTTGAGTACTTCAGTGTCGACAGTTGGACGAATGTTCTCTAAATGTTTGCGTTATGTTTAATTATGAGTTTGTTTAACAAACAACACAACGAACTCCGGTTCACACACATTAGTTTTAAACCGTTTACACCAAAAATAAATCGGTTTGAAATCTGAAAAGTTGGTTCCTAAAGTGGGCGTGTAGGGTTGGGGTCACTGTGCTGCGATTGTTTTGTATCTACAGCTCAGGTGAGGAGGATTTTAGGTGCAGGTTGCAGATCACAACTCCCTCGTTTCACCCTCTACCACCACTGTACACAGCCAGTGTTTGGTTGGTCCCTTCTGGGCTACTGTAGGAACATGGACGTTCAACATGGCGGACTGTGTGGGTTGCATACTGGACCATCAATCAGGCCCCTTAGGGTTAGAGTTAGGCTTTCAGTGAGCACAGAGACATTTTCCTCTTTCAGCAGAGAGAACAAACTCTGCACAGACATTCAAACGTCACACCACAGGAACAGGAACAAACACAGAGTTCTTTATTTCATTTAGTTTTCATCCAAACTCAAGTCCCAACGGCTCAAACTGCCTTCTGACTGTTCATACAGCCTCATCAGTGGACTCTGATATGTGGAAACCCTTCTGGAAGGTGAGTGACATTTAGAGAAGTTATCAGCCGGCTGCACAGATTACTGAAGCTGATCGATGCAATCACGGCTGATATGGATCCGTTTGAGTTCAGCTTCCAGTCGAAGGTCTCGTCCTTCACTGCACATCAGCAGATCTCTATCAGACAGCCGGTTACACATTAAACCGGACGGCTGCTGCAGGTGTGTGGACAGGTGAACCTTCGCTGAGCTGCAGTCAGTCGCCGTGAAGATGAAGATGAGGTTGGAACTCTTCCTGCTCATCGCTGCGGTGAGCTGCGCTGCCGGCAAGCCGCTGAGCAAGGCAGCGGGGAGGAACAAGCTGCTGCTCATCTCCTTCGACGGCTTCAGGTGGGACTACGACCAGGACGTGGACACGCCGAACCTGGACCAGCTGGTAACGGACGGGGTCAAGGCCAAATACGTCACCCCCCCAATGCTGACCATGACCTCCCCGTCCCACTTCACCACCATCACTGGTAACACAGAACTGCATCATCCATCATAATCATTATATAAATATGAACAACAATAATAATAACTCATTATCTATCACGTCTACTATTAATATTACTATTAGTGGCAGTAATGGAAGCAGTAGCAGGAATACAACTACTGATATTATGCATATGATTATGATTAGTTCATAAAAATGTTTAAACTTTCTGGGATTTAAGGCAGGGAAGAGGTTTCACTTGGTTTTTTATCTGCTAAAATGTGTAAAAATGTTGTTAATAACTATTAAATAGACTATAAATGATGTTAGCATGGTGTCATTATATAGACTGACAGGTGTGTATAATGAGTCAAGTGCAGTAAAGGTATTAAAGAACAATATCTGATATCATGCATTCATGTAAAAGCAGGATTTTAACTGTTGGAGCTGGTGGAGCTCGTCTAGAAACTGATGATTATTTTCATTATGGATCCATCTGCTGATCATTTTCTCCATTAATCCATTGATTGATCGCTTTGTACGAATTCTAAAAGCAGTGAGAAATGCTGTCCAAAGAGATGCTTGTTTAATGATCACACATATTTTTTTATTATTATTATTAAATCAGATTATTACAATCAGTCGAAGGAAAAACAGCAAATATTCACATTTGTGAAGCTGGAACCAGGAAATGGTTTCACATTTTGTACAAATCTGTCAGGTAAACGCAGTAAAAGCAGAATATTTCCCTCTGAGATCTAGTGGAATAGACGTAGAACGTAGAATGAAGAGACTCAAAGTACAGTCAGTCATCTGGATTTATGCTGACACTAACTACAGTAAGACGGAGTCGTTACGAAACTCTACGGAGGCAAATAACATCATTAAAGATTTAAATATCATAAATGAATCTGAATACCACTGAGGTATTTTACGTATGATCTGATTGGTGGAAATATATAAACAGGAAATAAAGTTTTTAAATTGATCAAACAGGGAAATTACAACCACATTAATCCAGATTGATTTCAAAAGGAAAATATTTCAGCTCCACAAATTCAATGTTATTTCACAACTGGATTCTCATCTGCTTATGAAGATTAAAATCTCTCAGTTGTTACTGACGTCCATAAACTGCAATCCTAAAACAGTCACATCATATTATGATGCATTTAGAAAATAATTCACTTTACAGAATATTCATTTATAGAATATGTTCACACTAATGGAGGTAGATAGTAATAATAATAATAAAGTGCACCTCACTCAGGAATTTAACAGACATCTATAAAATCATATACGTCTGTAATAACTGAAACAACAACTGATTTAACTTCACTTGTACTTAATAGTGCTGCAGTCGTGGTGTTTGTAGGTTCATCCCATGATGCATTGCAGTTCCTGTGTAAGGGTTGCACAATGAAGCAAACAGTAAGATATGATAAGACATCATTTATTGTCCTGAAGTCGATTTGTTGTGGAATCATGTTGCTGCAGTTATGACAATATAACTTTCAGCTGGAAACCAAAACAGTAAAAGCTGGTAAATTAACAACATATAGCACGTGAAAGGTATTCAGTGAGCATCTAACTGAGTACGGTAGAACGCTACTAGAATGGTGTGAAGATTGAAAGGTCGGTTCATATGAATAACGTGAAAATTAAAAAAGCGAAAACTCTCAATAGCTTCGACCACCAACGTGCAAAATGTCCATGTCAAATTTTAGTCTCCAAAGGTTGGAGACATTTGTGTGGACAATCGATCCATCAACAACCAACCGACTGACCAACCCTGAAACGGGGGATTTCAGGGTATTGGGGAACTTTACTTTCTGTTCACTTTGAGCTTTTCGCTGGGTGTCTTTGGGAATTTTTTAAATGAAAGCCTTCCTGTCTTGTTTCCTGTGTTTTAGGGAGATGGGTGGAGGATCACGAAGTCGTTCACAACATGATGTACAACGCCAAGACAAACCAGAAAGTTCCTCACAAGCAGACTCTGAGCAGATCAGAGTGGTGGGACAACGGAGTTCTGCCGTTATGGATCACAGCTCAGAACCAGGTGAGTCATCGATAACAAAGTAAACTGACTATTTACAGATTTATTTTAAATTGGGGATAAATTATAAGTTAAGTTAAAGTGTCTTCAAACAATACAATTACTTAAATTTTACAACTGATGTAAAACTCAAACATGTGTCTGTGTTCTTGTTGTTTCAGGGTCTAAAAACTGCTTCCTTCTACTACCCAGGAGGCGGGGCCAACTACAGCGGCCAGGCGGTCAACCGAGCGCTGGTGGAGACATTTGACCACGTGGATGACAACGAGACAGAGTGGCGTCAGAACATCGACATGGTGATGAGCTGGTTCTCCGAAGAAGACTTCCACCTGGTGACGCTGTACTACGGAGAGCCGGACAATGTGGGCCACGCCAAAGGGCCGGACACTCCAGACAGGAAGAAGATCATCCAGCAGATCGACCGCATCATCGGCTACCTGAGGGAGGCCATTAATCGCCATAAACTGACGGACAGCCTGAACGTCATCCTCACCTCTGACCACGGCATGACCACTGTTAAAAAGCGACCGCAGGTAGACGAGATCATCCTCAACAAATACCTTAATTTACTCAAGCTCGCCAGCTTTGAGATCCTCGACTACGGTGGCTTCGGCATCCTGACGCCGCGTCCGGGGAAGGAGCAAGAGGTTTTCGACGCTCTGTCCAACGCACCGAATCTGACAGTCTACAAGAAAAACGAGCTTCCTGAGAGCTTCCGTCTCGCCAAAAGTGAGCGGCTGCCTCCCATCGTGGTCGTCGCAGATCTGGGATTCAACCTGAACTCTGTGAGTTTCCTGAATTTGACCCTAAAAGCCTTCAATTATCTCTGAAATCAGACATCAACGCAGCCACAAAACAAAAGAGGAGGGCAGGATGCAAGAGATCTGTGATCGACTGGTAATGGTGGACTACTTAATTCTTCATCATTTTGTTTCCCACCAGAGATTCATCGTCTACGTCAACAAAGGCGATCACGGCTACCACAATGGAGAGATGGACATGAAGACCATCTTCAGGGCCTTCGGACCCGACTTCAAGAAGAACTTCCTGTCTGAGCCGTTCGACAGCATCCACGTTTACCCTCTGATGTGTAAACTGCTGCAGATCGAACCGGCGCCGCACAACGGATCACTGACTGTAACGGAGAACCTACTGCTGCACAGTGGTAAGCCTGACTTTGCTGAATGGGTGAATGTGACATGTAGTGTAAAAGCACTTTGAGTGGTTGGAAGATTAGAAAGGTGCTGTTTACAGTTTATTTAATAGGAATGTCGCAATCCGATTTAATTTATCGGCATCGGCTATATTGTGCACGAAACTAAAATATTATACTTCTGACAATAGATCCTCCTCTTATTGTTCCCTATTATCCATTATGTTCCAGATGTTATTGAGTTGTCCTCTAAACTTCTCACAGTTTCATTTCTATTCAAATGATCCAATATTTCACTAAATATCCAAGATTAGAACTTTTTCTTCTTTCCTCTCCCATCAATCTTACGACCCCTCACATTTATCTGGCGACCCTTCGAAGGGGCTGGACCCCTAGGTTGGGAACCACTGGACTGAACTAGCTAATTATAGATGAAGTAGTTCAAACTAGCTCCACCTTACAGTAAAATGTTGCTGTTATAGAGCTTATTCGTTGATTTTTTTGTAGGAACAGTTGTAATAAAAGCACTTCAGAGGAAACAGTAAAGTTTTGTTTTTCAGGTGGATCTCAGAGAGCTCGACTGTCTGTCGCTCTGCTGCTGTCAGTGCTTTCCTTCATGTTCACTGCGCTGTAACAGGTCCAAGATCAGACCTCCAGGTCCAGGATCAGACCTCCAGGTCCAGGATCAGACCTCCAGGTCCAGGATCAGACCTCCAGGTCCAGGATCAGCTTCCATCACCTCATCTGAAACATCTGCTTTAATGGGTTTTAATCTTGTGCACAGCTGTCTCAGACATCACGTTATTATATTAGGTGAACTATTCTGTGTAATATTTATACACAACACTAACTTATGATTTCTACTTTATTTTTCTACAAGTGATTTACTGTTTGATGCAGTTGATGAACGTCAGTTGTTTAGTGTTGGCTTTGTGCAGATTCCTGTAATAAATGAAGATTTATTAACTTTTTATTTCTGTCTGTGTGTTAAATGTTCAGATTGATACCTCCTATCTGTATGGTGTAATACTATAACAAATAAAAACAACTATTAAGAGAATAGCAGCACCTACCTGGAGCTCACATTACAACAGCACATCAGATCAGCTCTCCTGATGACTCTGTCATCATATTCGTTCCCAAATAGGCCTTTTACTAACTAATTACTAACACTGAGAACAGACGAGGTAAATAAAGTGAGTACAGGTGACTGACTGTGTAAAACATTTAATATCTTTAATACCCCCCCCGGAGATTGCAAAGGAGCTTTAACGTGTTGCTTTTAATGCATTAATTAGAATGTGTTCTCAACAACCGAACATCAGATTTTGTTGATCATTAAAGGGTCAAATACGATCGTCGTCACCAGACTGATTTTATTTAAACTTGAAGAGGAAACTACGACGACAGTGGCTGTGACATCATTCGTTCAGCCACTGCAGGCAACGAGGTGAGGCACAACAGTGATCGCACACACTCACAGGTATACAGCCACACACTCACACAGACACATATACAACTTAAATCAGCATGATGATTAAATAAAAACTCCTTCCTGCGTTGGACCTGTCGGGGGGGAACGGCCTCGTCTGCTTCATGAAAGCAGAAACAGACATTTAAAACGATAAAATTAAACTTTTTCAGATCATCAGGAAAATCGGGCGTCCACTAAGTCCGTGTTTGGGTTCGATGCTCCAGCAGCCAATCACAGCGCAGCAGCGGAGCGCCCGAGTAAAAACCAACCAAAGAAACCTCAGGAAGCTGTTTCCAAAAGTGGCGGCCATATTTGCTCCCAGTGGTGGAGTCTCCGTGTTTCACCATAAAACGATGAGAAAATAAAACGTTCACCTTCGTCCGAGGAAACGCAGCATGAGTAGTACGGCGCGGCGAGGTGAAGCCTGATTGGTCCTCCCACGACCTTTCGACTGTGTTCAGAGAAGACCGAGGGCTAGCAGCGTTTCCCTCCTCGTGCTCCAACAGTGGCCCCCCCCGGTAGGTAGATCATAGCGATGTCTCAGCGTCCACAACTCTCCGACCGTCCTCGTTCTCCACGTTTATCTGGATGCTCGACAGCTTCTCCTGGCTGGAAGACACAACGCCAGCAACGAGGCATCTTATTGGTTTATTAATCAATCAAATGTTGCATAAATAGAATCACTTCTGTTTATAACCAACCACCTCAACACCCTAGCAACAATGGTGTAAAACTTTATCATCATCATCATGTGACTCAGATCTAAAGTAGGAATCTGTGCAAACTTTTACTTTCTAATCCAACTTTAATGCAACTAAAATCTTTTCACACTGTCCAACAGGGTTAAATCAGATGGGTGGAGCTTGACCTCGTCCAGGCCATTTCTTAGGCACTTTTTTGTACAATTCATTAGAAATCGAAGTCAACTTGTTCCAGTGAGAATAACAACTCGTGGGAAACTGCAATGATTGGTCAGGGATTGGTTGGTGTCCAGTAGGTTTACCTGTTGCTGCGTTTCAGAGCTTTGCTGCTTTCAGAGTTCATGGATTTCCAAATGCCGCTTTTGGCCATTTCATCTGAGATGTTGACCTCTGATGGGTCCATGCTGCACGACACACAGAAATACACGTTACTCTCTGCTGCAGTGTCTGTACACAGGGATCGTACTGTTCATCACTCACCGTCCTTTCAGGGTTTTGATCGGGAAGTCGATGACGTTCCCTCCGTTGTACGGCAGATCGTCCTCGGCCTCCTCCAGCATCCGCCTAGCTTCCTGAAAAAGAATCCACATCGGCGGTGTCAGTGAGGAGCCTGAGGCAGAGTCACATTGTTTGGTAGATTTAAATGTCTAACGGCTCACCTCCTTCTCCTTCTTCTTCTTGTCGTCGTCCCTCTTCTTCTTGCTCTCCGGTATCAGGTCGTCCAGCCAGCTCAGCTCTCTCTTGGTGAAGCAGAAATCCAGAAGCTTCCGGATGAACACCAGAGCCAGCACCTGCACAGGACGGCAAGAAGTGGCGAGTTATTGCCTTTAAGCACTGGTTCCCAAATAAAAGTAAACTGAAAACACATTGTAAACATATTTAATGGATATTTCATATTATATTTAACAATAACAATAATAGTAGAGAACAACAGATAAACTGTACAATGAACCCAAACAGTGAACACAATTAATACGTTTTAAAAGAAAAAGGTCCAGTTTGTAGGATTTTACAGGATCTAGCGGTGTAGTCACTCGCTTCACCCTCCCTTTCCGAGCGTGAGGGAGAAACTATGGTGGCAGCGAAAAAAACACAAACGGCCCGATCTAGAGTCAGTGTTTGGTTTGTCCGTTCTGGTTCCTACTGTAGAAACATGGCTGACTACACAGAAGGGGGTTGGGAACCACTGCTTTAAGTAAAATAAAATGTTCTCTCGCTGTAGGTCTCACCATCATGGGGAAGACAACAGCGGCGGCCGAGGCCTTGATGGTCCAGAGGACGATGAGGCAGGACAGCTGCACCACAGTGAAGATGTGGACCTTCCACAGGGGGACGTAGCGCAGGTAGATCAGGTCCGGCTGGTGTTTGGCCGGCATGCCGAACAGTTTGATGCGGTCAAATAGCTGAGGGTTGGACAGACGGACAGACGTCAGTGACAGTGAACCACAGACTGGCACAGCTGCAGCAAGACAGACAGACAGTGAGACAGACCTGAATGCCTCTGAGCGAGGACACTCCCATGTAGAGGAAGACTCCGTACAGGACAGGCATCGGGATGAACTGAAGGACAGCAGGAGAAATTTAAGTTAGAAACATCTCCACTCTCGTCTACAGAGAGCTGATGTAGAAACAATCCAATCAATGAAAGCTGCAGCAGGTAACTTAAAAAAGGTCGTATTGACTGAAACTATATCAGTAGATCTTGACAGAAGTACATGAGACGGATAATCAGTAAAAATCTGCCTCCTCCTAGTGCTCCTAAAGGTATCTGCAAGAATCCACCATAAAGAATACCTGAAAATACCTAAAACATGACGTCCTCTCCTGTTGAACAGATACTGAAGGACAGGGGACAGATGAGATAAAACACTTTTCATAGGGACTTTAAAAGTTAATAGGAGAAGTCAGTTGAAGTGTAATTGTAGAAAGCAGCCCCCTCAGACAAGCATGAACACTCGGGGTGTTATCTGTCTCCGCGAGGACTCTGTTCACCTTGAGGGCGGAGGTCATGAAGACGGAGCAGCCCATCAGGATGAAGATCATGAACCCAGTGACTCTCTGCTCCCTGATTCCCAGGAACTTCGGCTGCTCCCCCGGCGCCGCGCACTCTGACTCCAGCTTCAGACTGTTGACGTGGGAGATGGAGAGCACAGTCGCCGCTACGAACCACGGCAGGCCCATGATGGAGCACACACCCAGCATCACCGCCACCACCAGCAGATCCAGGTGGTAGCCACAACCTTTCTGCAACCACAACACACACAGAGGGGAAGTTTATCACCGAGCTACCCGTCTGTGGTCACCTGCTACCGTCCTGTCAGTTGTCCCCACCTTGAGTTTGTTCTCCTTCCTGTTGACGATGACGGCGGTGATCTGCTGGTCCATGAAGATGAGGATGGTGCAGAGCAGAGCAGGGACAGCGGCGGCCAGCAGCGTCCACCAGGGGTTCGGACCCAGGGGGGAGATCAGCCACCCTCGAGTGTTCGACGTGGGCTGAACGGATGAACACAAACAGACTTTATAACTTCTGACAGTGAAGCTCGTGTACACAGCAGATGGAATGTTTCAGTGCTTTCTGTAATACTGACAATATAAAATATCTAAACAGCATTTATTTATAATTTTATTCAAACTCAAAGTAAATGACTCAGGTATTTATGATGCAGCTTTAGGCAGCAATGTTTGTAGGTCACTCTAATCTCTAAGCTTGAGGTCGTTGCTCTTCATTTTTTAACCCTGCAGTAACAGAAGAAACTGACCTACATCTGTACGCAGTGTTATGTAATGTGGACAGTATATAGATCATATATACTGTATACCAGCGTACCGATTATAAAGAGAACACAGTGGAGTCAGGTGTTACCTCGAAGCGGTCGGGTACGTTGAGTTTGGGCGAAGGAACTCCCACCAGATAATCCACTAACACCATGATCATGATGGTCAGAAAGACGGCAAAGTCACTGATGGTCGATCGAACCTGCAGACACAGAGCGGTCTGATCAATATTCTCCCTCAGCTCATGTCGTCTTTATCCGATAAAATGTGATCACTTGATTGAGTTTTAATATTTAAGCTATATAAATATTAACATCTTAATGATAGCTAATAGCTAGCCAGTGTACATGAATCTATCAGATGTAGCTAGCTAACAATTAATGCAGATGAGTTAGTCAGCGGGTGTTTAGCTCTGCAGCAAAACACTAACTAGCTAGCCACCTAACTAAGTAGCTTATAATTGACGTAGAATGCTTTGCTAACATTAGCTAACTTAAAAATGTGACTATACACATGTGTCTTATTTATCATTTAACCATCTTCAATGGTTGTCTTTTCAACAGAAATTAGCATAGCACATAGCATATCTAATTACAGGAAAGGAGGAAGCTGACTCAGGACCGAGGCTTGCTCAACTGTGATTGGAGCACAGAGCAAAAGGGGCGGGACTTAGGAAGGGTCAACTATTAGAAAAACTCAACCAATCATCTGAACTGGATGAGAACTTGATATTAGAGACATTCAGGGTGAAATACAGAAACAAGCAAGCAAATCTATAATGCAGTGACCTGCTGAAGCCATGTAACCCAATTCAAAAAGCAATCTGTGTGAGACTGATACAGACCTTGGTGGGGAAGTATCTCTTGGTCTTGAACTGTTTGAGGAAAGATGAGAGGAAGAAGGTGGTGAAGAAGAGGATGACGGACCAGAAGAGGACGTCGGGGACGTAGGGGCCGCCGTGGCTGCAGGCCGAGCCAATGAACTCCCCGTGTAAATCCACACAGTCCTGGAACCAGAGAGAGAGTGTTGAGCTGCAGTTCCACTAGTGTCCACTAGATACTGCTGTAATCTGACTGTACTGAAGTGAATGGACACATCAGTTCAGCTCTCAGCAGATTCAATGAGCTTCTGCTACAGTCAGTGAGGGGAGTCAGTGTGGAATTTTTTTGACTGCAGCTAAACTAAACAACTAAACAATATCTAAGGCAGGGAACACCAGAAACGTCTTTTAAACAGTGTTTTCAGATCAGTTTTCACTGAAGCTTTTATATGAACACACTGTCAGACCTTTGCAGTCAGCTGGTCCCACTCAATGTTTTCTGACGTCACGTTTTTGGTGCTCCACATCTGTAGGACTTCAGCTGAGGCGTTGGCAGGCGGAGAACACTGACACCTGTAACAGAGCAGCAACACAAGAGGCCCGTACACATTACGAAAAGTTCATTTACCTACAACTTTTATCAAAGTCTTTCATTTTCTTTTCACTTTTCATGCCAAATCACCATTTCAATAATGACAACCTTATAATTACATTATAAAGACAAGTGTAGCCAGAATCTTCACTCAGCTTGTCTAAATGTGTGTTAATCTGCATCTACTCTCCTCCGTATTCTTTGTTCGATGATTGGACAGAATAGTCTTGTATGTAGTCATGAAATAAGTTACTCCCTTACGTGTAGAAGGTGAGGTTGTCCAGCTGGTTGTCCATGTTGATGGGGTAGAGCTCCCCGAGGTGGACCAGCTTCTCCAGGGCCTCATAGATGAAGATGATGCAGATGAGGGCGGCGAAGGCCTCCTCTGTGAAACGGGTGATGTAGCAAACTAAAGAGCTGGCATCTGTGGCGACCAGCAGCAGGCAGAGGAAGGCAGTCCAGAGTCCGATACTGGTCCGCAGGGACAGGTAGCACAGACCATAGTCACTAAGACAGACAGGAAGGGACAATGAGACGAGAAGGGCACAATCAGTATTTTGGAGGACCATACCACTGGTTTTAAAACCGTATGTTCAGGGTTGGAGGAGAATGAGATGTTACAGGAATATAGGAACCATTCATTATCTTCTCTAAACGAGAAAACTCCCTGTTGATGTGTTCAAGGACTGGAGCTCAGTCTTTTTCTGTTCTTTTGATACTTTACCTTCAAAACTATTAACATGTTTTTCCACTAAAGCCTCATTTAACAGAAAAGCCTCAAGGTCTCACATGTTAAATGTTGACTGCATACTAGAGGTGTTGAAATTAATCAAATAATCGATGCATCGCGATGCAGACATGGACGATGCTGCATCGATGCAGTGGCCGACCATAATAGATTATAACGCAATGATGTCGCTCGTTAATTTTCTGGCCACGGCATAAACATTCAAATAAAAAATAACATTCTCAGTAGCCTAACCCGTTTCATCTAGACCAGACTGTGTGTGTGTGTGTGTGTGTGTGTGTGTGCGCTGTCTGCTGTGTTCAGACTGTTAAATAAAAAAGATTGTTTATATCTTACTACTTGTATTTTTGTATGAAAACAACCATATGAAGTAATATAGAAAACATTGTGATGCATCGAGGAATCGAAGACATGATAATCGTAATCGAATCGAAAGATCAGTGACAATTCACACCTCTACTGCATACAAACAGTCATACAGCAACTTGTTTGAATAAAATACAGTCTGAAACAGGTAAAATTAGTCATCAGTCAATCAGTCAACAAGATTATAAATCTGACCAGTAAGACTCTCCAAAGCACGGTTCGCTGCCTATTATCTAACCTCCTCTAACCTCTAACCTGTTGGAGTAAATAAACTGTCAAGGGAAAAATGTATTTTGATCTTTTGAGCTCTGTAGAACAGTTCATCAGTGTTATCAGTGTTTTCTCAGTCAACACTGACTCAGGAGAAACTGTTGGACTGAGGACATCACCCGCAAAGAGGGTCTCTATAAAAGAGCAGCAGCCTCTCTGTCCTCCTCATCCTGTCCCTCATCATGTCTCTGTGTCTCCCTGTCCTCCTGCTGTTGAGCCTGGCCTGGTTTGGCACAACTCAGCCGGTCGACAACCGGGCCGAGCTGAAGAAGATGCAGGCCGCTCTGGAGGAGATGCAGGTCGAGAGGCGAGGTAAGTCTCCACTCGTAGCTTTGTTGTCTTTATTTACAACCAGAAATATTTGTCTCGGAATCAACAGGATGCTTTCTTTCTTTCTTTCTTTCTTTCTTTCTTTCTTTCTTTCTTTCTTTCTTTAAAAGATCTACAAAACAGACCGAAGAGGCTCATGCTGATATTTCTTTGCTGTAAAGATTAAAAAAGATTTCCTTTAGGCAGAGTGATAAAGTCTCAGAGGATGCGGGAATGAGTTTGCGTCAGATGTATAGGTAGGACGGAAGTGTATCAAGGTTCCTGAATCCAGGCACTTTTAAGGACCTCTTTCTGGCTTTGTAAATCCAAGTATAGCATCCTAGCTTATCAATTCCTTTTACCAATACAGGCATGTTTTTCTTTGTGCACTGTAAAACAATTACGTCAAACTTGTGTGTCTACACTGCTCCAAACATGCAAAAAGGAGGAATCATGGTAGAGAGGAAGAAATGGTCCAAAGGGTGACCTCATTTCACCAAGGAACCCAGCAGAACTCTACACTGTTCAGACTCAGAGATAATAAAACAGTTGCACTCATGTTAAAAAACTAGAAAATTGATCAGAAATCAAATAGGGAATGAACAAAGAATTAGACCGATAAGCAGAATCAATGATAGCATTGGTATCAATAAAATCTAATCAATTCCCAAAGCACCTTGCAAAGATATGTTTGAGGCAGGAGACAGTGCCTTGATGGCCTGAAATATGAAGTGCATTTAGACAGGAAGTGATGTCACAACTTTGGCTGTCTAATGAGTAGAAATCAGTCAGCGATGTTTATCAGACAGAAGCAAAACATGTTGCCCTGGTTACTGAATTTGACACAGAATCCAAAAGCAGATTGATAAAGGGGATTCAAGAGATTTGAACATCAGTTATCCGTATTGGCGGTCTGTAGCCTCTGCACGCCGTCAGTGATGCACGCAACACAATTTAAAGCTCGACAGTTGGGTGTTTTCTTGCTGAGATTGCACTTTTTTATGAAATAATTAGATATTTTCTTACACAGTTGTTCATTGTTTGTTCTGATGATTGAAATTTTTTTAAAAATTGATTAACTATTTCTTGAAATAAATTAGCTCTGCATCCGTTGGGATCTACTGAAACTCTCTAGCTGAATTCTTGTGAACGTGGAGTCTTGAACCCGACTTCTTCTTACACCCTTTTAACACCCACAGGTTCACTGACTGCTGGACAAAGTTCAGTATGTTCCAGTTTATTTATAATGTGACTGTTATTTTATTGTTTGCAGCAATGAGTAAACGTCTGGATGCAGCTGAGAGGGAACTGAACAGAGTCAAAGGTAAGGTAATCTCAAACTGGTGAAAAACTCAATCATTATAAGCAGTATATAAGCATTGAATAAATGGTTTATAACGCACTATAATGTAGTTGTAAGCAGATACGATGCCTTAGATATAAAAAAAACTTTGTGGACTTTTCCAAAGCATTTCACATATCGACCACATCTTGCTTTTACATATTTATTACAATTTATTACAACGTTATCTGTTCTATCTGCAGCAGTCAGTGAAGTACTGTACTAGTCGTTCAGGGTTTTTACCGATAAACGCTGTTTCACAAGGTTCAAATTTAGGTCCAGTTATTGGAGAACCCACATTTGTTAAACGTTCTTCAAATGTACATCAATATGCTGATGATATAATATTGTGTAATATGTGGACAACCTACTGCACTTTTCAATAATAAACTTGTACTGAATGTACAGACAACTAAGTTTATGCTGTTATCAACAACATCCCTGGCTCTAGACAACAAAAACTTTTGTATTTTCACTGCACAATGATCCAACATTAAAGGAGTTACAGCATAAAAATATAAATAGTTCAGTATTTTCACATTCAAATGGTACATAGAAAATCTTGTCATGAAACAAAAAATGTATTGTTTTTCTTATATCTTTTTTTAGTTGTTATATATTTTTAGTAATTTTAAATTGTTATTTGACATCACTGTAAATGAGGGTCAGCCTTCAAAGATGTCTGTTGTTTATTGAGGTATCTGACAAGTGGAAGAATTAAACAGAGATTATAAATGAGAATACAGCAATAATAAAAGTTAGAATTGTCTAATAAACACTTTAAAAAGTTTACAGTTGTCCATATACTGCTTATAAATGATAAATAGGGGGACTTAAAGTCAAGTGTTAGCATCTCAAAGCACATTTTAGAATTTTTCCAAAGACAAATCCAAATTTCCTGGATTCGGTGAAAACAATGATGCTGATGAAACATTTATACCTGAAAAGCTCAGATAGTTTAATAAATGACTGAAGTGAAGTTTTTCCAAACTGCCATAAAATGCTTTAAGAGATGACTAAAGATGTTAATCTGTACAGAAATACCTAAAGTTGCGTTCGCCGCCTCTCTGGGAGGAAACGGCCTTGTGAAGACGACAAACGGCAATAACGACCTCATTTACACGGACGTCATGACCAATGTGGGTGGAGCTTACAATGCTGAGACAGGTGAGATACTGTATTCAAGTTCTAGACTAGTCATGTCAAGAAAGTTAGCCAAAGAAGTGTCTCCATCCACTACTGTTATGTGTATGTTGGCTGATGGGCATAAACAGTTGGTGAAGCTACTCTTCATTTTCCCTCCAGGTGTGTTCACGGCACCGATTCGTGGAGTCTACTACATCCGTTTCACCGCCAACAGCCCCACCAACTTCCCCATGAGCGCCGTACTTTACAAGAACGACCTTGAGATCCAGCTGATTGTCCATGAGCAGCCGTCCGGCGAGGGCAGCGACACGGCGTCCAACGGCGCCACCTTGCTGCTGGAGCAGGGCGACAGGCTGAAGATGGTGCTGTGGCATAACACTCAGATCTGGGACAACAGCAACCACCACAGCACCTTCAGCGGCTTCCTGCTGTTCCCCATGTAAGCGCGAGAGAAAATACCTGCTTCTGATTGGCTGCCTGGCAACTGTCACAAAAATCACATAAACAGACCAACTGCTGATAATGCTGACACCACCGAATACTACAACTACCACCAACAAATACTACCAACATGACTGCTACGACTACTTCCACCACCAACACCCTTACTATTGGTACTACTACCATTACTACCAACCACCTTATTTGTGCAGCACTTTGAGAACTGAAGTGCTGCACAGAAAAGACCATCCAAAGGAAAGATAAAAGTACATTTATAAGATGTAAAGATCCACACTGAGTCCTAAAGATGGACGTCTGTCTTTGTTTCTTTGTGCTTCAGGGTGGATGAACCTCCCAAAGAGTTCGACATTGAAGCCGAGATGAAAACACTTCAGGCTTCACTGACGCAGTTTCAGACAGAAAATCTGGGTAAAACTTGATTTGTAATAATACTACAACTACAACACCACCAAATACTATTAGCACTACCAAATAACACCACCACCAACAAATACTACTTCTACTACCAATGCGACAAACAACTTTTACAACCATTTATTTATTTATATATTGATATATGATGAATAAATACGGGTTGATATATTGATATATGATGAATATATAGGGGTTGATATATTGATATATGTTGAATATATATGGGTTGATATATTGATCTATGATGAATATATATGGGATTGATGAGTTTGTGTCTCTGTGTGTTTCTAGGTGTCAGAGAGAGACTCGAGGCCACAGAGAGGGAGCTGAAGGCGATGAATGGTTAGTCACTCCTTCAGATATTTTCGACAGAATATCATCGTTTTCTGTTTAAAATGTTTATTAAACAACAACCGCAGCATTAACGGTGACAGTTTCCTCCACCAGCTGCCACAATAAAGACACAGCTGGGACACTGAGGCACAAAACAAACGCTCTCTCTCTTTTCTGGCACCATTAACTGGGGTTTAACTGTGGCTGATGAGCGCCCTCTTGTGGATATTACCACTTCTTACAATAATGACAAATACAAGTCTTTTACTCTTTTTCATGTGTAGTTTAATAGACCCAATGAACCCCGTCCTAATTCAATCAAATCCTGGAAAGACATTAAGGGACCCAACGCACAGACAAAAATTTCTCTCCTCTGATGTGGAAATGATCGGATCTCTGTACAAAGTCTGCGCTGATTTTCCTGCTGGAAATAGGAATCATGTGTACCTAGTTCTAGTTAAAAGTGATTACGGCAGGAACATTTTCATTTAATTAACATCTGAAAGTGTAATTTCCTGCAATATAGAGCCATCAATTATGTCTAATAAAACAGCTTTCACTATAAAGCTCAGTTTATTGTATTATTATATAAAAATGTTAGGTTTTAATTGTGTTCTCTTAATTAATTATTCACACTGTCTATCATCTGTGTACATTTTGGTCCATTGCTATTCCTGAGTAAAGCTTCATCTGTTCTAGCATTATATAATGGGGAATCGCTAAGGTCAATTTTAAGTTAATTAGAGTTATAAATCAGTTATTAATGGGCTCCTTGGAAGTATGAATCTAAGAACACTTCTATAAATGAGTAAGTATGTAAGTATTTGTTCTGACCTTGTTTTCATTGGTTTTCACCTTCAGACGTACCAAAGGTGGCGTTTGCAGTTTCTCTCGGAGGCGACGGCCTTCAGAAGACGACGTCAGGAAGCAAAACGCTCATCTACAAAGACGTCCTGACCAACATCGGACAGGCGTACAACTCAGAGACAGGTCAGTGACAAACTGGCACGCACTCTCCAACATACGACTGCAACCAGGGGTGGAAGTATTCAGGTCTTTAAACCACACTGTGAAAGTGCTCCAATACAAAGCTTGTTTATATAATACGTGAATAATAAGGCTAGAACTACCTTGTGTCCCTTCCAGTCTACACACTGTTTTCTACCCCTTCCTCCTCCAGGTGTGTTCACAGCACCGATTCGTGGAGTCTACTACATCCGTTTCACCGCCAACAGCCCCACCAACTTCCCCATGAGCGCCGTTCTTTACAAGAACGACCTTCAGATCCAGCTGATCGCCCACGAGCAGCCGTCCGGCGAGGGCAGCGACACGGCGTCCAACGGTGCCGCCCTGCAGCTGGAGCAGGGCGACAGGCTCTCCCTGCAGCTGTGGCACAACACTCAGATCTGGGACAACAGCAACCACCACAGCACCTTCAGTGGCTTCCTGCTGTTCCCCATGTGAGCACCAACATGACGCGTTTTCACCACCAGTCAACAAAAGACTGAAAGAATGCTTTTTTTATGACTACTCCTTTAAATAAAATGACATTCTACGTGTTTTCTGCATCATTTTAGTCCCAGAGATTCAGCCGGGCAGATTTGGTCTCTTTGGAAGGTTTGGAAGTGTTCCGATCCTTTTACTTAAAAGAACCAGTGTGCAGGATTTAGTGGCATCTAGTGGTGATAGATGCCACTGCAATGACTAAAACTACTAAAACATTGCTTATTGAGGAGACCCCCACAAAGCTCACATTGTAACTCTAACCCTGAAAACTAGAGTTAAAAAGCACCAAGATCTAAACAGTGGATGGTAAAAAAAATCTCCAGATGAAGCAAAAATACTTTTTTTGTTTCACTGCTTTCTGTCTGAATTTTTTTTTTACCCTCGACCTTGTTGAGTTTAGTGTTTGACAAGACTTTTAAAATGTTCAGCAAATAAGATCAAGGCTACAGTTCATTAGTTTTTCCATTCTTATTCTTCCTATAAGTTCCTTAATAAATGGATTAAAAATGTTACATTACAATTTCCAAAATCCCAAATATTCTGTTTACTATCAGAGAATACAAAGAGAATCTGCTCATCTTTGCTCTTTCTGACTTAAAATGACTCGCAGATTCATTTCCAGTGAATTAATTGTTTGACTCCCAATTAAACAATTATAACATCATCGTTAACTATATTTTTATGTGGTATATTATAATCACTGCAGGTGCCAACGATGTCTCAGACGTATTTTCCAGGAAATATTTGAGTTTTAAAGGATAGAAGATAGAGGAGTATGATATAACCTGATGAGAGACAGAGCAGGTTAAAAAATAAGGGTTTTATATAAGTGTTACAAAACAATTTATTCATCATAAAAACCTTTTTTAATCCTCAGACAAAAAAATAAAACAATAGAAAACTCATCCACCACTCTGAGAGCTTGTAAAAACAAATGGACAACAATCCCTCTAAAGCCAATTACACAGCTGATCCAAAAACCCAGAAAACACGATAATGTCAGACCACTCTGGCTCCGTGACGAATAACAAAGCCTCATTGGTCGGTTTGAGCTCTTACTTAACTACATTTTTTAATGTCTCTTTTTCTGGGTCATTAATGACGTCACAGAGGCTCTGAGCCGCCTGCAGGGGGAGCCACACTTCATGACCAACACTGACTGAATGACTGCGGTTTCACACATCATCAGGAGAAGTATTCAGGTCATTTAATAAAAGTAATAAAAGTTCCAACACAACAATCTAAAAACACTCCAGCAAAATGACTACGTGTTGAAAAGAAAATAGTTCCTGCGTTAAACTGCTCACAACAAGGTCTGTGGATTGTCTGTGGAACTCGGGTCATGATTTCTGGAAAAAGACGATGCTGTTGAGTTTTTCAAATTTATATTTTTGGTGCTTTAAGCTGAGTGGTTCCATTATACTGGAGAGGAAGACATCTCTACGGCCAATAACTCAGCAACTCACACCAAAACTATCTGATTTTACTCCCTTTAAGTAAAAGTACACAAGTATTATCAGCTTTATGTACCGTAAAACTTCTAATAACAGCCCGGGAGCCTTTATTGGGGACAGGCCTTTAATTCCTTTAGCACAGATGGAAATTCGACGACTAACAGCTTGAATTTCAGGTCATACTCTACAGCAAGCAACAGACTTCACATGATAATATTCACAACTCTGATGAATTTAATGAAACTCTTTGATTGTTCTGATGGGTGGACCCTGACGGACTAAAGGAATATAAATAAGACATTACGGACTTTATGATCTCGTCTCTCTTGTTCACCGTGTTACCGGTGAGTCTGAATGAATGAACGTCACACCTTAATGTTCATAGTTTCAGTAAAATGAAGGATTTGAACTGTGGAGCATCTGACTGATCCAACGATGTGCAGCATCCATACTGAAAGAATGTTAAACATTTATATGGATTTTATGTGGAGGAGATCTAAACGGCTTAAAACTCAGTTTCAGAATCCAGACCAGGCCTCTATTGGAGTTCCTGCTTCCATTTGGGACTCTTATTGAAAACATTACGGTACTTTAAGTATCAGCAGTAAAACAATCAGAAAGCTTCATCTTAACGGCAGCCAGAGAGCGCTGCATGGTCCCCCCACAAGGGAATTATGGGTAATGATAGCTGCCATGTGCAGATTTATCAAACAACAGGAGGCAGAGTCTGACTCACCTGCAGAACTTGAAGAGGATCTTCTCAAAGACCAGAACTGGCCCGGTGCTGCCCAGGATGGTGAGAGGCTGACCAGCAAACAGAGAGTAGGCCACGCCCGTCAGAGACGCTCCAAACAGAGACTCTATGGCGCTCTACCAAGAGAGAGAGAGAGAGAGAGAGAGAGAGAGAGAGAGAGAGAGAGAGAGAGAGATATGAACACAGAAGAACCCAGTGAACAGCATGTCCAGACCATCTGGAGCATCTGATGCTGTCGGAGGACAGTTTGACTACAGGGACTAAAGGACTGAGGAGGATTTTGTTCGGGTTTGGCTCCTGGTACCCCGGGGCTAAGTGTAGCTAACTAATAATTATTTGCTCTGTGTCACTAAAAGTTGAAGATTGATTGAATGTCGTGATATTATTGGTTGAAATCAGTAAGTTCATGCTGACGTAAGCACGCGTCACATTTTGTTTTAAAGGAAGACACAATGATTGGATTCTGATATAAAAATACAAACAATAAGAGTTTTTGTATTTTTTGTTGTTGTCACACATTGTTAAATATGGGAACAATATATATAAATATATAATTCTGGACGTGTCGGTTCAGCTCTTCCCACTGAAACGCTGTGGAGTCCATCAGCGTTACATCCCGTCAGTCTGGTTCTTACTATGTTTCCTTTGGTGGCTTCTCCCAGCAGACCTCCGAACGTGATGACGGGCGACATGCAGGCGCAGTAGAGGAAGAGGACGGACGCCAAACACTGCAGGCTGAGGGCGTCTCTGATGTCACTCCACAGGAAGGGAGCTTTCCTCCGAATGTCGTTCACCAAACCGCCAAAGATCCTGACGGAGAGAACGGATTACTGACATGCAGTAGGGCCTAATGATCCTGATGATAAAAAATCCTCACACTGGAGACTTTCAACCACAGGATGAGTTTTTATTGATTATCAACTTAAAAGATAAACCCTTTAATGTAATCTCAGTCCTGTAAAGTGAAACTGGGCTCAGACTGACCTCCCTGTCCTCTGCAGCTCTGGTCCTGACTGATGCTCTGCCTCCTTGGCGAAGTCAGCACTGTGGGCGGAGCCATTAGGGACGGACGGCATCTTCCTCTTCTCCTGCAGAGAGACAGAGGACGAGGACACAGAGCTGAACCACTGATAGTATATAACAGTGAAATTACTTAAACCTGCATTCTCTCTCACAGCCAGCAGGGGGCAGCTCCACTCTGATAGTATTGAGTCTTATGGGGAAGTTATGAGTTCAGTAAACAGTTTCCTGATGAGTTTCTGATCTCAGTCTCTAGTTTCAGTCTTCTTCCATACAGCATGATGTTCATTTAGTAACTGATGGTCCCATTGAGAGTAAAACAGACCATAAAGCAGGGGATGCTTTGACTATTTATCTCCTCAAATCTGTTCACAAACATATGTTTCAGGAGTGGTGGTCTCACCTGAGACGGGACGCTCTTCGGGGGTTCGATGCGGATGCTCGGGTCCCATTCACCTGGAGGAAGCACAGTGACCTGATCCAGGAACTCATCGATCCCCGACAGCAGGTCGTTCCTGTCCTTCGCCTTGTAGGCGACATCGTGGAAAATCTTCCGCAGAGAGATGAAGTCAGTCAGAAGACTAATGTGGGTTAAACATAAACAAGCTGTATCTCACCTGTAAACCTGCACAGACACACTGCTGTGTATGTAAACGATTTTACTTTTAACCACTTCTGAACAGTTTCTGTTAACCACATTCATTCAATCACATTCTCCTCCACCAGGGGGCGCAACATCTCTGCAGAACAAATGGTGAAGATTTCCTTCCTGACCCCATGAAACAGTGAATAAAATCAAAGAACTCATCATATTAAACCTTTTCCCAGCCGTTTTTTTTAACGGCCTTGAAAGTGTCGTGGTGTAACTGATTCGTCTCACCTCGTCCGTCATCAGAGTGGCCATGGAGCGTCCGATCTCATGGTACTGTGGACCTTTTCCAAAGGGGCCGAGCAGCAGGAAGAGAAACCTGCACAGACAAAAGACAGTCATCAACAAATCCTTTCAAACTACAAGTTACTGTGGATTAAAGAGAGTCACCAAAATGAGCAAATAATAGTTTAAAAAAACTTTTCCTGTTAATGGTCACATAATATAATTTCTCTTAAAACACTGTTGTTTATAGCCACATGGGGGCAGTAGTAGGTGACAGAGTAAAAGTACTAATACCACACTGTGAAAATATGTCACACAAGTAAAAGTCCTGCATTCAAATCCTTAGTATAGTATATATCCTAAATATAATATAAAGCAGAAAAAACCTGAAAACTGTACAGAAGTGTGATAAAACCCTGAACACTAGAGCTCATGTAAACATACACAGCTGCTACATTGTGTGTGTGTGTGTGTGTCACCTGGTGGGCACCGGGACCTCTGTGAGGCCGGTCAGCAGCAAGGCGGGGGACAGTCGGACGAAGGCGATGATGGGCCGCTCCAGGAAGTCGACTTCACCCACCAGGACGTTGGAGGCCTCTGCACCAGGAGGGATCTTCTTCATGAAGTTCATATCCACCTGCACACACACACACACACACACACACACACACACACACAATCAACCACACTGTAGCTGCCATGGAGCCTGCAGCCTGTAGGGGGCGCTAGCGGACTGTCAGTGTGGTAGTTGTGGGTTTGTTTCTCCTCCTGGTCTGTTAACACTGAACGTGTTGCTGTCACACAGTTCAGGTGAGCGGTCGGTTTCAGGTAACAGCAGCAGGTTGAGTCTCGGTGTGAGTTTCGTCTGATCTGATCTCAAACAGACTTTATCACTGATGTTCATGTGTTTATTAGGGCTGCACGATATAGTAAAAACATCATATTGCAATTATTTTGACAGATATTGCGATATGATTCACGAGTATTGTGGAAATGACCTTTTTCTGCATCACAAACATTTGTCCTGTAGTCACAGAGTCGTAGATATCAGAAGTTGTTCCACAGGCGAGAGCAGCCAAAAAGAAATTTAACTAAATATAGAAAAGAAAAACATTGCAGGGTGGAAATCAGGACAAACAGCCAACAAATACGAGAACACAGCCGACGCTCCAGTCAGAGTCACACCGACTTTCACTGAACAACACAAACAGCGACACACAGGTACACAGTGCATCACCACGATGAGCCACAGACACAGGTCGCTGATTGGTCGACAGCCGCTGACTGACGGCGAACAGACTTACAGCGGGCTTTCTGCCGGCCGGCGGCGGCAAACAAACGCAGTCGCAGTCCTGCTGAGAAACACACGGGTCATCCTCCAGAACACAAATACAGCTTCTGATTGGCTCCTTCGGGTTCAGAGTGACTTACAAAACTCAAAGTCTAACATTACTGTTAGCGACAGTTAGCTTCTTTTAGCAACAAGTCCATGAATCACCTCGGTACCGCTGTCGTCAAACTGTCCTGTCTGTCTCTGAGGTTGAGTTCACTGGGAGGCTGCTGAGCCCCGTTCAGTTGCTAACACTAACGGCAGCTACATTAGCAGTTAGCAGAGTTGAGGCAGAGCAGCCGGAGGACGTCAGAGGGAAAACCACACATTATTCTCTCAATGAAGTTGTGTGTTTGTACAGACTCGTGGATGTGTTACTCAGAGTTTCCTGAATCTTTAAACACTTCTGTGAAAGCAGCGGGAGGAGAGGGAGCGGTCTTTACCTTACTGAAGTCCACGGTGCTGTTTTCCCGGCTGCCTCCGTTGCCGCCGTTGATGCGACTCTCGCCGGTCTTGCTGTTGTCGAGGTTTCCTGGAGCTGAATGAGGGGATGCCAGAAGACCTGCAGAGAAGGAAGATGTCATCAATTCATACATTGAAAAGGAAAGTATATGATTAGATTTTAAGCGGAACAATCTGATTTGGTTTGATGGTTTGATGTTTCTGAAGGCGTCTCCAGGTCCAACACCAAGCGTGAGAAGACCACCCGCATTCCTTCTCGGCCCTAATAATTGTTTTGATGTTTTCCAATCAGGGTTTCGACTCTGCTGCTCTTGTGAGGGTCTTCAGTCGCTGTGGAACATATTACTAGACAGACTGGGAAAACATCCAAAATGCAGCAGCCACACACCCCACCATAAAAAGATTGCTTTGAGAATTCCACAATAGGAACATCTAACAGGACGCTGTGTAGACTGCAAAACAACATATAAGGCCAGTGAAATTAGCCTGTTTTACTATGAGGTTACGTCTCTCCATTTTATTTCCACCTCACTTGTAAACTGTGTGTACACCTGGTCTGAAGTATACAAGACGTACGCACATTCTTCTGTTATAAATACCGTTCTGTGTGTGGGAAACGGCCCACGCAGACTGGAGTGGAGAAAGATGGCAGCCGCTGACTCTGAGATATTCTGGCTTCATCTTTGTACAGTAAGAGGAAGCGGAGACATCCATCCTTATATTATATATATATATATATATATATATATATATATATATATATCTCGGTTTAAACATCTGGCCCAGCAGTGGGTCGCAGCAGCTGCATGCATAATAATGCATAAATCATAACTTTGTAATAATTGACGCTGACTTTGTTTGAACACAGCTGCTGCAGGTCTTTAAATCTGACCCCACAGGCAGAATCTGAGGGAACATCTTAATGATCTAGTCCCATTGAAATAAATGTTAAAACTCTATGTAACCGCCTTATTTGAGCTGGATTGAGTCCTTGTCGGTTATGTATTTATTTCTATTTATTTTGTAACTGGTGTGCAATATCACGGGACTTCCTGGTTAAATAAAGGTTGAATAAAGAAATCTTACTGCATCCTGCTGTAAACATAAGACACATTTTCTGTAGAACAGAACTATAAACACACATATATATATATATATATTTTATATATATTCTATATCGGCATGGGTCGACACACAGCTGCTGCACAGACGTTCGGCTGGTTGTTTTTAATAATCTGCTCTGGTGGAGTTTCATTAGGATCTTTCCTGATAATTATTCCAGTTGAGTCTGAGCTGAAGCTGCTGATTTAAACCACATGACCGCTGAACACTTTAACCTGAGAAAACACGACCAGACAGACAGACAGACAGACAGACAGACAGACAGACAGACACATACACATACGTGTCCCGTTACAGTCCAACAGTCTGGATATCCAACCTGATGTTAAATGTCACTCAGTGTATCAGCTTCAGTCTTTAAATGTAGAAATGATTCAATCTGACAGAATCACACGTTGGATATTTTCGACTGAAACTCTTTTTATCTGGATACTTGATGTTAATCTGCTCAATAAAAGATGTTTTCTTGCCAATTCATTGACTCTATTTGTTGTTTCTGTATCTAATGGACTCTTTACATTGTCCATTACCTCCTATTCTCTCTGGGTTAATCTTCTTTAGCACATTGCTGTGCATCATTAGCCGTCACACTCTCTGACTGCTTCCTGTGTGTTTGGACTTTAACAGCAGTAACTCAATAACGGTGACTCAGATCACTGATGCACTGATGGTAAACGGTCAGCTGGAACTAACGTAACGCCGGTCTCATGATCCACTACAGTGTTTGATAAGGTAGTCCCAGAGCGATGAGTTCCCCGCAGGGTTTTTATTCTTCACGTCTTCTCTTGCAGAGATTTGGGAAGACATTGACGATGAGCTTCTGTCTCTGTCCTTAGATCATTTGTGTAAAACGAGTGGTTTGGATGAATTCTGAGCAGATTATTTCCTGTTACAATTCTCAGTCTGTATTATATATTTTATACAGACGTAAGTTTTCTTACACGCCCTAAAACAACAAAGCCTTCGCGACCTCTGAAGCTTTGGGGACCCCTAGAGTGCTCGTGGTTGGGAACCACTGGTCTAATTATATATATATATATATATATATATAATATGTCTATTAATAATTACCGGACTGGGGTCCAACACATTGGAGGAAGCTGTCTCTGTAGTCAGTTAGTAAAGACATCATTAGCAGTAGCAGAGACAGACAATTACAGGCTCTTGTTAAAGACGTTTGTCCACAGCGGCTTTATTCAAACAGTCACTATTGCAGGAAGTGCTCACTCTCACACAGTTTCACACTTTCACAGCGGCGAGCTGCCCAGTACAACCAGTCTGACACTGAGCAGCTCCACCCTAAAGAGGGACTTCTGTATTTTAAAACCTGATTTTTGCATGTTTTTGTGTTAAAGGCACTAATGGAGACTAGTTTTGAATGTGGTCCAGTATTGAAAGAGAACCACCACACACTGTAAACGGCTTAGATTGTTCTAATAAGTGTGTGACAACCCGTTTTGTGGCTGCAGGCTCCACCAATACTGGACCAAATTCAACAGGTCTTGTCCACATTAGTAACTTTGACACAAACACACAGGAGAATAAGGTCGAGGTTAATAATACTGACGTTGCAGGCTGTGTTTTACAGTATGAAGTTAACAGATTAGTGTAGAGTATGAAGCCACACCGTGCTGAGTCGTGCTGGCAGATATTTGCCTGATTGGCTGTGAGGATCCTGGTCCTGTTCGTCGTTCATCCCGAACACTTCCTCTTCCGGGGGGTAAACCACCACCTGGGGGATCCCTACTCCTCCCCACAGCCCCTCTGGAGCAGAGAGGCGGCGTGGGGTGGCAGAGGATGCGCGGTCTGATGGGGGAGCTTCGACGAAGGAGGCTGGGAGGGAGGGGGTAGGGCTGGGTGGGCAGGGCTCGGAGAGGAGGTCATGACGGAACAGGGTAGGAGTGGTCTGAGCCGAGGAGCCGGGGCTGGGGAGGAGGCGTCCAAACAGGTCGGAGAAACGAGGGGACGGGGGAGGGGTGGAGGCGTCACAGGAGGCGGCGGAGGAGCGACGGAGGGAGGAGAGACGAGAGGAGGACAGACCCTCCCCTGAAGAGGAGGAAGAGGAGGAAGAGGAGGAAGAGAAAGAGTGAAAGGACAGAAACTTCAGTGAAGTGAAAGATGCTGAAGACAACAGACGAACATCTGATGAGTCAGATATTGATCATTTTATTGATCATATAAAAACACTCCTGGTTGATTTATAACATCATGGATATACCTGAGTTTGTATTTTTACAAGGTGTGTTCAATGCATCAACATAACAATGTTCTTATTCTGTGTGTTTGAATAGTTAAATCTGATCAAATTATTCTTTTCTTTAATAGTTTTATGACTGGTTTATGATTTTACTGTTGTGTCCTTGTGTTTTTAATTCATAAATAAAATCCAACAGATCCTTCTCTATATCTGGTTACGGCATTTTAATGTCAACTGGCTCCATCTTTTTATAATATACGTATAAAGTACGGATGTAAGAGGGTTGGGCGACAGGACGAATGTTTCGGCTGTGGTTTTGTTTTGGTTTCTGTTATTTTATTTGCTAATGTAATGGTCTGCCTTTGAGTAAGAGAGAGATCTAACTGTGGTGAATTAAGGGTTTACTTGGACAGCAGGGAATACAGTAACAAGGTGATTAACAGAGGCTCCAGGAGACTTCTCACACAGTGAGAAGAGACACCAGTGTTAGTGTCAGAAAGACTAATAAGGACACACACACACACACACACACACACACACACACACACACACACACACACACACACACACACACACACACACACACACACACACACACACACACACACACACACACACACACACACACACACACACACACACACACACACACACACACACACACACACACACACACGACTGAGCTTCAGGTTAAATCAGCAGAATTAAAACATTCCTCTATCGCTCACAAACAGGATTTATGAGTCTGGATATTAAAACGCCAACTCGTGGTATTAGCTGGTTATTAGCTCGCTGACTCAGCCGGTCGGTTCAGGTGAGTGCTGACCGGTAGGAAACAGATCAGACTACTGCTGAGGACGACAAACAGGCTTCCCAGTAAATATTAAACACCGTTATTGATTAACAATTCATGTCACATGAGTAAACAGCTCATCAGCAGCGTACAGGTGAGAATCACTCAGAACACAACGTTTGCCTGAAACACGCTCATGCAGCCAGAAGAGTCTGATTGCAGACGCAGTGGGGCATGATGGGAACGCCCACGTAGATGGCTGGTTTATGTAGAACAGGAACACAGACCGCCTTTTCTATTCCCAGAAACTTTACTGACTTCTGTATCGTTGTTTTGTTCTGTGTCTTTAAATCAATGCATGCAGGTGGAACTATTGAACTCACTTTATGTCAAATTCTTCCAACAATTTGACCATTAAGTGACTTTGATATAAAACAACAGGAGGAAACTAACTGCATAGAGTTATATTAACATTTGTACCAACTGGATCTTAAAGTGAGAGCTTAGCTAGCTAAGCTAGCTGGGTCGTGTGCTAGAAAACAAAGCCGACACAAGATAACTGTTGAACGTGTCCTAAGTGCTAATGCTCGACGAGGTGTCCACTATGATGAATTAATTTGCAACAATGGAAACATTGTTCACTACTCTAGTTAATAGGACGAACATACTGTAGATATTTATGCTACAAGCCAGAGAGCTAATGTTTTTCTAGCAAGATTCAAAGTCAGTAACACTGTGTACAGTTGACAAACGGTAAATATAATTTGTTTGTTTTTGTTTATAATGTTTGACCAATGATGTGCACTGACAGACGCAGCCTGAAGTAGTGAGTTGAACAGCCAATGGGAGGTGAGTATGAGTCCAGAGGGGCGGTGTCGGGCTGTTTGTTGAATATCTCATTAATATATCGGAGTATGTGTCCTATATCAGGTATTAAACAGTGGGAGTTCTTCATAAGAGCGGCTGCAATCAGACGACTCTACGGACAATAAAACGTGAAAGAAGTTCCAAACTGAAATCCAAAACCTCTATCACACGTCAGTCGACTAAAGTCCTGGAAGTCAACAGCGTTATCATGCCAACACAATGCCATGCACCAATCAGAGACCCCGTCGTCTTGTCACTCTATTACCTCGACCAATCAGGACAGGTGAACTCTGACACCAAAAACACTTGAAGGAGTTTTTGAGAACAAAAACAGCAGAACTCAAGTCGACACGAAAACATTAAAATACGAAAGAAAATCTGTCAGAATCGCAGTTAACATACCCTCAGAAATTATTAGAGTTACAGAGATAAGTAAATATTGTGACCTGAGAATTATAGGTTTGAACTGTTTGTGTTTATCCAGCCAGAACTCTATGATACTATTTCATATTTATACACAGACCAGATAGAAAAGGAGGCTGTTCAATAAAATAAAAGGAAGTTAAATATGTGTCTGTTACTCGATTCCAGCTGTGATCAACCAAACTCCATTCAGAAAACAAGCATTTTAAAAGTTGTTTGTCATCTTGTTGATGTCGTCAACATCGTGATGAAGATATTTCAGCATCCTTTTGATCCGTTTATTATTATTAAAATCACACAATCATCTGTTTATTTTAGACCACTGTAGTAAACCAGATTAAAGGGTAAGTACTCGCGCCACTTGAGCGTTGAGTAATTGTCTCTTTTTATTTATTACTTGGAGGCTACATGCAATGGTTGTTGTAGTTTGTAATGTTCAAATGTCTTTAATAAATAAGTGCGTGTTGAAGCACATGGGATTTATTGTTCCTAAATGTCAATGAGTAAAGAATTGATTGATTTCATATATTCAAACAAAGCAGGACTGAACTGTTTTATATACAAATCACTGCTTTCTGTCATTATAATTCCAAGGTCACGATATATCACAATGCTTATCGGTCTTATGCCTCTGGATAACATCTGTGTGAGAGAGATGTATTCATTTAGAGACATAATCCACCTGGGAAATAAAGACTCAACCCTTCCCACAGATCTGCAGATGAACACGTATAAAGTGAATTTCAGAATGACAAGAGCGCCGTGGTCTCACCGTTGCGTTCCAGTAAATGGGGGTCGGAGTGTTTCTTGCCTATGTCAGCGAAGGATCGAACCAGCGGGATCCGGTTGCTCAGCTTCTTCTCGTTCTGATGGTGGTGACGTCTCAACATGGCCTCCCTCACCTTCTCTCGGACGCCCTCCTCCAGCTGACCCGAAGCCAGCATGCTGTCAATCACCATGTCTGCAACGTGAGGAGCGACGACACGAGGTTAGCTGCACACTGGTCGTTTAACAAAAGCAGGTTAATAACAACAGCTGTGGGATGTTGCTATCCTGGTATTTAAAATGGGGGACAGGAGGTTTTCTTCTCATCCTTACTGACACAGTTACACAGTAAAATACGCGGCTGTGGTTAGCATGCTGACCTGCAATCTCCTCGATGGTGTTGGCCCTCATGTCGAGCAGCACGGTGCCGTTCAGGATGCAGGAACGCAGCTCAAACAGACTGTGGAGGGACAGCGTGGCCACGTACGGTTTACTCCAACGTTCACCACCGTCTTCCACGTCCTCCTCAAACTTCAGCCACCTGAAAACACAGCAAAAACCTATTAGCCTAAACTGTACACTAGATTTAGAACATAAACGTCAGTTTAAACCTTAAATAAAACTGAAATTTCAGCTTCTGTTCGGCTGCACAGAAACAGTCCAGGCATTAAAAGATAAGGAGATTAAGATGAAACGCGTCTGTGCAAATCCAGTTGAGTCACACAGGTGTTATACGACTTAAAGATACCAAAACAACCTCCACTGGATTTATGAGGAAAGACTCCTGGAGGAACACGTAACATCTTCAAAGCTCTGATGATAACTCCTGAATAAATAAAGGTTGAAGGCTGTACAGAGAACGAAGGATTACCAGTGAAAACACAGTGAAGTGCTGCGTTATTCTGAATGTGTGTCACTATAAGCAGGAGGCAGGAAACCATAAACCTCTGAGGATTCTGAACATCTTAGATAAAAACACTGGAAAGGTAAAGACAGTGCTCAGTGCGTCCTCACCTGGCCGTCTCCCTCCACTCCTGGAAGTCTCCGTCTCTGAAGGCGAGCTCGTCCAGCTCGGTGAACAGGTCGTGGGGGATGTGCTCCTCGTCTCCGTCCTCCGTCCCGAGGATGAACTGGACTCTCTGAGACGGCGTGTCTGCAGGGACAAACTCTCAATCAGGTAATCACTTCATGATAATCAGCGTTACCAAAGAGAGTGAGTGAGTGTGTGTGTGTGTGTGTGTGTGTGTGTGTGTGTGTGTGAGTGTGAGTGTGAGTGTGAGTGTGAGTGTGTGTGTGTGTGAGTGTGTGTGTGTGTGATATTAAACTGGACAGACCGTATGTGGGCGATTCCCGTCCGTCCTCCCGGTCTGAGCGGTCCCGCCGTTTCCGGTGATGCCGGTGTCCTCTGTGACGGTGACGCCTTCGACTCTGTCGACCCAGAGGAACGTGAACGCCGACGTACACCGCTCTGTGACCTGAGGAGGGAACAAACAGGAGCTCTGATCAACCAGAATATCTGTCAGTCTGGTCATTATCAACCCGACACATACAGATTACCAACATGGAGGCAGATGAATGTTTTTTAATGAAAACATTGTGAGCTGTAAATTTCAGCAGCTTTTCGAAAATTAGATTTTGATAGCAATTATAGTAATATACTGTTTACCTTCCCCCTCCCCCGGCCGGCTCTTCAAAGTTTTCAAAATATTAAAAACAGCCGACTGACTGGTGCATAAATACAGGCTGAGTCAGTTTTGTTACTTTCTGTTTGACTGTAAATACAGACAGTGTGTGTGTGTGTGTGTGTGACTCACTCTCCAGCTCTTCTTTCTCAAAGTTAGTGTAGGGGGTGGAGCTGGTCTTCCCCTGGTCCAGCACTGCCTCCTCATCGTTCCCCTGCAGAGACACAACCAAACAAGGAGGGAATCAATCAATAACATAATCAATATAAGATAAAAGGTGTTTCCTCATCACATAACCTCCTCTCCACCAATGTGAACCCAGTGCTAGTTACTGGGAGAGCCACGTCTTTAAGTCACTGTACTTATTGTTACCGAGCTAGCATAGCTGCTGATTTCTCTCATTAATGTTACGGACCTTGAACCCTTCATTTCTGTAACACACTGTAACACACCATCACACACTGTAACACACACACTGTAACACACACACTAACACACACACTAACACACCATCACACACTAACACACACACTGTAACACACACACTGTAACACACACTGTAACACACACTGTAACACACACACACTGTAACACACCAACCTCTGTCTGCATTTACAGTCAAACAGTGTCTCGGCTCAGTTTCCCTCCCACTGCAACATTAATTTCTAAAACAGTTTGAATCATGTAGAATTTACTTTATTAGAAATGTTTTACAGGTTACAAACACCTTCACTTTCTACAAGATTAATTATTGATGATTATCATCATTCAACCACAAATGTAAATTTCATCATTCGTAGATTGTATGCATGAAGATAAAACCGTCTATTCAATTCAGTTTTATTTGTATAGCACCAATTCATAACAGAAGTTATCTCAGGACACTTTTCAAATAGAGCAGGTCTAGACCGAACTCTTTATAACATTAATTACAGAGACCCAACAGTACCACCATGAGCAAGACCTTGGAGACAAGGGCAAGGAAACACTGCCTGTTAAAAGGCAGAAACCTAGGACAGATCCTCCGGCTCTAGGTGGGTGGTCGTCTGTCTCCACCAGTTCTTCCAAACAGGTCGCTGCAAGTCTGTGTGTGTAGCTGTGTGTAGTGTATTGTTGTGTACAGTGTGTGTATTGTGTGTTGTGTATTGTTGTGTACAGTGTGTGTATTGTGTGTTGTGTATTGTTGTGTACAGTGTGTGTGTAGGTTTTGTGTTGTTGTGTACAGTGTGTGTAGTGTATTGTTGTGTACAGTGTGTGTAGTGTATTGTTGTGAACAGTGTGTGTATTGTGTGTTGTGTATTGTTGTGTACAGTGTGTGTATTGTGTGTTGTGTATTGTTGTGTACAGTGTGTGTGTAGGTGTGTTGTGTATTGTTGTGTACAGTGTGTGTAGTGTATTGTTGTGTACAGTGTGTGTAGTGTATTGTTGTGTAGTGTGTGTAGTGTATTGTTGTGTACAGTGTATTGTTGTGTACAGTGTGTGTAGTGTATTGTTGTGTACAGTGTGTGTAGTGTATTGTTGTGTACAGTGTGTGTAATGTATTGTTGTGTAGTGTGTGTAATGTATTGTTGTGTAGTGTGTGTAGTGTATTGTTGTGTACAGTGTATTGTTGTGTACAGTGTGTGTAGTGTATTGTTGTGTACAGTGTGTGTAGTGTATTGTTGTGTACAGTGTGTGTTTTGTATTGTTGTGTACAGTGTGTGTGTAGGTGTGCTGTGTATTGTTGTGTACAGTATGTGTTGTGTATTGTTGTGTACAGTGTGTGTGTAGGTGTGCTGTGTATTGTTGTGTACAGTATGTGTTGTGTGTTGTTGTGTACAGTGTGTGTAGTGTATTGTTGTGTACAGTGTGTGTAGTGTATTGTTGTGTACAGTATGTGTAGTGTATTGTTGTGTACAGTGTGTGTAGTGTATTGTTGTGTACAGTATGTGTAGTGTGTTGTGTGTTGTTGTGTACAGTATGTGTAGTGTGTTGTGTGTTGTTGTGTACAGTATGTGTTGTGTGTTGTTGTGTACAGTATGTGTTGTGTGTTGTTGTGTACAGTATGTGTAGTGTGTTGTGTGTACAGTATGTGTAGTGTGTTGTGTGTTGTTGTGTACAGTATGTGTAGTGTGTTGTGTGTTGTTGTGTACAGTATGTGTTGTGTGTTGTTGTGTACAGTATGTGTTGTGTGTTGTTGTGTACAGTATGTGTAGTGTGTTGTGTGTACAGTATGTGTAGTGTGTTGTGTGTTGTTGTGTACAGTATGTGTAGTGTGTTGTGTGTTGTTGTGTACAGTGTGTGTAGTGTGTTGTTGTGTACAGTATGTGTTGTGAGTTTTATGTAAATGTAACTCAGATTTCCAGGACGACACAATGAGTGTAATGTAATATTCCTTCATTAAACTCTCGACACTGTGCAGCTGCTGCCGGTTGCACACACCCAGGACGGTCTGGCTCCGCCCACAGCCGGTGTCAGTGCTGTGACTCATCACACTGCTGACACCGCTGTCAACAGGAAGTACTCTCACAGCTGGACTGTCAGCAGGTACAGATCCTGCAGCTGGATCGACTGAGAGACACGATCGGACAAAATCAAATAAACAGATAAAGACACACACACACACACACACACACACACACACACACACACACACACACACACACACACACACACACACACACACACACACACACACACACACACACACCTGCGATGTTGGCGTGTGTCAGACAGGAAGTGCAGCTCCACGCCTGTTGGTTGTAAATCTGCTGTGACTCTTAGCTTCCAGCCTGCTGTGTGTTTGTACAGCATGCTGACAGAGCGCACACACACACACACACACACACACACACACACACACACACACACACACACACACACACACACACACACACACACACACACACACACACACACACACGCACACACACACCCCAAATTCAGCTTCTCAATGTGAATATCTATTTATTTTTTAATTAGTTTCCCTTATTAAAAACTCAACGTAGTCTTTCCTGCTGCCTGTTTGCTTTCCACTCTTTAGTTAATCAGACCAATAAGCAGGATCAATAATAGTATTGTGGTATCAATGAAATCCTTCCAAAAGCCCTAGAAATATGCTGCACGGAGACACAGCGGTGCTTTTAGCTAAAAGGTAACAACCACAACACCACTGACAGTATATATAGAGGACAAAGCTTCCGGGTCTGTGAAGTGTCTTAAACCTGCATTCTCTAACTGCCAGCAGGGGCAGCACCACTGGCTGCAATAACACACTGATCCCATTCACTCTAATGGAGAATGAGCTCAGTAAACAGTTTCCTGATGAGTTTCTGGTCTCAGTCTCTAGTTTCAGTCTTCTTCCATACAGCATGATGTTCATTTAGTAACTGATGGTCCCATTTAGAGTAAAACAGACCATAAAGCAGGGTATGCTTTAGGGCGGGGCTACCTTGTGATTGACAGCTCATTCTCAGTGAGTCCGTCCAGCTCAACCAAACTCAGATCAAACTGTCAAACAGTGCTGATCAGATATGGATCCAGATTCTGTTGTTGATTATTTCTCTCCTCAAATCTGTTCACAAACACATTTTACTGTTTATGTGGAATACCAGATCCTGTGTGAGCAGGAGAGCCGCCGATGAGAGAGCAGCTCAACTCGCTGTACGTGACCTCCGCTGGCGCCGACTAACTGTCCTAGTGACGACCGCAAAGCCAAACTGGGAGCTTTAGAACGGGACTCCACAAACCGATGGGTGACGATGCTAACATACTGATGTTTAGCAGGCATAATGTTTACCACATCTCAGTTTAGCATGTTAGCATGCTGAATAAAGTCATTATAATTCATCAAATTTCATCACGATACTAACGGGACATAAAATACTTGTAAAGGAGTATTGGTACATTCTGATTTTGGTTCTTCTACTAAAGTGAAGGATCTGAATACTTCTTCCACCGCTGTCCTCATTACGAGGTGATCAAACAGACAGAAATGAGGATCTTCTAACAGAAAGAAACAGCAGAGAGGACCTTTCCCTCCCCCTGGCGGGAAGCACCGGCGGACACATTCTGACCATGGAGTGAAAATGTAGACGACTGAAGTGTCGTCCAGCTCCAAATAAGCTGTGAGAGACAGATCCATCCGGTTCATCCGGGTCAAATATAGATTTCACACTGTGGTGGACACCCAGAGCTCAGAGGATTCCTCCCTTCCTGTCATCACAACGTCTGTTATCACACGGGCCGAACGCCTCGCTGACCAACAGGAAGTGGAGAAGCTCTGCTGCTTCCACTTCACTTCTTTTACAGTATTGAGTGATCATGACACACACACACACACACACACACACACACACACACACACACACACACACACACACACACACACACACACACACACACACACACACTTTACATACATTTTAGACTTTATCAAACGTTGCTGGACTTTGACCCCATTTCTGACCTCAGCTGGAGATGACTACCTGGTCAGCAAGTGGGTCAGAAATCTACTTGCCCAAAGTTAAGTTTTATTTGCCCCTATAACTTAGTGAGTGAGAAGTCTGCACACTGACCTTCATCAGAGCACAATGTCCAGTCCTAACGTATGCAAAACACCTCAAGGACTTTGAGTCATACTTACACAAAGAAACAGTGAATAAAGGACATATAGAACAGGAAGTTACAGTTTCATCACATAGTAAATGGGGCTTTGAAAGCACTCAGGTTTGATCTCCTGCATATCTGAAACATTTTACCTCCTATTTAACTATTGTAAGACCGTTTGGTCGCCTGTCGATGGCGTCATATCCCCTTTGTGCCTGCGTCAGCGTTGTGGTTGTCTGCCAGAAGCTGTCATACATTGACTGTTGATCCAGTGTGAAGCCACATTGTTACCATCCACTGTTTAGATCTTGGTGCTTTTTAACTCTAGATTTGAACCGGATGAAGGATTTTAGTCATCGGACGTCTGGTCAGCATGGGAGAAGCAGTGATTGTTAAGGTGGAACTGCTTTATTCAGTGTGTTTAGTGGTTTTAATCAGCGGGTCTGTTTGTGTTGGAGAGGAGGAGACCTCTGTGGATCATTGGGCTCCCGGTAGAAACCTCCTGAACCATGAACACTGAAGGAATCCTAACCGGGAGAAGCTGACTGCAATGACGCCAATGGTGGTGAAGACAACAACTCCCATGATCCCACGCTGCTTCACCACCTCATCACAATTTTCTTACTGTTTAGATGTCAGAGACCCCCTAGTGACAGAAATGATATACTGTACTTTAAATTAATCTATATCTGCAGCCTTGGACGGAGCCTTTTCTCGATGTGGGATTGTTATTTTTACTTAAGTAAAGGATCTGAATACTTCAGAGAGGAAAAGAGCAGAAGAGATAACATGGTGACATTAACTTTAATAGATTCTAAAAATAAGATCTGGCCCAGAGGAATCTGATCAGCTTTCAGATTTACAGTCTCCGCGTGCAGAAGAACGAAACGTCTCGAGACCAGAGGATGATTCTGTTCGACCCAGTTCTCATGACACCAGCAGTTCGAGAGGTCAGATTTCAGCTTTTATATTCCATCTTCAGAAAAACTGGAGGGAGTTTATTGTTAATTAGCAATCTATAGAACCAATTGTTTTGTATTCAGAAATAATCACACAAATATCAAGATAGAAAAGACTTCAGGAGTTTTGAGTCATGTGGCCTGAAAATAACTTAACCACAACTTAACTTCCCTTCAGCGGTAGAGGAAGTATTTAGATCCTTTACTGAAGTACTAACACCACAATGTAAAAATAGTCCTGCATTGAAAATGTCAGTTAAGTACAAGCACTAGAGTTATCCGCCGATACGTCCCAAAATGTGGTATCAGCGTGTCTCTGCACCGATACCAGGTCATTTATTAGCCCCAAAACGGGACCAGAGTCATGACCCGACCTACTACAACTCTGAGAAAGGGTTTAATCTAAAGCCAGGCCTTACAGCAATGACAGCAATCATACTGGTTTAGTATACGCTTAATAATGTACCGTAAAACTAATAAAAGCAAGGTCCCTATTCTCCTTTACTAGCCTGGTGTGGCTACACATTTTGATGTATTTCCTATCATTGCTTTGTGCTAAAGGAATTAAAGGCCTGTCCCAAATAGACGCCTGTCCCCAATAAAGGCAGCATGATTTAAGGAAATAATTTAATAGTTTATTGTTACTTTAATTTTTATTTTTTAAAACACATGTATCATAAGTCACAAGTATCATAAGCTTAAATGTTCTCTAATTTTTCTGGTTTGCAAAGGCTTGTAGTTTTTACAGTACTGAGCCATTTTCTTTAATTTCTATTTTAATTTCTATGTAATTAAATTTGTCCAGGCGCCCAGGGGTTCAGTGTTCTTGCTCAAGGACACTTTGATACATGGACAGGGGAATATTAAGGTATCGAACCTCCAACCCTGTGGTGGTACTGAAGCACGGCCGCCCCAGATTCTGTATATGTTAAATTATTTAAGAATACTTAAATAAAAGTTATTTGTTGAAGAAAGCAGTCATATTGGTGCAAACTCTATTTTACTTCCAGCTCAAAGATTCAATATGCCGGCTGTCACATTGGTATATTCTGCTCTAAACAAATCGCTATAAATCTAAAAACAAAAAAAACTGACATCAGTCCGAATCTAATCGGAAAATCACTAAAAAGTAAAATCAGGAAAATGTAACTAAAGAAGTAAAAGTCGATTATTATTACTTATGCATTATTATAAAGCTGAAATGATAAACCAATTAGACGATTCTTAAACGTTAACATTTAGTGTCCTTCTGTGACTGAATATTGGTGGGTTCACCTTCAGCTCTGGGAAACTGATGAATCCATTAATAAATCTAAAAAGATCAAGTGAGATGAATCATTTCTGTGCTGATCAACTTTTGAGGATATCTGACTGCGTATGCTGAGGCAGGATGATTGTACAAGCGCTTGCCTTGTGGAGGTTTTTGCACACGTGGGTTCAGCCCTGATTTGTTATCGAGCTCTTTTCCTGTTTAAACTGTCTCATTTCCTCAAATGTTTTATGAGTGCAACATGTCGATCACATTCGTGTCTCATGAGTGTGAAGGCCGCTGACCACAAACTTTACAGACAAGAAAATACATACCAGTGACATCGCTCTGGCCACCCTCTGACTGGCAATATCTCCCCAAAAGTCTCCCATCGTTGCTCTACCCAAAACACAGCCGACTGTGTCCAATCAGCCCTCCTCAGATTACAGAAAGCACTCGGGCAAAAACAGAAAATGTCCACACAAAAAAACCAGAGGGAAACTTTCTGGTGGTTTGAAAAGCAGAGTAAAAGATAAATAACCCTAACTGGCTGTCAGCGGTAAGGTGAGGATCTGCGAGTCGTCAGGGTTCAGTATGTAAATACAGACGCTGTGCAGCCAGCAGAGCCTCCGCTGTGAGTCATGTATTTATAGCCGAGCGTGTTGCTTCACTGAGCGTCTGTCAGAGCGAGCTGCGAGCCTGGAAGTCTGCAAACACAGCAAGAAAGAAAAAAAACACAGGGGGCGGGGCGTCTTTTTCCTGCTCAGAAATGTGATGTGATGATGGTCAAACAGACTGAACTCCTCTACTACAACCAATCCTGATACTTCTGAAACTGCACAGACACAAAGTGCTGCACTCTCACTCGTACATTATACATACAGCTCATACAGCTCAGAACAAGTCTCATGTAAATGCTTCAATATCTTAAAAGGGATAGTTCGGGGGGTTAGAAGCTGGGTTGTATGAGGTCAGCGTGTGCCCCAGTTTGAAGAAGCAGGGTCCAAATAAGACATAGATCTCCTTTACAAGCCTACTATTTGACAAATAGAGGCAGGTCTCAATTAGAGGCCTGGTCTGGATTTTTTAGAGGTTCATTATAAAATCTATTAAAGCCCACTGTGTCGCCCATTTGACCACAAATACACAAATATAAAATGTTATACTACACTATATGGACATGCTAAAACCAGGGGTCGCCAAAGCTTCAAAGGGAGTCTTGAGGGCTTCTTGATTTTAAGGGGCGAGTATATCTCAGCATTTCAATTGTACAAAAGGTTCCTAAAACGGTCCGAAAACTGACCTCTGATGTAATATTCACAGGAAATAATCTGCTCACAAACTTCCTCCAGTTATTGTGTTCGGTGTTTGGGATCATCGTACCGTTTATCAGCTGTTCTGTACTGTTTATATCCATAAAATATGTTACTTGGTGAGAGGATGATAGAAGGGGTCCCTTAAGGAAAAAGGATGGGAGCCAGTGTGCTAAGACAGCATAATAATGAGGTACTGTAGTTTCGAAGGGGAGCCCTGGCCTACAACATGTTTGTTTGATACAGACCCCAAAATAGTTCAGATCCTCACGATTTCAATTGGGTTTTTTCAGTGAAAATGTAATTTGTGGTGATCATATTGTAATTGTCAGTCTGTGAGAATAATCACAATAAGATGTTTTTACCATATGGTGCAGCCCTAATATACAACAGTGTATATCATATCATATGTTCAGTTTTTGGCTCATCTGAAAATGCGTTGCTGCCTCATACAAGCCCACTTTGAAAACCTGGCACTTTCCCTTTAAAAGTCTGCAGTTTCTGGTTTCACATCTGCAAACAACCAAACAATAAATGTTTTGCATTATGTAGACACTGTCTTCCCTCCCCGAGCAGGCCTCGCAGCTAATGGCAGCTCTTTCGCTCGGCTCAGGAATTCTAATCAGGAACAACAACGAGCTACGACATGAAAACAGAGCACATATCAACACATCACAGAGGAGGCTTTACATTTCCTCTTCTGTTTCAGTAAAACACACACAAACACACACTCCACCGGGCTCCCACAACCACAAACAAATGACTGAACACAGACCCACAACAGGAACAAGAAGAACTTTAAATGTCGTCTGATCTGACGGATATTCAGCCGGAGACAAACCCACTGCAGCATCTCAGTGGCTCGACAAGTCTGGGGGGCTACAGTGGATATTTTTATAACAATGTACGACAGAACCATGTGGAAACAATGTGTTGGGTGTCTGTGGTAGTGTTGAACCTCCAGAGATTTATCCCCTGGCTTTACAGGGCTTTATATTGGTTCACTGTCTCTCTCTAAAGAGCAGCAAACAGCAGACACAGTCAGACACGAGCTGGTGAACACAGTGGAGCATTTAGCAGCAGAGACACATATTTCCAGGGCTGTCCACTAATAGTTGAGTCAACTGTCAGTGAGGACAGTCTTACTGGAATTAAGTCATTTTTAATGGAAGGTTGCTTTGTTGAACTTTACTGGGGGCACCAAAGCCAAACCAACCCAACAGTAAATATAGTACATTAACCATCAGCTCAACCTTAATACAGCAGTTAAATGAAACAACATTTTGGTTAGCCTAACTGCACCTGTGTGTTACGGGCTGAGCCTTCCCCTTTAAGAACAGTGGGTTTTCTCTTCTGATCAAAGTGAGCACGTCTGAGACGTGAGACCTCCAGTTTAAGGCTATTTTAATTGTCTTTGACTCACAGCTCTTACTAACGCTAGCTAGTGTTACACACACACACACACACACACACACACACACACACACACACACACACACACACACACACACACACACACACACACACACACACACACACACACACACACACAACTTCATCAGGGCAAATGTTTAAAAAAAGGGAATCTCAAAGCTTATAATGACAACGGCACATCGACACTTTCCTTACAGTGTACTGCTAAATGAAAGCACTTAGAAAGTGGGAAGATGAAGAAGTCCAGAAGGTGTAGAACAGTAAGTGTCTCAGTGTGTACACAGTATACACACTGAGACACACTGCAGGAAGAGTGTGTGCAAGAGTGCTGCAGAGTTCAGTGCAACAGGATGAGGTCTACATATCAGTTCAGTGCAGCAACAACAGGAATCAGATGGAGTATCTTTACAATGTGAGCTTTTCTAGTCCAGTCTGGTTATTTGTGCAACTAAACATCTAATCTGTGCAGATGACAAACAAAGTTCAGACTGACGGTGTGTTCACTGAACCCACAGACCTGTAAATAAGCATCTCTGTGTGACTTATAGGAGGAAGTCAGCGTGTCCTCCTTCTGTATCATTTACAGAAAACCCAATAAAACAAAAGACCACAACCAGACCCGTCTCATCAGATCAGTCTCTGTGGCCCGGCTGAACGTCCCACCGGCTGTTTGTCGAAGGAACCGGAGCGACGCTAACTTCCAGGTTGGATTGTAAAAATACGTCAGTGTGTTAAGAGCATTAAAAGAGCAGGTCCAACTCACCCAGTAGGACGTTTGAATTATAGATCAACCCCTTAATGATTATCTGGCATTCTGAGATCTGCCGATGTCTGATACAGTTCTGGGAAGGTGGTGAAGAACTTAGTTTTGAGGCCTGTAGTTAAACATCCTGAATGTCCTCAGTCACCTTCCTCTTGTCTAAATGCTTCTGAAATCTACAGCATAAAACAAATCACTGGCTGAGATAACCGTATATTAGACTGTAATGTGCGTAGAATTATGGAATTATATACATGACTTTTCTTTGATACCAGCATTATACATCAGCCATCAGTCGCCCTGCTCTCTAAATATCTCCAGTTTGAATCCTGTGAGGTGCAGGTGGTTCAACATCACATTATGACTAAAAGAGAGCAATCTGTACAAACTTATGTAATATCAAAACGCTCCAGTCACAGATCCTCTTTACTGGTCCTCGGGGCGGGTGGAACAGATCTGAGGGGGACAATACAACCACTGTTTGAGAGGTGGCGTACGAACGATGGGGGAGCCCCGAGATCCTGGGGGGGATGTAAAGGAGAACGGTTTATCCCTCCATCAACTTGTAACAGTCTGGTTGTTCAAAACACAGAATAAATAACTTCCAACTGTTGCTGCATTTCTGTAAAAAGAAACAAAAAAAAAACTGCTGCTTTTATAAGATATCAGGGACACACTCCCAGGACTCCCCAGAGACGTTCCCGTTGGTGCCGTCGCTCCCATATTAGGAGACCCAGCTGGGAGGGAAAACAACACACAAAGCCACATCTGGACTGCAGCAACGTTTCCTGAACACACAGGAACTATGGGAAAACTCACACCAACACACACACACTGACTGCAGAGTGAGCTCAGGTCACTGGTTGTAAGATGAGCCAATCAGGAAGCAGCGGCGGGCTCCGACTGTTGTAAACCAGAGTTGCACTGGTTCAATTCCATCCAGCGACCTTTGTTTCACATCATACAACCTCCACCTCCCGTCTGTCTTCTTCACTGGTGGCCGAGACGCATCGCTTAAAACGCAGCGACTGCAAAACCACTGTTCTCCTGTGGTACGGCGCGCCAGGCCGGCACTCTTCTTTTGCGCCACATGTTGAGACGCATAAAAAATATTTTCAACCTTTGAGTGTAAGGCACAAGAGTCGCACCGGTCAATTGGTGATCAATCAATCACTCAAGAGGCGGGCGTCACTACTTTAACACTTCTGTCCTGTTTTGATGCCGTTTACTTTACCGGTACATCGTACCACTGAATTCACTTCTGAGGACAGACAGTGAACTCACCACAGACACTGTCCCACTGTTATTACAGACAGTGAACTCACCACAGACACTGTCCCACTGTTATTACAGACAGTGAACTCACCACAGACACTGTCCCACTCTTATTACAGACAGTGAACTCACCACAGACACTGTCCCACTGTTATTACAGACAGTGAACTCACCACAGACACTGTCCCACTGTTATTACAGACAGTGAACTCACCACAGACACTGTCCCACTGTTATTACAGACAGTGAACTCACCACAGACACTGTCCCACTCTTATTACAGACAGTGAACTCACCACAGACACTGTCCCACTGTTATTACAGACAGTGAACTCACCACAGACTCTGTCCCACTGTTATTACAGACAGTGAACTCACCACAGACACTGCCCCACTGTTATTACAGACAGTGAACTCACCACAGACACTGTCCCACTCTTATTACAGACAGTGAACTCACCACAGACAGTTCCTGTAATCCTGCTGACAACATCAAACTGATGATGTGTTTAAAGTCAGGCTGCAACCATTATTGTCATTATCATTTAATCTGTGGATCATTTTCTCCATTAATCGATCAGCTGATTGATCCGTTAAATATTCTGACTGGATTCATTCGTTGTCAGTCGATGAATGGAGCGGTTGTTGCAGCTCCAGTAAGAATCCACTACTCGTTCTGTTTCCCAGCAGACCGGGTATCCATCCTGACAGGATCCAGTCTAACAGCCCACCAGAGACCGCCGGGCCACAGAGGACGAGTCTGCTGACGTCTCCACGCGTCTCCTGGGACTCTGCTACAACACCAACCTGTCCACGCCACAGCCGGGAGTTATTCCAGTCTCCGTACACCAATATATTCCTGACTTCCAGAGGTTGACTCCTGATCTTCCACCAGCATCAAAACAAATCTAT